TCCCGCTTCCCCCCACCTTCCCCCCCACACCCCACCACCTGCTCAATCTCTATTGGGCAGATAGGTGAAATGGCATATCGCGATCCTATCAACGTATCAGCCACCTCATGAATACTGTACGTAACAAGACAGGTGATGCAGCGCGAAGAATTTGCCGAACCCAGCTGCCAGGCATGGTGATGAAGAACACTGCTGCAGCTCTCTCGAGCGCGTCTGGTCTACACTACAATAGCTGGACGAGGTTGGGTCTTGGTCCCGAATCCAAAATCATGCGCTGGACCAACGGTATTTCCGAACCCAACCTGCATCTGTGGTGGAATTTGAGGTCTGTGCTGCCCCGGCGTGATGGCGTATCCGTCCCCAATCAACCCATTACTGGCCTGACTGCCAGGTGGTCATAGCAGAGCCACAGGTAAGGGGATTGTCCCCACCCACCAACCAACGATTTGTCTTGCTTGAACATGGTTACCGCAAGCTGGTCGCGATTCCATTGTCGCCAAATATAGGGCCAGCCAAGGATGACCTTTGACCACACACACAGGAATACAGAATGCAGTCTGTGTCGCGTATATTATTCATCACGAAAACGAACTAGCCACTCACCGCTCGGACCTCCTCTGGCAACAGTCCTCCTCAGCCTGGCGCAGTCGGCCGCCACTGTACCAAAGCAAACTATGTAGCGAGCCTGCGAAAAGGTGACATCTATGGCGAGGGAGCCTTTCTACCGCCAGAGTACTACCAGAGCCAGCGTTCACGAGCGACGGAAGCGCTGTCCGTTGAACTCGCCCTCGACGTCACAATGACCCGAGAATGCCGGAGAGTGTGTTGGAGGGACACGCTTGGGCGCATTGTTCCTCCGAGGCGCCGTTTGCGGCTCGCCGCCAGCCCAGAAATTCTAGTAGTGAGCAACCTGCTACTAGTAGTGCTGCTAGTTAGTACCCTCGTCGTCGGCATCGCTGGATCGGAAGGCGACAATCGCGCGACGCGGTCCCGGCGGACCTACCACCCGACCTTCTCTCGTAGCTTGCTGTCGTCGACGAATGGCGACGGGATCCGCAGCGCAGGCCGGCCAACCGTACGGCCGTCGCCAGTTGACTCGCAAGATGACACGGCGAATGATGACCCGTTCGACGACGCGGCGGATGCGATCAAGGAGAGCGGAAGCGCGCGAATGGCGGTGCGGGTAGGAAAGGGCGGCGCGGCGGGCGAGGGTGGGACGGCGAACGGGAAGCGGCAGGAGATGGTATGGCTGCGACGAGGCATGGCCGGTGCGAGGGGCGAGGCGCGCGTGGATGCGGTGGCTTCCGGCGGCGGCGTCAGCAGTGGCGGCAGCAGTGGCGGCAGCAGTGGCGACAGCAGCAGCAGTGGTGGCGGCAGCAGCGGCGACGTCAGCAGTGGTGGCAGCGGCAATGGCGGCAGCGGTAGCGGCAGCAGCAGAGGCGGCGGCGTCAGCAGTGGCAGCAGCAGCGGTGGCGGCAGCAGCAGTGGTGGCAGCAGCAGAGGCGGCAGAGGTAGTGGCGGCAGAGGTAGTGGCGGCAGCGGCGATAAGTCGTCACAGGTGCAGGCGGGGAAGCCCACAACGCTACAGCCGAATCAGCGGCAGCAGCCGCAGGGAGCCACACGAGCAGGGAAGAAGCCGCCTCGCCGCGGCGGCAACGCCCCGCGCCCTATCGGCATCTCGCCGCACTGGCCCGCAAAGCGCAAGAAGAAGTGCGGGCGGCGGTGCGGCGTGATGAATCGCCCCATCGCCATCTACCTGCTGTGGTACGGCGTGTTCTCCGACGCGCAAAAGGCGCTCGTGCGCGCCCTCATCGCGTCGCTCAACCCCTCCTCCGATGCCGCTCTCACTGGTGAGTGGGTCGCGTGGCGAATCGGTGTCGCCGTGAGTGGGTGGCGGCTGTTGTGTACTATTATCGATAGCCTTCCTTTCTTTCGATAGCCAATTCCTCTTCCACCTCCGTCAATCCCCCTTCTCGCTTCTTATTCTCCCCACCTCTTGTCCCATTCCGTTCCCCCTGCCCCCCCTTTCCTCCCCCGCCTTACTCGGCCCCCACAGTCCCTCTCTGGTGGAACATCAACCGGCTGTACTACGATCGAGACATGAACTACATTTCAGGGAATGTGACTGTAAGGGGCGAGGTGGAGGACACAGCGTATTCCCAAGGGACCATGCTGCTGGACTCGGCTGTGGATACGATCATCCGTAACGCGGTTACCAGCAACCAACTGCCGTTTGACAAGGACGCGGTGTACTTTGTGCTTTCAGACGACACCGTGGACCAGGTGAGAGAGAACCAGGGAGATGGGGGGGCTCCGCAGTCTTTGCAATCCATATCCATCCTGCATCCCCAGCCCACATGAAGCTTCGTTCCACTTGTTGGTTTCTCTACTCAAGAGAAGGTGCGATTCACAACAACCACGTGCTTGAAGCACAAGGCCCTGCCTTCCTCGTGCTCTCCGCCTTCCTCATGCTCTCCGCCTTCCTCATGCTCTCCACCTTCCTCATGCTCTCCGCCTTCCTCATGCTCTCCACCTTCCTCATGCTCTCCGCCTTCCTCATGCTCTCCACCTTCCTCATGCCGTTTCTGCAGGTGTCAGATGGGCTTGCCTTCTGTTCGGACTACTGCGGCTGGCATTGGTACACCAAGGTGCCGGGGCAGGGCCTGCTCGTGTCCTCCTGGGTTGGCAACGCCGGCTCCAAGGTCAGCACCACCTGCCTGCATCCCACATCGCACCCTCTCCGCCCTTCCTTTCTGTGCGCATCTTCATAGCCTTTGACTCGTAATTTCCCCAATTTCCCCCGCCACCTAAATCCTCACTTCCTCTCCTCCTCTGATCCCCATGCTCCTCGCAACAGTGTCGCTCGAGCTGCATAGTCTCGCAGCTCTACGCCGCCCCCGGCCTCTCTCCCAACGGCGACGTGGGCATGGATGGGCTGCTGTCTGTGTTTGCCCACGAGCTCGCAGAGGCCACCTCCGACCCGTTCATGTCGGCATGGTTCGACAGTGATGGAGAGGAGAACGCCGACAAGTGCGCCTGGGAGTAAGCATGCCTGCTCGGTTGCATCCCTCTCGCTTCTCACAGCTTGCTCGTGGAGTGTTCAACAGTGCCTGTATGTTTCGCTCACTCCCTTCCTCCCTCCACTCCATGTTCTGCCCTGTGCAGGTTCGGAGACATGCTGTTTGGCTCGCTAAGTGGCCCCTTCTACAACCTTGTGGGAGTCAACAACCAGAAGTTTCTTATCCAGCAAAATTGGAATCTCCTCAAAGGAACATGCGTCTCTACAGTATCAAACTCAAACCTAGCTTCCGCCACCGCTCCTCCACCTCCCCAGCAAGCCAGTGGGGGGGGCATTGGCGGGCTAATAGGCAGAATAATTGGTGGCAAGGGCTGAAATGTACTGGTACCTATCGCCAAATAAATATTGGTTATTTTTTGTTGCTTCCAGCCAGTAACCACAGCTTTCACATCTTTTGTTGGACAAGGATTGTGCAGAAGGGATTGTCTTCAAGATTTGACTGGTTGCCGAAATGGTATGTCCTTTACATGCTCGGAAGTCACAACCCAAAAAGGTCATGCAATGCATTACATTTTTAAGGGGGAATTTCGACCTAGACATTGTACAGCTTCTCAATCTCCTTCTCCTCGTTCTCATCCTTGCGGCCATAGACATCAATGCTGAGGTCCTGCTTGATGTTGTCTGAGTCGTCCACCACGTTCTCCATGTTGAGCACACGCTTGTCCTCCACTGAGAAGTTGAAGTCCGACCTCACCGTGCCCAGCGGCACCAGGTTCCTGTATTGCACCAGAGGACAGAATTGGCATTGGAATGAGAATATGGCGGGACGGGAGGGTTGGTAGTACCCCACATATAATTTTGGGAGTCATTGACGAGGCGATGCAGCTTGCGCAAGTAGGGCGGTTGTTAAACTTTTACTAGGGGAGGGAGAAAATGCTTGTTCAGTCATTGGAGAGTGGAGAGTCGGACGAGGAGAGGCTTGGGAGGTGGAGGCAGTGTGCGGAAAAAGGAAAGGGTGTAGGATGGCCCAGCGAGAAGTGATTTGAAACGAACAATGGACGTGGAAGCGTTTATTACGCCTATTGGTTTGGACAGCTGGAGACCTAGAGACGGACTCCGAACGACATTGTTTTGGCGTTGCCTCCCATCTGATTCAACCAGTTCGTTCAAGCCCTACAATTGACGTGGACGAAACTGAGCTTATAGAGCAGTTGACAGACCTTTGAGGAATTACGCTTTAATATTTAGAGCTAATTGCCATGAACGGCTCGGACCTGTTGCCAGAGTCATGCAGCAGGACTCGAGGCGCTCAGTGAGGACTTGGAAAAAAAAAACTTACAGCAGATGCTCCTGTGGGTGTTGCCTCTTCCATGTCCTCGACGCGCACTTCGTTCGGAAGTCAAAGTCCTCAGCGAAGACGCCGTCGCTGAATTCGGCAGGCAGCAGAGACGCATCCTGCTTCAGCACAACACCGAGGGTCGTGGCGGTCACGTGTGTGTAGCATGTGACACCGCCGTTATCCATGCACTCCAGCGCGCCTGCGGGAATGGCTTCGATGACAAACATGTCCTGGAGCTTCGCGTTCTCGTCCTTCACGAAGCAGTGCGCGAGGCCGACGGTGATGAAGTCGTCGTCGTTCCAGTCGGGATTCTCGCCTGTCAGGTTGGCAACCACGACGCTGCGGGCAGACGCAGAGACAGCGCGGACGGAAACCTTGGCGCTGGTAGCGCGGAAGGCAGCTCTGGAGATCGATCCTTGGCAGAAGGCGGAATTTCTGAAGGACACGGACGGACATGACACGGCATCCTTGGAATCAACAGGAGACGCGCATGGCGCAGCCAGGCCGGAAACGGCGACCTGGCTGGATAGCACACTGCAAGCCATTTTGTGGAGGAATGTACAAGCTACTGGTAATTCCTTGGAACAATCCTGCAAACACGATGGCTTTCGGTGACTAGACCACTCGAGAAGAGTCTCGACTATGATCGCAATTGTCGCTGAAAGAAAGAAGCAGAAAGCTTTGTTTGAGGAGCGAGCACTTCGCCTTTCCTTTTCCTTGGGAATGTCTGTCACTTCATTGGTGCGATTCTCCCCAGGGGTTCGTGCTCTGGTTCCCCTGTGTTCCCTGACTGCCTGCCAGCTGGGTGGGCGAGTGCGTGCATTGCGCTCCGAAAGCCCCGAGGAGGGGAACGAGGTTGGGGTAAGTAAATCCGCCTGCCGAATGAATGAGGAGCACGGAGCGCCTAATCCAAGTCCACGTCAGCTGCACGGGCAGCACTTTTCGAAAGGGCTTGCCACATCTGCACCAGTTCCTCATTCTCGTTAAGAATAGATATGAAATTTCGATACAGACGTAAACAGTAACAGCTTCCAATAACATTAGGAGAACATCCCACTTTGCGAGCTAAATAATAAATTTCCTCGCACAATTGAGCCTGATCACGGATTGTGCCCTTTTCCCTCCATTTTGCCCATTTTTCCCAAACCCATTTCTCCCACCACGCCTAGACCAGCCAACACAGGGACCTCCGCATTCACATCCCTAGATGTTCCTTGACGCCGCCTGTACAAGCAAAGCGATTTGCGCGATTTCAGGCCGCCGTGCATTCCGGTGACCATGGCGGAACCTACGGCGATGGAAGTGGAGCCAGCTTCCGCTGACTCGAAGCCGTTACCTCGTCCCCTGGCGTTCAACGGTAACCACTCTAGATGAATGCCCGCTTTTCAAGATCCAGGAAAATTTATTATCACTCTGATAGACCTAAAATCACAGAATCCTCTTGCATCCTGAATCATGCGTCTCCCTGCTGGCCTCCCTTCCTGCGACAGTGCTGCACCTCATCAAGACTGCTCAGGCGCAGCATGGAGGCCGTTACGGCGATTACCAGCGGTACCGGTACGTCGTTGTAGGATTGACTGCCGTGTCTCGACGTCGCGCTCCTCACACTTAGAGTTGTAGACTTGATGATGTTGCCATTTATACGGACCTTCATTCAAAATTTTGTGGTTTCCTGGCTGTTGACGCCGAGTAATATCGTTTGGACCCGCTACGAGTTCGACATCTGTGTCTTCGCTCCTGACTATCTTTCGCCTCGTGTGCGTCCTTCGTCGTCCATCACTACTTCCCGCGGATCATTACCACCATTACCACCCACCCATTATCGCCGCCCGTTGCAGGCGGTACTGCTCCGCACGTCTGCGCCGATTGTTCCGGTCGCTGCGCTTCCTGCACGGCAAGGGCAAGTACCAGCGCAAGTCGCTCGAGCCCAACACCGTCACCGATGTCAGGTGTGCGGAGTGTGCCTGCTGTTTTCCCGCCAATAGTGCAGTTATCTTGTAAGCGGAGCGTGGAATGTGCGTGTAACGACGTCAGGAATCTCTCCCCCTCTTCCCCCCATCCCCCCCTCCCCTGACAGGGAGTCTCCCTCCCTGTGGTTCTCCCGCCTACCAGCATTCGCTCGCTTGACTTCCGTTCAGCAGATTCAACCTAACGCATGTTCCCTCCCCATCCCCCATCGCCCACTCTCCACACCCTCGCCCCTTCACCTTTCTCGCTCTCTCTTCCCCCCTCCCCATCAGGCATCTGCACATCCCGCTGTTCTCGGCGGAGCGCGCGTGGGCGTACGCGATGGAGCTCAAGCAGGCCATCAGCGAGGCGGGCTCCGCCGCCGCCGCGCAGGCCGCCTTTGCGCGCAAGCGCGCGCACCTGCTGCGCCGCCTGGCGCGCGCCGCCAGATGGGCGGACGGGTTCTCGCGCCTGTGCGCCGCTAGGGCCGACTCCAAAACCGCGCTGGAGGCGGAGGTGGGGCGGGGAGCAGGGAGGAGGGCGGAAGGGGGACGAAGGGAGGGGGATCGGGGCGTGGTGGGTGGGGAGGGAGCGTATGGTGTTTGGGTAGCAATGCGTTCAGTAACATACACCTATTGATGGGAGTTGACCTATTCTTTCTGTTTCCTCCTCTCCGCCTTGTTCTTCCGCGCCCTGTACGTGGTGTGCGTGCGTGTGGGTGGTACGTGTGTGTGTGTGTGTGTGTGTGTGTGAGTGAGTGGTGCGTGCGTGCGTGCGCGTGTGTGTGTGTGTGTGTGTGTGTGTGTTTGTGTGTGTGTGTGTGTGTGTGTGTGTGTGTGTGTGTGTGTGAGTGGTGCGTGCGTGTGTGCATGCGTGTGGGGGGATCACAGGCGTACGCGTCCTACATGTGGGGCACGGTGCTCATGGAGCGTGAAACGGACTTTGACGCCGCCCTGCAGAAGTTCAGCCGCGCGCGGTGAGCTCGAGCAGAGGGAGGGCGGACGGACAGGGGGGAGGGTTGGGATGGGAGACGCTGGGCCTGGGGCGTGACAGGGCTGACAGGGGTGTGATCCAAATTATGAACCCCCCAACTTCCCTGTGTCGTTTCCCTCTTCCCCACCCGCCCTCCGTCCCCTATTATTGCTTTGTTCCCTCTACTAACCCTCTCTATCCTACTTTTGTCCTGTTTCTCTCCACGATTCGCCCACTCTCCCCTAGTTTTGTCCTGCCCGTCTGACATTTCTTCCTTAATTGCACCCGTTGCCCTCTGCCCTCGTATTGGCCCTCCCACGCGCCCTTCGCCACGCGCCCTCCCCTCACGCGCCCTCCCCTCACGTTTCCTCCCTCCACTTGCCCTTCCCGCACTGCCCCCCTTCCACGTTTCCTCCCTCCCCTTGCCCTCCACCCCCATCACCCCCATCACCCCCATCACCCCCATCACCCCCATCACCCCCATCACCCCCATCACCCCCATCACCCCCATCACCCCCATCACCCCTATCACCCCTATCACCCCCATCACCCCCATCACCCCCATCACCCCTATCACCCCCATCACCCCCATCACCCCCATCACCCCCATCACCCCCATCACCCCCATCACCCCTATCAACCCTATCACCCCCATCACCCCCATCACCCCCATCACCCCCATCACCCCTATCACCCCCATCACCCCCATCACCCCCATCACCCCCATCACCCCCATCACCCCCATCACCCCCATCACCCCCATCACCCCTATCACCCCCATCACCCCCATCACCCCCATCACCCCCATCACCCCCATCACCCCTATCACCCCCATCACCCCCATCACCCCCATCACCCCCATCACCCCTATCACCCCCATCACCCCCATCACCCCCATCACCCCTATCACCCCCATCACCCCCATCACCCCCATCACCCCCATCACCCCCATCACCCCCATCACCCCTATCACCCCCATCACCCCCATCACCCCCATCACCCCCATCACCCCCATCACCCCTATCACCCCCATCACCCCCATCACCCCCATCACCCCCATCACCCCTATCACCCCCATCACCCCTATCACCCCCATCACCCCTATCACCCCCATCACCCCTATCACCCCCACTGTCCCCCTCCCACGCTTCCTCCCCCCACTTGGCGGCCTCCCCTCACGTTTCCTCCCCCCACTTGCCCTCCCCCCACTTGCCCTCCCCCCACTGCCACGCTCCCACGCTTCCTCCCCCCACTTGCCCTCCCACTGGCCACGGTGTACGAGCAGCTGGGGCGGGTGGGCGACGTGGAGGAGCCGATGGAGTGCTGGCATGTTGTGATTCGCTGTGCACACACCCCTCTATCCCACTGCCTTGTCCCGCCTCTTCCCCACCCATCCTCCCCCCCCACTTTTGTGCTGTCCCCTCCTCCCACTTGCCCTCTCCCTGGCTCCCCACAGCACGGTGTACGAGCAGTTGGGGCGGGTGGGCGACGTGGAGGAGCAGATGGAGTGCCGGCAGCGGGCAGAGGAGATGGAGCCCAGCATCCGCTTCTGCCGCTACAAGATGGGCGCCCACGCCCCCAACGCCGACTCCTCCGCTGCCGCCCACGCCGCCTCCAACCTGCTCGACCTCTCCGCTCACGAGGGCCCCGGGGCCGACCTGCTGCAGTCGAAACTCGAGGTATTTCTTTAGAACTCTCAACAATCGCCGCCGTCCACAATGCAGACTCCTCTGTTGCCGCCCACGACGCCTCCAACCTGCTCGACCTCTCCGCACATGAGGGCCCCGGGGCCGACCTGCTGCAGTCCAAACTCGAGGTGCGCTGGGTGGGCGCTGGGAGGATGTGCGTGCAGCTGTGTTGACTTGCCTCTCCTTATCGTATCCACGTACCGTTGCTGGTTGGGCCTTATCCTTCATTGGTCTTGGTGCTCTCTTCTCTGGTTCAACCCAATTCCCCCAATCCCCTCCCACCACCTCCCAATTCCCTCCCACCACCTGGTCCGCTGGTCCGTGCTGCCCTCACTCGTGCTGCCCTCACTCGTGCTGCCCTCACTCACATGGCAGGCGGTGATGGAGGAGGCGCGGTCGCGCGAGGCGGCGAATCTGGCGGAGCTGGACTGGCTGGGACGCAAGTACTCCGTGCTCAACGCCAAGACGCGCGTCTGCATCCTCAAAGGTGGGCTTGGCCTTACAGGGAAAATGGGGGGGGGGGGGGGGGAGGATGGGGAGGGAGCCGGTGGGATGGTGGAAGGGTGGTTGGGTGGGAGAGGTGGGAATGGGGGAATTGCTTGGCCCTGCTGACTTGTGTATCTGTTGTGACTCGTTGACTGCTGCTGACTCGTTGACTGCTGCTGACCCGTTGACTGCTGCTGACTCGTTGACTGCTGCTGACCCGTTGACTGCTGCTGACCCGTTGACTGCTGATGACCCATTGAGTCATTGACTAATGCTGGCCCATTGATCCCAACAGCACAGCAGCTGGAGGCTGAGGTGGCATCTGCTGATGTGGCGAACGACCGTCGGCTGAACCTGTACGACAAGATCTTTGTGGCGTACCACGATGCCAAGCGGCTCATTCGAGACGACATGGTATGTATGAGCTATTGAAACGAGATGGGGCATGGTATGAGCCATGGGTCTGAAATGAGGCATGGTATGAGCCATGGGTGTGAAATGAGGCATGGTATGAGCCATGGGTGTGAAATGAGGCATGGTATGAGCCATGGGTGTGAAATGAGGCATGGTATGAGCCATGGGTGTGAAATGAGGCATGGTATGAGCCATGGGTGTGAAATGAGGCATGGTATGAGCCATGGGTATGAAATGAGGCATCGTATGCTTCTCACAATTCAGAAGCAGCAGATTACCTGTCATGGAGCTCTCACTACCTACTTCACTTGAGTGCGGCAGTTGGGTTATTGACTTCTAACTGGCTGCGACTCATACGTCCCCCTCCCCTCCTTCCTGCCCTTAATCTCCTATCCGTGCCCATCCCTTCCCCCATTCCCCCCTCCCACAGGTGGCAGCCGGGGGGGCGGAGGACGTGAAAGAGCAGCTGGCAGCACTCGAGCGGACGGTGTCGTGCCTCGTGCTGCAGCGCACCATCCACTGCAACCTGCTGCTCGTTCCCCTCCCCTCCATCTCCTCCTCCCCCCCCTCCCCCTCCCTCAGGTGGCAGCGGGCGGGGCGGAGGACGTGAAAGAGCAGCTGGCAGCGCTGGAGAGGGCGGTGTCGTGCCTCGTGCTGCAGCGCACCGTGGACCGCAACCTGCTGCTCGTTGCTGGCGCCAAGGCGCGGCTTGAGAGGCAGCAGCAGCAGCAAGGGGGGGCGCAGGGGGGGCAGCAGGGGCAGGGTAAGGGGGCGGGAGGAGGAGGTGAGGGGAAGAAGGGGAAGCGGGAGAAGGGGAGGGAGGAGAAGGAGCGGGAGAAGCCTGCAAGGCCGGAGGATCTTATACGGCTCTATGACACCCTGCTGCAGGTGTGTGGGGTGGTGCGGTGCGGTGACAGTGAATAGCACCATATGTGCACACACGACTGAGCGTTTGCGAACCTGCCTGGTTGACTGACTGGGTGTTTGAAATTTCCTCTTCATGTGCAGAACGCGTCAGACCTGGCGGACCTAGCAGCATCAGGGAGGGACGCCCGTGCGGAGGAGAAGGCACTGCAAGCTCATCTTGAGGCCAACAAAGCCTGCTACCAGGCCTGCAGGTATGGGATGGCTTGTATGGGATGGATGCTACCAGGCCTGCAGGTATGGATGGATGCTGGTCCTTTCTAATCCGTCTTCATTCTGCCGCTATTTCCCCCCCGCCGCAATCCCTCCTCCCTCCTTTCCCCCTTTATTCCACAATCCCCTGTCCCTCTCTCCCCAGACTGCAGGCAAGGACGCTGAGGCCTATGTGGTGTTTGAGTCGACTCAATAACCTCCCTCGTTTCCCCTTGTCTCCCTTCCCCCCGCCCCTGCCACCCCAGGGCGTTCTACGTGGCACTGGCGTACCAGGCAGCAGGCAAGGACGCGGAGGCCTATGTGGTGTTTGGCAGGGCGGCGGCAGATGCAGAGCAGGCAGCCAAGGGACTGCAGCAGCTGCAGGAGGGGTCGGGAGCACAGGGAGGGAAGGGCAAGAGCAAGGGCAAGGGCAAAGATAAGGTGCGATAGTCTGAATTGCCTCTATTGGTTACTTGTTTTATTTTAGCATCACCAACGGCTGCACCACTTGGTGGTCGTCACCACTCGGCAGGATGTGTCACCCCACCCATCCATCTGTGCACACATTCACACATGCACACATGCGCGCTTGCATTCATCCGTGCAGGCATCAGATCAAACGGCGGAGGAGCGGGAGGTGGAGGAGGTGGTGGTGCGCAGCAAGGCGCAACGGTGTGCCATCCATGCGCGCGCCACTCTCGACGCCATCAGGGCCAAGGACCCCTCCGCCCTTGAGAAGGGCGTGGCGGAGCTCTCCCTGCGCGCCAAAGACAAGGTCCGTTGCTGGTTTTGTGTGTCTTGGTGAAGCAGTTGCGCGTGATTAGGCCCATCCCGGATTTTTTTATAGCTGTTTTTGTCCACCCTTCATTGTTCTGCTAATCACAATTTGTTTGTGTCTTGTGCCGTGCTGTCTCACAGCAGCAGGTGGATGCCAAGTACATGACTGAGAACCTGAACGAGTTTGTGAGTGCAGTCACCGTGGACTCCACCCCAGGCTCGAAGCTTGTTCCCCACATTGCGCGAGTGCCACCTCCCTTCCAAGCGGTACCGTGCCGGCCCATTGTTCTCGACACAGCTCTCAACGCCATCAATTTCCCGGATCTTGAGGGCCGGGCCAAGAAGGAAGGGAAGAAAGCAGGTGGTCTCTTTAGCTCTTTCTGGGGTGGTGGTCGATCGTAATCTATGTGGGTTAAGGATGTGGTTGGACAAACTGGGAAGCAGGTGGACTCCATCAGTAAGTCTACTTGGAATTTTCCAGCTAGCACCAGAACTTGTGGCTGAGTTGAACCTGGTTCAGGAGTCAGGACTTTATATGAATTTTCATATACGGTACTTGAATGGCTCACCTATAGTTGTCACACTCAGGCCGCTAAACGCAGCCTATTACAACTAAGTATTTGCTTGAATATTCGGTCACACGCCGCTGGACACGTGATTTAGGATGTTCATGTTTCCGACACGTGTTCCCTGACGACTGCTCCACGCAGAGATCACTCCCATTTATGTGGAGAAAAATGTAGCTCCCTCATTCGTTGTGGCCACGAGTACTCATCTAAGCCGTCGATGTTCTCCCGTTCCACGATTATGGGCAGGCTTGAAAGTGCCGACACCAAACCTCGAGGAGCGCCACGGAGGGCACTCTAGATTTGAGCTGGAGTCTGCTTTTCTTCTGGCGTTCACCCTTAGTTTCTTGCTATTCTTCAGATTGGTTTGACTTCAGTTCGTTTTCTCGTTCTCCTGTCAGCGCAAAACCAAGATCTCGCTTTTCTCATCCTTCCTACGACCACACGCACCCATACTAGGGTGATATATTTCACTGTAGTATTGAACTATGGCGTCCGCAGTGTATAGCATCCCGTCGGCCCAGACCGCTGCCGTCACCAACGCCGTGTCCGCGTCTTCACGCAAGTCTGCATCGACGAGTGCTGTCTCATTCACATCCACCTTCCTTCACTCGCCGAAACCGATTACGGCCGTCGTTTCTCGCAAGCCATGCGTTTCTCGCAAGGGAGTCTCCGTACGTGCCATGGTGGCTTCGACCGACGCTGTCTCCTTCTCAGCCAAGGAGATGGAGCGGGTTGCAGCAAAAGAGGCTCTCCTTCTCGCGGTAAGGTCATAAGTCTTCAGACCGTAGACTGCGAGTTCGGGGATCTCACTCATACAAGGAGGGAGTCACTGGACTCGTTCGTGTATTTTGTTGCAAAGCTCTTGTTTTGAAGGAAAGCATCTAGGATCCCGTGTTTCGGTGCTGCTGCGTTGGTCTTACATCGTAGCTACTGTATCGTTGATGACAGGTGAAGGACGCGGGTGGCGCGGAGGCCCTGAGCACAGGGAAGGGCAATGCGGCCGGGAAGATTGAGGTTAGCGAGAAGCTGCTGCAGCTGGAACGACTCAACCCCACTCCACGACCCACAACGTAAGTTCGAATGTCTACAACTCTGAGTGTGACGAATGTTTGGTTATCAGAGCAAATATCAAATGCTAGGGATTGTACTCGTGCGTAGCTTGACTGTGCCTCGATTTGCTGTTCTTGCGGCTGCAGGTCGCCTCTTTTGGAAGGCACGTGGGACATTGTGTGGGCAGCCACTCGCAACCCAGGTGTCATCGCCACCCGAGTGCTTCTCAAGTAATGTCCATATTCGATTTTGGTTCTTTAAATCCGCTGTTTGCCTCATCAGGTTATCGTATCAGGTTGTAGTTTGGCGAGATTGTCGCTGATAAACAACTTGGTTCGTTACCCCATTCCCTCTTCTACCTCTTGCGTTTTGATGTTCCCCTCGTTCCATCCAGGCGGTTCCCCACGCAGGTGGCATCACTGGAGTCACTGCAAGTGCAGATCTTGGAGGGTTCCACTAAAGTGACGGCTGGCCTTAAGTTCCTCTCCGCGGTACGAGTTTGGAATGGCCTCAGTGTGAAGAGAGCATGGTGTGTATGCAGCGACAATGTGGCTAAGATGCAAATTCTGCAGACTGAAAAATATATTTGGAACAAACTGTCTCCCAGTCACAGACATACATAGCTATTACTTAGTATATTCGTGTTGGGGTGATGGAAGAGCCAAGCAGGCATGGTGTGAGGTGGAGCACAATGAGTGCACACGGGCTTCGATCCAATTCTTTTTGCAACTTGTGTCTCACCAAGTATCCCTCCTTCCCATCGTGCCCCTGCTGCCATCAGGCTGAGACTTCGATCACTGTGACAACTCGTCTTGCTGTTGAAGGCCCTGTCAGGTAAAGCTATCAATCTGCTTGACGCATGGTTTCTTCCTAGTGCCTGTGCAGCCTTGCCCTCATTCCAGTAATTCCAGAGTTATTGACATCCTGCTGGAAGTACTTCCTGCAACAGAATCAAGGAAGAGTATGCCGAAGCTGTGGTGGCTACCCCTGTGGTGCCGGATGGCAGCATCCCATCAGCCCTCAAAGGTGTCTTTGATCAGCTGACTTCCGCAAGTCAATCACTCCCTGCTGCTTTGAAGGACTCCCTCTCGTCAGGCCTCAAGCTCCCACTCAGTAAGTGCTCCACTTGCTCCATCTATTCTGTGGTTGTTTACACCAGTGGAGTTCAGGCAGTAGTGCTGGGTGTATCATTCTCCTCTTCGGCATCCAGATGGTGTGCTTACAAGCTTTTATCTACTTTACTTTGCTCCCTTTCCAGGTGGCAGATATCAGAGGGAGCTGATTATCTCTTATCTTGATGATGAGCTACTGGTAAAGAGAAGCATGAGAACATTGTGACATTAGCATTTGTACTATCGACCGTCTGTCCGGATTGTCACTTACCTGCATGGCATGTGCAACTGCTGGATGATGAAGCATCTTTGTGCTTTTTTATTCTCTCAGGTGGTTCGAGACCAAGCTGGACTGGCTGATGTGTTGGTGCGAGGCACAAGTGCTACTACCACCCCCCCTCTTGGGGATGAGAGTGAAATTGATGAGCCAACTGATTAGGCCTATCTCATCAAAAAAGTATGCCTGTACATGCCACCTCTTGTGCTGTGTAACACGTAATTCCCAAAGTTCGAAGGTATCCTTCCTTGGGACATAGAGATAAACGTACGGGAGCGTACTGAGGATTAGGGGAGAGCTCTCTGGGTGGAGGCACCTTATTTGGTGGTCATTCGGGTTTGAGGTGTGCTAGGGAGCTTGGGTGGGAGAGGCTTGCTTTGTTTACATGGGGTTCCATTTGTGGGTTTCAAATCTGTAGTTACATACTGGGTGTCTTCATTTTTTGTAAGAGTGACAGAAAGGTGGCATGTACTGCAGGCCTTGTATTCATGTATACAGAAGGAAATGTTGCGTAGTGAATGTAATATTTTCCAATATATTGTTCAACTAGTGCAATAGATGTCATTGGACGATGCTGTGAACACCGACGGTATAGACATTTTGCGTGGGAACGGACGGTTCGTTATTGATTTCATTCTCCTCGTTAGGAGCACAATCTGGTCGAAGCGGGTACGGAATCACTTCAGCTCAACCCCTGATTGACCGTCACGTCCCCAAGCCAAGGAGGGTAGGCTTGGAGAGAGGTGTGGTAGCCAAACAGCGTGCCGACGAAAAAGCTCCGATTTATGCGAGGCCCCTAATTCGCTCGCACCCTCGAACGGTTACGTTGGGCGATGTGCGAGGGGAGGATCCGCGGAGTGCGCCTCGCCTCCCCCAGCCTATGCTCCCAATTCCACAGCCAACCGAAAATTGTCCAACCAGCTGTGGAATTGAGGAAATGACGAACCGCTGTCTTTTCTTGTTTTTGATTCCAATGGGCAGTGGTTTTGACCACGGACCGCTCCACGATCGCGCCCAATTCCCACGGGCAGTTTGTGGGCCCGGAACAAAAATATATAAACCCTCTAGGGAAAGACATGTAAACGTGGGAGGCATCAACCCTAAACACAATGTGGCAAGGTGTTTAAGGTTGATGCGTCCCCGATTTGCATGCTTTCCCTAGAGGGTTTATTTTTTTGCCCCCATGAAACTGTTTTAAGAAAAAACAAACTGCCCGCGGGAATTCGGCGCGATCGCGGAGCGGTGCGTGGTCAAAACCACTGCCCATTGGAATCGAAACCTAACAAACACGGCGCTTCGTCATTTCCTCTGTGGAATTACTCCCCCCGCATCGCGACGCGAAGTCCTCGCTGGGCAGCGGTATTTGCGAGGAGTTCAGCCTTGGAATGTCCGGGGAGCGCGTTATTGGCCCGTCTTGATCGAGGGACCCTTCTCATCTCAGTACAAAAGACTTCAGTAGCCGTTCCCTAGTAGACATAGTTTGTACGTACCGTCTTGTCCTGTCCTGTCAGGCTTCATCAATCATTGCTCCAGCGAAGACACACGCATTTGAGTCGACGAGCTGTGCGTTTGCCACGTGATCGCACTGTTTCCTTCTTCAAATAGAGCTTCGTTCTTGCGACATTTGAGGGTAGAAATCAGAAGAGCTCAGGTACCGATCGTGTTCTGCGCACCAATTGCAACTGCTTAGGTGTAGGTCATATATACTTCCAAATAGCCGCCGCTCGCAGCAGCACCAGCAGCGTCGACTTCTCAGTTCTCAATGGACGATGCGCGAATCAGCATCGTCGCGGGGTTCATCGCAGGTGTCGCAGAGGTCCTCGTGGGGTATCCGTTCGACACGGTGAAGACACGAATGCAGTCGCAGGATCACGCGGAGTCGCCACTACTTCCAGCTCACCGCGACAGCAACTGCCATGGCTCCTCTGGTCAAATACGAGCGGCCAATATTCAGCATTACAGCTCACCGTGGAGCTGCGCGGTCGCGACGTACAGAGCCGAAGGGATCGGTGGCTTCTACCGCGGTATTGCCGCTCCGATGCTACAAGTAAGCTCGTGCTCCTGTCCATCCGTCAATGCTTGTTTTCGCTACTCATCGCCGGAATGCAGGACTGAATGCCGCCACTCTGTCAACCCGGCTCATCCCTGAGCCAGAATTTTCATTTGACACGTCTTCTGCTGCTTTTTTTACCGTGCAGGAAGCGGTGGGCGTGGCTCTGCTCTTCGGCACGCGCGATTGGCTCCGAACGGCAATAGGGGCTGACATCAGTAGACCAGGGCTATTCATCATAGCCTGCTTCATCATCGGCCTGTTAGAGTCTTTGATCTACTGCCCCCTAGACCACCTAAAGACCCGCATTCAAACCCGTGGGCAACGACTGAAGCACCAAATACTGCATTCGACTACCGCTCCGTCTCTCCCGCCTCTGGATTCCTCCAAGCATTCGCCTAACACTGCGAAGGCTCCCGTGATTAGCGCAGGGTCGATAGCAGGGATGGGACACGAGGGAGCATGCGTATCACTCTCGCTAACGCCGGATACGGCGTACTGCATAGGCGTAGGTCGGCCGGGTTTCTTGGCGTCAAAGGAGACGCACGGGGATTTCCCTACTCTAGGCGTGACCATGGGCGTGGTGATGGGGAAGGACATGCACGGCGAGCTGATAGGGATCTTCAGCGCCGCTCGCAGCATTATCCGGGCGAGGGGGGTGCTGGGATTGTACCTGGGGTTCGTCCTGCAGGCGTGCAAGGAGATGCTGGGCAACGTCGCCCTGTTCGCCACGTATGATGTGGCTCTCGCGCTCTTCAGTGGCACCAGCCTCGTGCCTGCGGGAGCACATGGAGCGCACATGCACGCCGGCCAATCGTGGATGGCAATCTGGCCTGCAGGAAGCCTTGCTGGCATGGCCTATTATTTGTTAAGCACCTGTGAGCGAGGATGTTAAAAAAATGATAATGCATTCATCCCGTTTTTTTTTGTTTTTTTTCGCAAGCAACGTCTATTGGTAGAGAGAACTCAAATCTAGTAAAATTCCATTCTGCCCCTCCTTTCCAGATTGGCTTCCCTTTCGACACGATCAAGACTCGCCTACAGACTGACTCCCTCACGCACCCTCGCTACCGGGGCTCCCTGCACTGCGCATGGCACGTGTTGCGCCACGAGGCTTCGCTCTCTGACCTCTATAGAGGCGTCTCAGCTTGCCTCGCTCGGGCCATTCCGGGTTGTGCTGTGCAATTTTTCGTCTTTGAGGCGGCTCACCAGTTCTTCTCGCAGGTGGGCTCTCACATAGTCCCCAACATACAGCCGGACGGCAGCCTAGGAATATGTGGCTTTGCCTATGCTGGAAGTACAACAGCAGTGGATCAGGAGAAGCTGTGGGACCTGCTTGCTGGGTGGAGTTGATAGGCAGGTATCAACTTTTATGCTAGAGAGATTGTATAGTTTATGGGATGGCATGACGAGTGCACCATGGTGCACCCTTCCATAATAATTTCAACAACAGTTAGAAGTGAAGATTGTTATGCCATTCAGACTGCTCTGTGTTAGAAAATCCGGGGCAATTCCCGGGAATTATTCATTCTGTAAGTGGGAGCATCTAGTGCGCGTTATTGGGGTATATAAATACCAATGACGCTATAACTTGTACAACGGATGTACTAGACGAGTAAGGTGCATTTCACTGTATCCGTAGCATGCGTATCATACGTTTTAACGCATAGCAGCAGTAAGAGCATAGCAGCGCATTCCAATCAGCAGGTGCATCTCACTGTATCTCTGTGGTCATCAGGTGCAAATTTTATACAGCTGCCCGAATCAATCTTTGGTGGGCAACAAAGCACTGTACCCCCAGCCATGCACCTTGTTTCCTCCTCCTCACAGACACTGACGAGCAGAACGGACAAATGATGGCTGTAAACTTACAGTCGCGCTGGACTTCTGTAACCCGATGACGTGTACACCCTCTTTCTCGCCAGACTGACAATGGGAAGCACTGGCTACAGTGCGTACTGTTGCTTGGACTCTAGCGTACTGTTGCTTGGACCCTAGCGATCTGGTGCTTGCAACCGAACGCCAGGTAGGTGGCGGGCAAATGCACTCCAGAGGAACGGTACACAACGTTTCATGGAATAAAACTTGCGTTTGCGTTCGGTTGAGTGCGGCAAATGTGCTTATATGGTATGTTCTGGGACCATTCTGGACGCATTTGATGTCAGTACAGCCGGTCCGTCAATATGTCAGTCTGGCGAGAAAGAGGGTGTAGCTCCCTCGCTGGTTGACTATCCAATGAGCTGTGTTCCTGCTGCTGGATGACGTCCTTCGTCTGACCCTTTGAGTACACCCTCTTTCGCGCTAGAAGAGCATCTGGTTGCAGAACATACACGGGTTGTAGAACGTCACCAAGTTCAGAATGGTCTTGTCACCAACTGTACAAGCACAATGCGAAGAATGCGTTTAGGTGAGGTGATGCACGTTACGAAAAGCTTTGTCAGCGTTTTCATTTGGTTGGGTAAGGTATACAGCGATAACGGAAATATTATGCCCTTGAGCCAGTTTGTCACGTGGTTCGACTTTTCCCCCCAGGTTGCTAGGAATGTTTTATGGCACCTGACCGCATGAGACAAGTACTGTAGCAACGAGTCGCGCTAGGTGAAAAGGTTGAGAAAGAGGGTGTAACAACAATACCTTCAATTGGGATTTTCTGCCATCCAGACCATTCGTCTGTCCTTCCAGTGTGAGTGATTTTCCATTCCAGGTTCTGCCAGATTGTTCTGGTTCTTTGGTGTGCCCCTCCCAGAATGTTCGGCCACAATCCGAAACTCCAGATTGGAACCAGGGAAGCGGCGGGCATTGGATGGGCCTCGGGTGCCGAGAATCAGAAAAAGCGCTGACGCTTTGTTTTCCGACTTGTTTTCACGCCGTCTGCACCGTTCGTTGAAGTGTTCCACCGTACAAACAGAGAATGGCTTTGTGGGGTTAACCTGCCCGCATATTTCGTCACGTGTGGTGATAAGTGGCACTTGAATCGAAGCGAAGAGAAACGAAAGGAACTTAGTTGCAGTTGCCCGAACCTCCCAAAGTCCCCGTCTCGATACAGTGTGCTTCTGTTCGTTTCCAACTGTACACAAATTCGTTAACCAACCCATACAGCTGGGTACCTCCCACCTTTCCCGCATGTCCCTTCCAGTCCCACCCACCTCCCCCCCGCCCGCACTCCCTCTTTCGAACCCAGCTGTCGGCCATGGAAACAACCCATCCATCATCATTCAGCAGCTGCCACCTTGGAAACGCCAATGGCTGTTTATTATGGCGCCTGCCGCTGTAACCTGTTCCTCCTCACCCCTCGCGCCTCGCTGCTTCTTCTGGCTGCTTGCTGGATCTCAGCCTAGCCCCTCACAACCAATGACGAAGTCGCTGGTCTTGGACTGTTGTATTCAACCCTCCTCGTCCGCCCCGTAAACCACGTAAATGTCTGCTGAGGATCTGATTCACTGGCTGTCATTTCAAGCTCAACCTCGAAGTCCGAGGAAACCCCAGCTCTCACCCCTTTAGCTGTTCGCTGTTTTCTGCTTTATTGGATGTCAATCCCAAGATCTCATATCCTACTAGATGTGTACTTCTTCTGATGCGTTATTTCCATTTGAAACACACCGTGTGAATGTATGTACTAGTGACTACGTAACGACCGTTTTATGAAATTCCGACCGTTGCATTCATCATCGGCTATTATGGATATCATCGCTTGCCGAACTCGTTATTGGTAGCGATTTGCTATTTTTGGTCGAAGTACTGCGAATTATAGTATTATTCAACGTCCTCGACTCTTTGGTTTGGAGTGAACGGTCGAATTATTTTGCGCGAGTGAAACAGCAGTAGTAGTATTACTAATAGTAGTAGCACCATGGAGCCTCAAGGCAATGCATCCGGATCGTTCGTTCCGTCGCACAGCCCCCTTATGCTTCCGCCGTCGTCGTCAGCAAGCACCTTTGGCTCCGAGCGTGTTAATTCCGCGTCTATGGAGGATGGGTTCCGGGGTAGTGGCAGCGGGGGTGACGCCGATGGCGGGGAGGACGAGCCGAGTCCGGCGTCTGGTGGGGTTCAACTCGAACGGGGAGCAGAGCCCGGGATAATAATGCTCGGCGGTCATCGCACGCGACCTAATTGGACGCCTCAGGTAGGACTGCGTTTCGTAACCAGCTTTCATGCACAAATTCCCGTCATGCCGTTCATTTTTCTACGTAGACTCGAGGCTGAGCTTCAGTATATGTCCTTCCGCTCCTTTTATCCCTGTTCTCTTACTCAGGAGGATCTAATTCTTCTACAGCACGTGGCGAAGCATGGGACTCGCAACTGGGGGTCGCTTCAGATCGGCGGTTTGCTGCCGATTCGCGATCAGAAGGCTTGCTGCAACCGATTTATCCTTTTGAAAAAGTGCGAGAGTCTATTTCACTCTCCGAGTTTGTTTAGGGGACTTGCGAATATTGGGTGAAGAGTAAAAAAGTCGTTTTAGTAGCTCTGGAGTACACTCACGGTTTGTTTCGATGTCTCTGGAGGGCTTGACTTAATCGCGGACAACATTATCTATTTCCCAGATTTCCAACCCTCACATCTTATCCTTATCCTTTTGCTCGTGCTTTTCCCCTCCTCCACCCGCGTTCCAGGCGTTGCATCAAGGACAAACGCAGTCTGTCGCAGCTGCTGCAGCGCGCTAAGGACGCCGTTATTCATGACGCAGCCAGAAATGTCAACGCGGCCGCAGCTGGAGCCGCTGGCGTTTCCTTTGTTTCCGGAGCCGCGCAATCGTCGTCATCCTTCCACCATGCCTCTTCCGGATCGCCGCATGTCGCGGGTGGGTTCGTCGGATCGTCCTCAGCCCTTCACGCTGCTGCCGCGGCTCTCACCCCCCTTGAGGTGCTGCCGGTACGCCTTACACCCTGGATCCTGTTCTTCTTTTAGGTTCCACCCTCTCGTCGAACTTTTCATATTTTGCTATTGCGATCGATGCGATTGGTTGTCGTTTTTTATTTTGTTATGTTGCAAAAGATGGTGCTCTTCGTCATGACGTTACGGTTTTACATGGAAATCTATTGGGTGAACGTCACTTGTTAAGTTCTAATGACGTTTTCGCCCGCGACTCGGCTTGACGTTTGGAATACTGTATTTTTTTTACGATGCTGTTTGGCTGAAACCGAATGGTAGTGCAAGATTCCTGATGATTGCATTGAATGATCTCGGTCATTCCTCCGTCCTCCGCTTTCTTCACCTGCTTCCTTCTTTTCCAGGCTCTCACTTCGCCCAGCATCGGCATTAACAGCCAATCACGGGTCCCCTTCAAAGGGGGTGGCGTCGCAGCTGACGTCAGCCGGCCGATGTTTCCGTCACCGTCAACGTCCGTAGCGACGTCACTTCCCGAGAATGTCCTCCGTGCGACGCTGCTGCGCTCAGCGTTGGCGTCGGCAGCGGGTCCTCCGGGCGCCTCCCAGCCGCTGCATCAGCAGCTGTTGCAGCAGCAGTTACTACAGCAGCACTTGCTACAGCAGCAGCAACAGCAACAGCAGCAGCAACAGCAACAGCAGCAGCAGCATAGCTTTTCGCAACAGAGCTTGCAGCAGCAGTTGTTACAGCAGCAAGCAGCGCTGCGCCAGCTCGCTATGCAGCAGCAGCAGCAGCAGCAGCAACAGCAGCAGCAACAGCAGCGGCTGCAGGAGGAACAATCAGCCGCACTGATGCATCAGAAGCAGCTATTCTCGCAGTCCACCTTCAACCAGGGGTCCTTACAAGGGTTGGAGGGTCGGCAAGAGGCGCAGATGCAAGTGCAAGTGCAGATGCAAGCACAAGTGCAACTGCAGGCTGAGACTCGACTGTCCATGTTTCAGAATCAGGCGAGGGAACAGCAGCAGTCACAACTGCAGTCCGTGCAGCAGGCTCAACAGCAGCAGCAGGTTCAGGAGTTTTCTCAGAGTCTTCCGCTGGACGGGCTGCAGCTGGACGAGGCGCAGCTGGCGTGGCTGAAGCAGGCTCACATAGAGGCTCAGCGGTTCACGCTCTCTCAAGTGCACGCGAGCAAAGGGGAAGGGCAGGGGCACGGGTTGCAAGGAGGGCAACAGGGAGGGCAGCAGGGGGGACAGCAGGGGGGACAGCAGGGAGGGCAGCAGGGAGGGCAGCAGGGGGGACAGCAGGGGGGACAGCAGGGAGGGCAGCAGGGAGGGCAGAAGGGAGGGCAGCAGGGAGGGCAGCAGGGAGGGGGTAATAGTGGAGAGGAGGTGGGAAGGGGAGAGCAGGGTGCAGGTCAGCAGAGAAGTGAATGTGCGAACAATGGGAGAGTGGACATGGCACAACAGGAAGAGTCGGGCCTGCAGAGCGTGCATGCACACAGACAGCAGGAGCAGACCCACCAGCAGCAGCAGCAGCAGAGTGCGAGCATGTCAATGCAGCTAGCCAATCTGCGGTGAGTTTTTGTGTGCGGCTGATATTCCACCATGTACTCAAGCCCTCCGACCCACCTTATCATTTCCTCATATCCCTCACATTTTGGTCCTCTCCCTCCCTTTGCAGGTCGCAGGTGGGTCTTCAGCCCGGGTCGCTGCTCGCCCAAGCACTCAAGCTCTCCCACCAGCCTTCCTTCGCAGCCGTCTCCAATCTCCCGCTCTTCTCTAATTTCCGCTCCGTCACCGCCCCTCACTCCTCCTCCGCGCACCCCACCGAGCCCCATGCATCAGCTACCCTGTCCTCAACGAGCACTGTAGCTGCTGCAGCTTCTGCTGCCCCTGCAGGGGCTACAGTGTCAGTTCCCAATTCATCGAGCCCTGCCTGGAGCGAGCCGGCGTTCCCCACGGTGCAGTCTGGGGAGGTGACGGACCGATTCTCTTCCTTCAGCGACTCGCACTTCGCCTCTGCTGCTGAAATCGGCTCCACTTCTTCTGTAGCTGCTGCTGGCATGATGTCAGCAGCTGCATCGGCAGGCCTCGATGCTGGCCGTGGTGCTGCTGTTGCTGATGGTGGTAGCGGTTTCGGTGGTAGTAATGTTGGTAGTGGCCTGAACAATGCGTTGCCTGGGGGCAATGACAGTGGGAGGGAGGGTGGTTCGTTCACCACTGTGCTTCGTATGTCCTCAGCTGCCTTTCAGCACCAGCAACAGCAGCAGATGCTGCTGCGACAGCAGTGGAGTGGGCAGGCGGGTGGAGGGCAAGAGAGTGCAGCAGCCAATGCAGAGCCCTCTGTGCATGTGTGGAGGCCCAGGGAAGACACGAGCTGGTTCCAGCAGCTGGGGCAGTCAGGAGCACTTGAGAAGCTTGCTGGAGGCATGGGCGGGGAGGGCGGGGAGGCGGGGAGGTCAACATCTGCGCCAGTCGCAGGGGGGATTGCAGGAGTTGGACCACTTGTGGCGTCGGAGAAACAAGGGATTGAAGGAAGGGCTGGTGGGGAACGGGGAGGAGGAATGCTATTGCTGGCAGAGCCTGCGTCTGCTGATGTTAGCAGACAGGGCGTACAGAGAGAGCATCAGCAGGAGCAGCAGCCTCACCCTGATGGCAAAAGGCATTGCCATCCTGTGGATGGAAACAACCCCCCTGCACTGCAGGAGCAGCAGCAACAGCAGGATGAGGCGCGTGGTGGGACTCATCAACTGGGCCAACAGGCTTCCATGCTGGGGTTGCAGCAATCTCGCAGACCAGATGCAATCTTGGAAGCCCTCACATCGGGGTCGCAGTCATGGGTGGGTCAGGCGGGGCGCTGGGTGGATGAGCATCAAATGCAGTGGAGGACGCAGAAGGCAGGAGAAAATGCAGCGATGGGTGCGGGAATGGCTCAGACGGAGCAAGACGCTACACACACGGATAATCTGGCAGAGGCGGAAATTCTTCGAGCATTACACGCAGAGATGGAGGTGGGTGCTTTTCTTATTAATGTTTGTTTCTCTTTTCTTTCACTCTTTCTCTTGATTTGGTATCTGAAAGTTTTGTGTATTCTTGCCATGCGGTTCTGTCGTTTTGCAGTCGTTGAGTGCTCTAATGGACTCCTCATCGGCACCAACCAATTGAATTGAGGACTACAAGCTGGATGGTTGTTACCATATGTGTCGTTGGATATCGTGTACCATAGCTTAGGTGTTCGCAGTGCAATGTTCTTTGCTTTGTAGTTTTGAAAGTAGCCAAATCTGTGTACATATGCTAGGGCCCTTCCCTGAGTTCTGCTGCTCCAATGCCTGTTTGCTGACCTAGAGTAACCCATTTCACATTTTTTTAGAAAAATGTATGATCCTTCATGACATTCTGAACACTCAGCATTATCACGCCTCACATTCTGACACACGAACTGTATTCACGCGCTGTGCCCTCACTGGAGTGCGAGCTTGCCCACGGACGGACGGACCGATTGCACTCTTCAAAGAGCTCCCTCGATTTCAGACCTGAATTCCTAGGGATTTCCTTACAGTATTTCTGTCACTCGTAAATTCGCTGCCAGCTTGTATGTTTCTAGTAGTTCAGTGGTCTTCTTGCGACACCGCTCTCGCTTAGCTGGTTGATTATATATTCATGGCTCCTCCCCTGGCGTCGTGCCGAAAACGTTAGGTCTAGGTCTATCGCTTACTCGGTGGAGTTGCGAGTAGCATCTTGCGAGTAACAGTAGTTAGTAGTTATTAGGGCGTCGGGGATAATCCAAAACCAGGGTTATATTGGGGGAATGGACTTCTTTAAAGCGGTATTGTTTCAGGACGATGAGGAGGAAGAGGCAACTCCTGAGACAGAAGAGGTTGAGGGTGACAAGAACGAAGGCGAAGGCGACAAGCCCTTAGAAGGAACTGCTCAAGAGGTGCGTCGATTCTTTTCTAGTTTCCGTTTCTTGATTTACGATATGCTACCACATCAAGGCTGAAACGATGGTACTTCTTTGTACAGTAGAGAAACGCATCTCCCGTTATTGTTTTAATGATTTTCGTGCATATTTTCTCGTTTCCAGGGCGAGATTGAAGAGGAGGAGGAGACAGAGGAAGAGCAGCCTTCGGCCTTGTGAGTACTCAGCTCACTTGTTCGGTCGGAGCCGGATGTTCCTACGGAAAGGCACTCAGTAGCACGGCTTTGTCGCCATTGTCGTTTTTCCTTCGCGTGCCGCCTTAGTTTGCCGCGTACTTGACGCAATGTTGCATGGCCGTGTTTCCCCCCCACATGCGCTCCACTCATCAGCGGTACCTGGAATCTCGGCAGTCTGTTACAAACAATCGCCACCAAAGTAAGCCATCCACTAGTCTGCGCTTCTTCCAACGCCTCTTCTTGACTCGCTTCCATGTCCTCATCCGCCGTTTCGCCTTCGCTGAACCGAGAACGATTCTTCTGCATGCATGATTGCTCCTCGCCATGACAGCGTATGCTGTCTTTCTGTTTGTCCTTCTTATCCGCGTCTCTGCAACCGTGACTGCTGTGTCTGCTTAGAATTGTGACTGCTGTGACTGCTTTGAATTGTGACTGCTGTGACTGTTGTTCCTGCTGTTCCTGCTGTGGGTGCTGTGACTGCTGTTCCTGCTGTGACTGTTGTGACTGTTGTGACTGCTGTGACTGCTGTTCATGCCATGCCATGTTATGCTTGGTGTGCCTACCATGTGTGCTACATTTGAGAGCAGTCAGAGGAGGTGCTACGCGAGTACAAGCAGGAGCTGCAGGAGTTCGGCGAGGGGCTCAAGAAGGAGACGGAGGAGCTCGTGGAAACCACCGCCACCACCGTCAGCGACCTCCCTTCCTCCCTTGAGTCGGGCGCCCAAGTGGCTCAGGTGAGAGCTGCGAAGCTGTGGCTGCCCCTGTGGTATCCTCCTCTGTGGTCCGAGAAAATTTCGTCTTTTGAGCACTGCCAGCTTGTTCCCTTGTCATTGTTCCGTCCACGTTGCATCCCTCCCTGCCTCCCTCCCTCCCTCCCTCCCTCCCTCCCTCCCTCCCTCCCTCCCTCCCTCCCTCCCTCCCTCCCTCCCTCCCTCCCTCCCTCCCTCCCTCCCTCGCTCGCTCGCTCCCTCCCTCCCTCTTTCCTCCCTTTCCCCCCTCTCCCCTCCCTTATTCCGTCCTCGCTCCCTCCCTCCCTTTTTATTTTCCTCATTCCCTCTCTCTCCTCCCCCATCACCCCCGTGTCCATTGCGTGCATCCCTCTTCGGCGCCTTGAAGAGCTCACTGGAGGGTGTGGGCCACTCGATCGAGGAGTTCGGCTCGTCCCTATGGAAAGGGTGAGTTCGGTATGTGTAAATGCACGCGCAGTGCAAGGGAAGGGTCTGCAATTCAAAGTGATTCGTGACAATGTTCACTGGGCCCCTCGGTCCGTATAAGAGATTAGGCAAGGCTCTTGGCCTCTGCATTAGGTGCAGTTGAATGCGGTTTGAGGCTCTATGCAACTATGTTGGAGCAAAGTCAACTCACCGCCTCCCTGGCTTGTACGACCCAGACAGCCTCCCCCCTCTTCCCTCTCCTCCATTCCTATCGAATCTTACCCTCTGCCTCGCGCCCACACCACCTGCTTCTCAATCACGACCCCCCCCCTTCCTCCTCCCCTCCTGCGGCCTCCTTTATTTTTTATGCGGAGCAGCACGACGGAGATCCTGGCATCAGTGAAGGAGGCGGTGGCGATGGTGGAGGAGGAGGTCGCCGCCAACGCTGCCGGCGCCCGCCCCCGGGCGCCCTCTGCTGCTGCCGGACTCGCCTCCGCCATTCCCAGAGGGTGAGAGGGGGGGGGTGGGGAGATGGAAGTGAGGGGGGGGGAGGGGAGGGGGGGTAGGGGAAGGGATATGGAAAGGAGGATTGGATGGAGATAGAGAAAGGAGTTGGGAAGGGAGTGACGTGGAGGGGGGTAATGCTGTATGTAATGGTATATGACTTTACTCCCTTGGTTGGCGCAGCACTCCTTGCTGGGTTTCCACTCCAGCAACCGCCTGCCTGCCCTCTTTGCTTCTTTCTGCCTACGTCAGCCCTTGGACTTGTGTTTATATGTTTCACATGCCCTCATCCCCGCTTTTTTGTGTGCATGACAACCCGCCTTCTTCCTTTCGTTGTGGTCTGCGTTGTTGTCGCTGCTGCCAATGGAAGCAGCAAGTACAGCCGCTATGAAGCGCTGGTGAGCACTCAGCCACACCCATCCCACTCTGTCCGCTCGGACTTACCCATTCCGGCCTGTCCTGGCCTCCCATCTACTTTGCCCCAGCTGACAGTCAATTTCACTGCGCACTGGTCCCACCCCGTCACCGAGTTTTGTCATCTCACTTTCTATCTTCTTGCCTCCTCGTACCTCCTCATTCCGTTTCACCCTTCCCCACCCCTCTTCACCTCTCGTCATCCCTGTGTGCCGTGCGTGCAGGTGAGCGCCATGCAGAGGGACAGCAGCACATACTGTGACGAGCCAGAGGACACAGAGGACTTTGCCAAGTGGGTCGAATCTTTCGACCTCAAGAACAGGTGTGCACCCACCCACCCACCCAGTAATGCGATGAAACCTTACATTATGCCCGGGTGCATCAGTTCTCCATTCATGCTCTCAGGGGTGAAGGGTGTTCGATGTTGATCGCAATCAGCCTGTGAACAGCGTTGCTTCTCTGCCATCACTTGCCATAGCAGTGCAGGGTCTTTTATTTCTTGGTTGGTGCTGTAGGTGTATTGTATCACGTGCTGACGTGGCTGATGCATCATGTGCCACGTGTGTGTGTGTGTGTGTGGTGCAACAGGGAGGCGGATGTGGAGGCGGTGCTCAAGGACAATGCTTTTATGCAGGAGCTGCAGTCACGCATCGGTGAGCCAACGCATGCACTGCATGCACCACTGTCTTGTTCGTCAACTGGCACCTCTCGTGCCTGTTTTCTCCCTCTTCCTGTGTCAACCTCTCACTCTTTCCTGCTTCCCCCGCGCGCACGGCAGTGCCATTGATCGTGGAGAGGGAGACCTTCTGGACGCGCTACTTCTACCGCCTCTACCGCCTGCAGCAGGCAGAGGACGCCCGCGCTGACCTCGTCAAGAGTGAGCCTCCTTGGTGCCTCAACTCACCCCATCCTTGTTCTCCTGTATTCAAATCACCCCGACTTTGGGATTCCCAAGTGAGTGCAACATCTTGCGTTGAGAACCCCTCAAGCGCCAAGGCGTATCCTCTGCTATGCTTCATTCCTTGAGAAAGTTGGAGGCGACTCGAGATGCATGTTGCTAACATGGGCCCACCATCTTCCTCTCCTGCTGCCTCTGCCTGGCTCCAGGGGCGACGACTTCGGAGGAGGAGGACCTGAGCTGGGATGTGGACGACGATGCAGACGACGCCCAGAGCAGCCCTGCTGCTGCTGCTGCCCACCTTGGCGCTGTGGGTAAAAGCGAAGCTGCGGATGCAGATGCAGATGCTGCTGCTGGGATTGCCGCAGCTGATGATGCTGGTGCTACTGCTGACGGTGGTGCTCCTGCTGCTGCTGATGGCAATGTCCCTGCTGGCGCCTCTCCTTCTGAGAAACCAGAGGAGGCAACGGTCCCAGCGGAGGAAGAAGCGGCTGCTGGTGAGGATGCCACTGCTGGTGAGGATGCCACTGCTGGTGCTGGAAGGGGATAAGCTGTTAACAAGGATGGTTACGCAGATGAATTGGGATTGGCTTTTGCACCATTAGCTACTTTTCGTGATATCACTCATGGTCCTGACCTTCCTTTGTTGTTGGAATGATGGTGTCCTGCTGGGCTGCAAGTGTGCAGGGACAGAGAGTGAGGCAAAGAGGAGTGGGGAAGCAAGGGATGCAGGAGCAGGGGAGGGCGAGAAGGAGAGAGAGGCATCGAGTCAAGCAGCGACATCACCGCAACCAGGTGACTCTAGAAACTGCCCTGTCCAGTGGTACACCCACTACCCAGCTTCATAAAACGGCCTATAATTGTGTGGTAACTGTGCAAGGTCTGGCATATTGCTGAGCGTGGGGAGGGGAGGGCTACCCTACAATGACTCCCACTTCTGTCTCTTTAATGGTCATCGGCTCCTGTGTGCGCGCGTCTGTTAGGGAATGTGCCTCTATCGGAGGTGAAGGTCCCTCTCCTGGAGGATGCTGGGCTGGAGGACACTGCACTGCCGTTATCCGACATCCAGGTTGGTGTCCCTAGCTTCGCTGCGTTGGCTCAGTTGTTTCTCAAGGCTACGAGGTTGCCAGGAAGTGTTTGCCTGCAGCTGATAGTGGAGGTGTTTAATTGCTGCCTGGTGGTTGCGTCGGTGCTGTATGTATGCATGTGCTGCATGGGGCCGACCGCAACGGGAACAACAACGCATGCGATGCGACAACTGTGCAGGCTGCCTTCGAGATTGCAGCCAGGGCGAGGCCAAGCGGTAAGCATGGAGAATCGGGTCCTCCTCCTCCCACCTTCCTGCCCTCCAGTTGCCATTTGCTGGTTGCGTTCCACAGGTTATACAGTGCGACTGGAAGGTATGTCTGTCTCATTCTGGCGTCTATTCTTTCCTTGCCTGCGTCCCCCACAGAACCTAGTAACCGCAGCAGCAGCAGTGACAGCTCGGCAGGCAGCGAGTGGCAGGTGGTGTCTAAAGATGATGCTTCTAAGGAGGACGGATTGAAGGCATCACAACCCTCTGCTGCTGAACCTCCTACAGTAGCTGAGCCGGCTGCTGCTGCTCCTGCTTCGGATGTGTCAGATGCAGCTGTGGGCGCCCAGCCTGCTGCCGAGCCTACAGTTGCCAGCGATTCAAATACAACAAGTGCGGAGGACGAAGCGGGGAAGGAAGAAGAAAACGATAAAAACAACGAGGCAAAGGAGAGGGGAGGGAAGGGCAAGAAAGAAGGTGGAGACAGAGTGGAGGATGAGGTAAGTCATGGATGAGCTGTCTCTGTGGAACAAGTTGAGCAGGGGGGGCTGAGAGTGGGCATGAAGGGTGCATGGTGTGGTTGTTGAAGGATTTCTGTTTTGGTGGGTAAGCACTGTGGTCGTTCATTATATGCCTGTCCTTATCGTGCATGTCAAAGTATGGAAATGTTTCATGTTTCCTTTGGGCTTGGCGTGGATATCCTTGCAGGATTGGGGCGAATGGGAGTGAGGTGAGGAGTGCAAGGGTTTGAGGAGTTGTATGAATACCTAATTCCAGTGATGTAGTAATTGTTATGTAATATCTCATGACTGCTCTGCTTTTTCTGCTTTGGTTCAATCACTTAGTATTCTGAGTTTCCATGTACGTTATGAATTTGTCCTACTACTGAAGTTCTGTATGAGAAACTAAGCTTTCTGCGGATGCAACTTCTATCGGAGAGGTTTGGCTTGTGGGTGATTGTTATCTTGCGTGACCCATCTCTAAATTCTATACCAATCCTGTGCTCCAAGATTGTGGACGGTTTGGCCTCCCACTTGGAAGAAGAGGTCCTGCCAGATTCGTCGTGAGGCTCAATCGAAGCCAAAAAGCGTTTTCTTTGATCTCATGGATTTGCAAGATAGGCTGCAAGTTTTGTCCTGCCAAATTCCGTGGCGCAACCTCGACCAAGCAAGCACGCGTTTCGGAGGGGAATCCTAGGAAGTTTCGAATCGACGTGACGTGACACGATGTTTCCGGCTTGCTGAGTTCGTTGAAAGCATCCACTCTTCAAGTGGTTGGTTTGATGGGATCAGCGTGCAGCACATGACGCACTTCAACTTGAATGCATTTGTTGTCCTTGTGTGAAGAATACAATTTCAGGTACACACACAACTGCGACATCGTTCTGGAAGAACACAAAAATACTCATCATGTACAATATGCGCCGTGTTCGATGGCGTCCACAACCTTTTGTATCAAACTTTTTGGTCTGGCGTGTATTATTTTCACCGACCATTCCTGATGGCGTCATCCCCGACGGTTCTGTGGAGGATTGGATTGCATGTTGACCTGGTGACATGGGCTTGCGTGAGTCCCGTGGTTGACATCTGTCTTTGCGCTCGACGCTTCTCATGCAAGCCGCGATGCAAATGTTCGTCCGTTTCAAACCAGCGACACAGGTCAGCGGAGCATCTTCCCCAACCGCTAGACACGTTCGCCCCTTGGCTCCCCTCGCTTTTTGCGCCGACACCCACACCACCGCGGAGCTATCACCTTCCTCCATCCTCGTGCGCAACCACCGCTAGCTGGAGTTTGCGGGCCAATCACGCGTGCCCTAACCTTTTCCTCGTCGTGTCAGCAACTTTCGCGCCGACCTGTCGGAGATTACCCCCGAGGTGGGGTTGGGCCAACCAAACCCTGGCAAAACAAGACCGTGCCCCCCCTCCCTCCCCACAGCATAAAGCGCGGATTCTCCTCACCTCTGCCAATTTTCGCACTCAACACCCACGGGTTCAACCCGCCCGTCCAAACCAAACCAACCTTCGCTGGAATCACTTTCCTGGCCAGCCCAACGCCTCAGCTCAGACTTACCCCCGTCATTCCCTCCATCTTCCCCATCTCGGGCAACCCGCCGGGTCCCCTCCATCCGACTCCACACGATCCTGCCCCAAACCCTCTCCTCCTATCCCCCGCCTCTTCCTCCCCTCATCCCCTCTTTCCCTTCCCCCCCCCCCACCCCCCCGGCCCCTTCCGCCATCCGCTCATCTGCTTCCATCACTGCCACCCCATTCCTCGCACAAACAACCCTCCGAGCTGCTATAACAACCCGCTCCCACTTCATTTCCTTACCCCGTCTTTTTTTGAGAGCGGTTCACCGCTCTTTTTTTCAGCTCTCTGGTAGCTCACCGTCTCGCGCGTTAGTACCTTCTAACTTGCTGAATTAGTTCGTAAGGGACGTCGCTTCTACCATGGCTGATACGCGTCAAGTAGGATCGCTCTGGACTCCGGAGGTAGGTTCTAAGATTTTTCAGAATTCCTGAACTGAGTTTTCCTCGTCGCGACTTCGTGCTCGTTTTTGCAGCCCAACTCACTAAATTACCGCGAATCTGCTCTCCGGGTTTTTTATCCGTGCAGGAAGATGTAATTCTTCTGCAGCACGTGGCTCGCTATGGCACAAAGCGTTGGGGCTCTCTTCAATCCAGCGCAACTTTACCTCACCGCGATCAGAAAGCGTGTTGTAACCGATTTATTCTTCTGAAGAGGTAATTTATCCATTCTTATGTTGCCAATTTTGACGATTCCTTCATTTTGTGAGCAGAGACATATCTTCTCGCTTCGTACTTTCCCCGTCGCCCTACAGGAAATTCTTCCAGGCTCGAGCTAAGGGTCAGAATCTGCAGACCATCTTTCCCTACATCAATGTCAACACTCAGCCTCAAAGCCCCTCGGCGGCGATGGCCTCTTCGATGCTTCACGCTCCCGCATCCCCCTCCTCCGCGGAAGTCGCTCTCCGCGTGAACTTTTCGTCTCGCGTCATCTCCAAGCGCGCCGCATCGCCTTCGATTTCAAAGCCTGCTATCCTTCAGTCCGCGCTCACCACGTACGTAAATTTGCTCTTCCTTTCTTCCTTTGTTCCAGAATTTGTGTACGGTGTTCACATTCATTGCCTCTTCCGCTCATGTTCTGATCCAGACTTTGATACATGACTGCTTTGGTGGTCTCTTCCGCAGTGTTCAAGACCAAATCGCAAATGGCGGCGGTTCCGTGTGGATGCCGAATCTCATCGAGGCGCAGCGCTCTCCCGCTACTTCAGATCCCTCGTCTCCCCTCAGCGCCGCTCACGGCGTGCTGTCCTTGCAGCAGCAGCACCAGCAGAAGCATCAGCAGCAGCAGCAACTGCAGCAGCTGCTCGTCACGATCGGCCAATCAGCGAACGCCGTGAGCCAAGCCGCGATGCAGTTCGTCAACGCCACGTCGTCCGCCAACCCTACTTCGTAAGCACGGATCGCACTACCCGTCTGTCGGTCGTTCATTTTGTGTCGTCGCGTAAGGGTTTCTTACCAACTCGCCATTCCTTCTCGTATCGCAGATTTCCCGCCAACCACGTGAGCCAGCAGCAGCCTTCCGCCGCGGGCCAGCAGAGCGCAGCGGACGCGGTCGTGAATATGATTCTGTGCAAACTCGCCGGCGACGCGTCTTGCTTCACGAAGCATCCAGTCGCGAGCCCCGCCTCGTCCAAATCGGACGTCTCCGTCGAGCCCGCCTCTGCGCCTGCTCCCTCCGCTCCCCTTCTCGACGCCTCGTCCCGCCCCTCGTCCGCCGCCCCTCGCCGTCCGTCTCTCATCTCCGCGCCGCAGCGCGGGCCGTCCGCCGTCGTGCCGTCCTCCGCGGCGTCCGCGGATTCAGGCGCGAGTCTGCAGCAGGTGGTGCCGGGATGGGAGGGCGAGACGGAGAGCGACGACGACATGCTGCTGGCTTACCTGTACGCGCAGGGCCACGCGCCAGCAACGGCGCTGGAGGCGCTTGGAAACGAGAGGAACCCGGTCGGCGCAGTGGTGGAGGTCGAGGAGCAACAGGAGCAGCACGTGAAGCAGGTGCAGCAGGCGGGAAGGCAGGAGGAGGCGATGGCATCGGATGGAGCAGCGGACATGTCGCTGCTGCTGCAGCTGCACGAGGAGGTGATGGCTCTCGAGAAGCTCGTCGCTGCTGGCGCGTCCTCCGCGCCCGATGCTGCCGCTGCTTCTCCTCGCGCCACCCCCACTGCAGCCCTCGCGTCAGCCCTGGCGCCTCTCCCGCCCCGCGCCACGAACGCCTCGTTTTCCCGTGTGGCTGCATCGGGCGCAGCTGTTCCCGTCGCCAGGAGCGCCTCCCTTGGCCCTGACTCCCTGCTGGAGCAGGTGTCGAGTGCACCAGGGCGCATGCTCTTTGGGTTCAGCCCTGTTTACGACCTCATGGCGCCTGGCGCTTCCTGGTACGCTCATGCTGCTGCTGCTGGTGATGTGACTGGATGGGATTTGAAGGAGATGGTTGATGCGTCGGCGTTCAACCTGGGTGCTTCTGCTTCCTTCCTGGCGTGACATGTGTACAGATTGACACGTGCCCGCACCTGCTGTGGTGGTGGTGGTGGTGGTGGTGGTGACGCGGGAGGCAGGAGAGTCTTTTTTTCTGCTGGTTACAGCCACTGGGGATTCACCATGATGTCGTTTGCTCTTCTGGAGCTTTCTTTGCAAGGGCGTCTGCTCTTGTTCTGCCTTTCTGCTCTCGCCGCTTTTGTTTCGCCTCTGTTGGTTGCAGTGTCTCACCTTTTTTGCCAGGGATGGCTGGCTAGCAGCTGTAGCAGGTGGGAGGCAGGTGCTGCGGTGCAGCTTGCTCTGACGGCGTCTGGCCGTTTTTTTGCCGCAGTGGGTGAAGGCCCGCTGTGTGCATGCTGTTGCTGTTCCGTGCCCTGCCTCTCCCTGCTGTGTGTCTGTTAGCTCATGTCCCAGGCTCCTAGGAAGGCACCTTGTCTAGCCTAATCTGTTCTTAGCATACTGTATCATGTGTCTCTTTTGTAACTGAAAGTTTTTGTTTAGACTCCACGAGTCTTCAAACATTTAGTGAGTTCCAAGGATCTGCAATTCACTGAAGTAGCTTGCGCTAACTACCGTACCTAGTGCCCTTGACTCGGTATTACAGAACCAAAGTGATGAGATATGAACATGGGTCGCAGCTTTGTCCACCTCTGTCCATGCTGCCCGCGTTACTTCTCACAGCAACACTGGGCTCGTTCAAAGCCGCCATGCCAAGGCCACAAAAACAGCACGTTCCCCCGCCACGTGACGCCGTCGCAGTGACCTGACGCTGCACTGCACTCGTCACTCGTGTTCCATATCCCGTTTATTTGTTGTCCTGACCAGCTCTCTTCCATCCTCACACTTCTCCATGACGCCATGGCTTCAGCGTGTCTATCCCCTCGCTTGCCATTCGCCGTCGCCTGTACCTCCACCGCACTCCACCGCTATGTCCGTTTCTGTCGTCAGATTACCAATCCTCGTGGAATAGCGAGTCGCAACCACATAAGCACGTGTCACCATTTCGGAGAATCCAGTAGTTCCTATCCGACCAAACTAGGTGCGTGCGGTCGCGCTTCCTGGCAGCAGTGGGTGGAATCCGAGGGATCGACTCAACAACCTTTTCCGTCTCCGTCAACGTCTGTCCCCTCCATGATCATGTCGTTGCCGCTACCATCTCATGTGCGATCGCCCGTATCCGTGGAGAATTATCCGAGAGTTCCGCTCAGCCATGTGCGTTGCGGATCGCCGAGCCGACCTCCGGCGCTTTGCCTAGGCCGTCGAACGCGTGGATTCACTGCGGCTAACGTCAGCGCGAGTTATGCGTCTGCTTTTTCTACCACCAGCGCTGGCGCTGATCTGCCGAGAGCCAGTGCTAAAGCGGTGGACGTGGCGAGGGCCGGCGCTGAAGTGGCGGAACATGGCGGTGACGTGGCGAGCGCACGAAGCACGAGGGAGGCGGCGGAGGCAGCGGGGCGCGGGAAGGGGCTGCTGGCGTTCTACGCGGACCACCACGTGGTGCCCCTCCCCGCCGGCCACCGCTTCCCCATGGACAAGTGCGCTCCACGTCTCGATACGCCAGGGAATTATGTCCGTTGGAAAGTCGTGCTTGTAGTGAGAGTGATCCGAGGAAGCGGGCGAGAGAGAGGAGGGAGAATGTGCTGTGTGGTCAGGTGTTCGCCATGCGTGGTGGTTTCTCCATTGGATGCCCTCACGCCCATTCCTGACTGCCATGCACCCATCCCTGTACCTGATTGTGTCTGATTGTGTCTGATTGTGTCTGATTGTGCCTGATTGTGTCTGATTGTGTCTGATTGTGCCTGATTGTGTCTGATTGTGTCTGATTGTGCCTGATTGTGTCTGATTGTGTCTGATTGTGTCTGATTGTGCCTGATTGTGTCTGATTGTGTCTGATTGTGTCTGATTGTGTCTGATTGTGCCTGATTGTGTCTGATTGTGTCTGATTGTGTCTGATTGTGCCTGATTGTGCCTGGTTGTGCCTGATTGTGCCTGATTGTGCCTGCTTGTACGTAATGGCAGGTATCGCACCACTCGCCAGCTCCTGCAGTCGGATGCATCTCTAGATCGCATCCTGGCCGTCCATCCCGCACCTCTTGTCTCATGGGAGGAGCTGCAGCAGGTGCATGAGGAGGGGTAGGTGTGTGGGAGGGGTAGGTGTGTGGGAGGGGTAGGTGTGTGGGAGGGGAGGTTGCTTGTGGGTTGCTAATGCACTCTCTGGCCTCCATCCTCCTCTTTCCTCCTCCTCTTTCCTCCTCCTCTTATCTCTCTAACCCCATCTCTGCATCTCCCTCTTCCTTTATCCTCCCAACCCCATCCCCACCCCCCAGCTACCTGACGCGACTCTTCACACACGCCCTGTCAGCGCAGGAGCAGCGAGTGCTGGGCTTCCCCTGGTCGCCGCACCTGCTGCTGCGCTCCCAGGCCTCGTGCGGGTATGCAAGGGGGCAGGCCGTGGCAGTGTGGGGGTTCCGTAAGGCGATGCGCATGTGTGTGTCACTCTCATGTGGGCCTGGGGAAGTTGGGCATGTATCCTCTCGATTCGGCTCTGCTCGGCTTGTATCCAGCTTCATCAGCCCGTTTGCCTTCTCACATGTCTCTCGCTCTCATTGTCTGTGCTGACATTCATCCCAACCACCACCCGCTTGCTCCTCCACTCCCCTCTGCCTCGTGCCCTCAACTTCCTACGTTTCCTCGCTGGCCAGTGGCACTGTAGCAGCCACCCACGCAGTTCTGATGGGGCTCAGGCGGGCGGCGGGGGTGCTGGCGGGCGGCACACACCATGCGTTCAGGGGGCACGGGGAGGGCTTCTGTGAGTGAGTGGGGGTTATCATGGGGAGGGAATTTATGGAAGTTGGTTCGTGTGTGCTGTTGGGCTGGGTGAGTGAGAAAAAGGGGAAAATGGGGTGACCAGGGCGCCACTGAGTTACCCTCCCTCCTTCACCTCTCACATCTCTCCTCTCTTCTCTCTTCCCCCGTCCCCCTCTCTCTCCTCTCCTCCGTCCTCCGTTGTCCTAAAAATCCTTCCTTTCTCCTTTCTCTCCTCCCTTCTCATCTCTCCTCTCTCCCCACTGCTCCTCCTCTCTCCCCACTGCTCCTCCTCTCTCCCCACTGCTCTACCTCTCCCCCTCGTCGTCCCCATTCCCCCACCAGGTGTGTTCAACGACATAGCAGTGGCAGCCCTGGCAGCACTCACGCACCACCCCACCATCTGCAATGCCGACCGGCCCATCCTGGCCCTTGATCTCGACGTGCACCAGGTGCGCACCTCCACCAGCAATCACAGCTATGTGGACCGCCGCCCTACTCTCTCACTTCTGCCATACCCCACCCTTCCTCGCTCTCCACCTGCGCACTCCCCTCACTTTCTTTAGTCCCGTAATGCCTCTCTCATTCATTTGCTCATCCCGTGCCTGCTCGTTGTGACCCCTCAAAGAATCACACCCCCCCCCCCCCCGACTTCTTACTCCACCTTCCAGGGCAACGGCACGGCGAGCATATTAGAGGGTGACCCACGAGTGGTGACATTCTCAATGCATGGCGCCAACAACTACCCTTGGCGTTCCAAGCGCCGCTCTGATTATGATGTAGAGCTGCCAGATGCCACGGGGGATGCTGCTTACCTCACCCTGCCTTGTCATTCCCCCTTGGCAGGGCAACGGCACGGCGAGCATTTTCGAGGGCGACCCGCCGGTGGTGACCTTCTCAATGCACGGCGCCAACAACTACCCCTGGCGCTCGAAGCGCCGCTCCGATTATGATGTAGAGGTGCCAGATGCCACGGGGGACGCTGCTTACCTCTCCCTGCCTTCTCACTCCCCCCCGCCAGGGCAATGGCACGGCGAGCATATTCGAGGGCGACCCGCGGGTGGTGACCTTCTCAATGCACGGCGCCAACAACTACCCGTGGCGCTCCAAGAAGCGCTCCGACTACGATGTGGAACTGCCAGACGACACGGGGGACGCTGCTTACCTCTCCCTGCTCGAAGAATGGCTGCCCAGGCTATTTCACCAGCACCGGCCGAGCCTCGTCATTTTCCAGGTCAGGCAAGAGTTTTTGTGGATGGGAGGGAGAGTTGAGGTGGCAGGTCATGGTTTAAGAAGCTGTTGATGAGATTTGTTGCCAGCGCGCTTCACTGTGTTGGTGAATGTCTCTCTGTTGTGGCGTGTGCTTATACAGGCAGGGGTGGATGCTCTTAAAGAGGACAGTTTTGGCAGGCTTGCAATGACAAGGGCTGGCATGCTGAGGAGGAGCAACATGGTGTACAGTGCGTGTATCGACAACAATGTGCCATTGGTCATCACCATGGGCGGCGGCTATTCACGACCGCCTGATGGTGAGAGTTTTTTTTGCTGCTGGGATGGGAGTGGTAGTTTAGAGGTGATTGGATTGAATTGAATTCATCTACCTCCTTTGTTTTGTGGTGTGTGTGCAGCTTCCATCGCAGCACATGCTGATGTGTATCGATCAGCTGCATATAGATTCTCGCACTTGTGAAGCCGAATAAACAAGTTAGACGGTATGTAAGGTAAGCTTAAGCCGCAATTAGCATCTCGCCGAGTTCGTTTTGTTGGTAGCTACTGTGATTCCATATCAGAGCATATATATTCATGAATTCGATCTTCAACGTGGTGACGAACTCTGTAATGGATCTTGCTTGCTTTATCCGAGAGAACCGAGAACATTCACCGCGTGCCTTCCCCGTCGTTTCTTGCTGACCTCGAAGTTCCCCGCGAAGCGTCATCGCCTGGCGCGCGCTGTGAGGTGGGATGGGTGGGAGGGAGTGTGGAATTTGCGCCCCTCCCTCACTGCCTGCATGCCAGCAGCCCTGAGCCCACGCATTGAAGCACACTGCACGAGTTCCACTCGTTTTTTCCCTTGTTCTGCTTCCCACCTGCAATTCCCCGCGCTTGACTCTTGCTTCTCTGTGCTCTCGCCTCGCCCAACCTCGCTTAAATACCGCACTGCACGCCGATGGCCGCCGCTCCGCCTCTCACAGCGAGTCCGCGCAAGGCCGCGTCACCGTGTGCGGGCGGGGAGGTCGCGCCAGCCATCCCCGGCATGACGCTGAGCCCGCATAAGCCGACCTCCGCCGCCGCCGCCGCCGCCGCGGAAGGGCCGCTCTCCATCGTCATCTTCGGCGCGTCAGGCGACTTGGCGAAGAAAAAGACGTTTCCCGCGATCTTCAATCTCTTCCAGCATGTGCGCGCCTCGATGATTCCCTCCCTCCCCTCCCGCCCTCAACAACCCCCCTTCCCCGTTCAACGCGCCGTTTTTTTGCGCCATTTTATTGTGCCCGCGAGTCGTTTCTTCCGCCTCGTTTCTCCCGCTCTTGGTCTCCTTATTCCGCCGGCCCCCCAACCTTTCCCCTTCCCCCGTCGGCGCAGGGCTTTCTCCCCGCGGGGGAGATCCGCATCTTCGGATACGCGCGCTCGCAGATGACGGCGGAGCAGCTGCGCGAGAAAATCAAGGGGTGAGGGGGATGGTCAGGGGTAAAGGGTTATGGCCACGGGAAGTGGGATGTGATGCTCTGGGCCACTGGGAGGGTTGGTGCCATGCTGCCGCGGTGCGTCCTTGCATGCCACGTGCTTGCATGCCACGTGCTCGCGGGCCATGCGGTCACAATACTGTATTGAAGAGTTCCACCGTGCTGCTGTGTGTCTGCCTCGCCTGCTCGCCCGCCCCTCCCCCCCAGCTACCTCAAGCCCAAGGCCGACACGCCCCCCGGCCAGGACCCTGTCACTCCCTTCCTCAACGTCGTGAGTGCCCCACGCACTGCACCACGCTGCACGGCTGAGTGCCCCACCCCACCGCCCTGCACCGCGCTGTACCGGCAGCATGGGGAAACGCGGTTCTGCCCTCCACTCTGGCCTTCTGTCTGGTGTCGCACCACACCACCCGCATGCCCCTTCTCCACTGCCCACATCCGCCCTACCTCCTGCTCCACGTCTCATGCACCTCCCTTGTGATGCTCCCAGCGACTTCTCCTCCCCTCCACTTGTCGTTCTCCTCCCCTCCCCTTGTCGTTCCCCTCTGCCCAATTTTCTTTGTCTTCCCCCAACCCCATTCCCCATCGGCCCCATTCCTCTTCCCCCCTTCCCTTCCCCCCTTCCCTTCCCCCCACGTCGCTGCCTCCCAGGTGGACTACATCCACGGCCCCTACGACGGGCGGGACGGCTACGCCAAGCTGCAGGAGGCCATGCTCGCATTCGAAGCCACCACCGCTCCCACTGCCGCTCCCACCGCTGCCACCAGTGACAGCACCACCGGCACCACCACCAGCAGTGGCAGCAGCAGGGCGACGAGGCGGCTGTTCTACCTGGCGCTGCCGCCATCCGTGTACCCACCGGTGTGTGCGGAGGTGCGGCGCTACTGCATGAACGCACGCGGGTGGACGCGCGTCATCGTGGAGAAGCCGTTTGGGCGCGACCTGGCGAGCGCGGAGGCGCTGAGTGGCGAGCTGGGGGCGCTGTTCAGCGAGGAGCAGATCTACCGCATCGACCACTACCTCGGCAAGGAGGTCGTTCAGAACCTGGTGCGCGCACAGGCGATGTGGGGGGGAAGGGGGTGGGAGGGATGAGGGGGAAGTGGGGGGGTTGCGAGGGATGGGGGGAAGGGGGCGGGGTGCGAGGGATGGGGGGTTTGAGGAGCAGATCTACCGTATCGACCACTACCTCGGCAAGGAGGTCGTTCAGAACCTGGTGCGTGTGATGGGGGAGGGGGAGGGGGGAAAGGGGGAAGGGGATACGGGAGGGGGAGGGAGGGGAAGTGGGGAGGGGAGATGGTTGTGGAGTGGGGATGTGGAGGGAGATAGTTCGATGTGGAAAGAAAGGGACTGCAGAATCTGTTGCCTGCTGCACTTGCCATGCGACTGGTTGTTAACTTACTTCCCCACCCACCATGCCTAGTGTTGTGTCTCTCTGCTCTTTCCCCTGCGCTCTCTCCGTTTCACCCCCCCACCCCCCCTCCCCCCCCCGACCAGTTGGTGATGCGCTTTGCCAATCGCTTCTTTGTGCCGCTGTGGAACCGAGACAACGTCGCCAATGTGCAGGTGGGCCGTGGGTGGTTGCATTGCAGGCTTGTGACACGTGGCATGCACTGACAGCCATAGCTCGTGTGTGCACCTCCTTGACACCTCTCCCTCCTTTCCTCCACTCTCCCCACCACTCGCCCTTGCCTTCACGTTCCATCGTTCCCCACACTCGTAACTTGCCTCACCACCAGCCAATCCCTCCTCACTTCTATCTCCCCCCTCGCCGCGGCAGATTGTGTTCAGGGAGGACTTTGGCACGGACGGCCGCGGAGGCTACTTCGACCAGTATGGGTGGGTGGGCCACCCCTCCCCCCCCTGCCTCTCCTTTACGCTCTCACTTGCCGTCTGTTTCTGCCTCTTGCCATTTCGACTCCACACATGCTCATGCGAACCATGTGGTGCGTGTGACATGTGAATGTGCGCATGGTTCCCCTTCCACTTGATCGCCCCTCCCTCCCCATGGCAGCATCATTCGGGACATCATTCAGAATCATCTCATGCAGGTGCGCTGCCCCTCTTGCCCTCTCTATCCCATGCCAATTGCCATTTGCCGCTTGTTAATCCCCCCGTTGTCAACGCCATAGAGTAATTAACAATGCTTCCTTCGTCTGCCCCAGTCCAATCGCTTGCAATGCCAACTCCGCGCTGTATGGCATATGCAAGGCATCCCTCTCCGAACCCCCTCCTCCCCCCCCTTTCCTCACCGCCACCAGGTGCTATGCCTGGTAGCAATGGAAAAGCCGGTGTCAGTACAGCCGGAGGACATCCGAGACGAGAAGGTGAAGGTGCTGCCTTCGTCACCCTGCACCCGCTCCACTCTCCCCCCCTCCACCAGGTGCTGTGTCTGGTGGCGATGGAGAAGCCGGTGTCAGTACAGCCGGAGGACATTCGTGACGAGAAGGTGAAGGTGCTGCCAGCCTCACTGCATGCAATCCACCCCCTCCCAACCCCTTCCAATCCCTCCCCGCCCCCCCTCCAGGTGCTGTGTTTGGTAGCGATGGAGAAGCCAGTCTCGGTGCAGCCGGAGGACATCCGGGACGAGAAGGTGAAGGTGCTGCGCGCCATGGCGCCTCAAATCAAACTCCTCATTGCATGCACCCCTCCCCCTCTCGCCACCCAGGTGCTGTGCCTCGTAGCGATGGAGAAGCCAGTCTCGATGCAGCCGGAGGACGTTCGCGACGAGAAGGTGAAGGTGCTGCGCGCCATACAGCCCATCAGGGAGGAAGAGGTGGTGCTGGGGCAGTACGAGGGGTACACCGACGACCCCACCGTGCCTGCTGGATCCCACACGCCCACCTTCGCGTCGCTTGTTCTGCGCATCAAGAACGAGCGCTGGGATGGTGAGTGGGGCTGTGTGGTGCGCTGGGTCGGTGAGAGGGGCGGAATGGTGCAGTGGGGTGGTGAGGGGTGCTGTGCGGTGTGGTGTGTGCTGCGCGTGGGCTCGTCCATCTAGCCCATCAGGGAGGAAGAGGTGGTGCTGGGGCAGTACGACGGGTACACCGACGACCCCACCGTGCCCCATGGCTCCCACACGCCCACCTTCGCCTCGCTTGTTCTCCGCATCAAGAACGAGCGCTGGGACGGTGAGAGTGGGTGGGTGGTGTGGTGGGATCGTGAGGTGTGTCGTGCGCTGGGCTGTGCGGTGTGATGTGCACTGTGCAGTGTGGTCCGCTTGGCTGCCACCCCCGCAGCAATATCCACTCTGCCGTGTGTGGATCTCATCCCATTTCCACATTTGAGCCACACAGTGCCACTCGCTGTCTTCCACCGCTTCCCATCAATTGCTGCCCATCAATTGCCTTGACTGGGGGCGTGCAGGAGTGCCGTTCATAATGAAAGCGGGCAAGGCGTTGGATTCACGCAAGGCGGAGATCCGAGTGCAGTTCCATGACGTGCCGGGCGACATCTTTGGCTGTGAGCTCACTCGCACCGCCCTGCCTCCCATGCCATCTGCGTCCTTTGCACTTGTCCGCGTGCTCTTCTTTTCGCCCGTATTCTCTACCCCTCCTGCAATCGTCTGTGTAGAATAGCCAAATGTCTCTGTCCCTCCCTGCTCGCCCACTCACTGCCCTTGCAACGGTGGTGTTGCAGGTGGGCGGAACTCGAGGGACGAGTTTGTGATGCGGCTGCAGCCGTCAGAGGCCATGTACATGAAGCTCACGGTGAGTCAACGGGCGTGTGAGGAAAGAGGTGTGTGTGAGAGGGGCGGCTGATCATCACATGATATTTCGAGAATGGTGCGAATTCAAAGTCTTTTATGAAATGGGACTCACAGTGTGGTGGCTGGCATGGTGCATGGCATGGTGTGCTGCATGGTGCATGGCATGGTGTGCTGCATGGTGCATGGCATGATGTGTTGCATGGTGCATGGCATGGTGGCATGGCATGGTGGCAGGTGAAGAAGCCAGGGTTGGAGATGGCAGCGACGATGAGTGAGTTGGATCTGAGCTACAGCCAGCGCTACTCTGGAGTGGTCATCCCCGAGGCATACGAGCGCCTCATCCTCGACAGGTCAGCAGACACAGGCCATGCTGCTATGTGCACTCCGTGCCGTGTGCCTGCACGTGTCGTGTCGGCCATTGCATGCTCTTTATTGGTTGTGCTGTTGAGCTCACGTTCCCGTGTTTGGCATGTGTATCCCCCCCCCATGCACCCCCTTGCAGCATCAATGGCGACCAGCAGCACTTCGTGCGCCGAGACGAGCTTAAGGTACAGCAATCTCAGGGAGGATACTTACTCACACACTCCAATCCTCTTCACACTTCAAACAGTTCGTCTGATTTGCTGTACGTCTGGCAGGAAGGCTCCATAGGTGCACCCTTTGTCCCCTGCCATCCCTCCCATCTCTGCCACCCTCTCCCGTGCCTCCACTCACAGGCTGCATGGGAGATCTTCACGCCGCTGTTGCACCGCATCGACCAGGGCGCCCTCCCTCCGCACCCCTACAAGCAGGGCAGCCGAGGCCCCGATCACGCGGACGAGCTGGCGGAGCGGGTGGGGTACCGTCGCACGCAGGGGTACTGCTGGATCCCACCCACGCTCGCGGAATAGAATGGTGCATGAGGAATGTGTTTTGTGCATTGTCCACTTTTCCATTAGTAGTGCTCACATTTCCATGGTTTTTGTTATCACTGCATAGTAATAGATGTTAAACGTATAGGTGTTGGCAAATTAACCATGGCTATACTTCTGCAAGATCATGTTTTGAATAATATTTATCCGAAATCACATACATCTGACAATACTCAGGAAACACTTCTGCCACATTACGCTTACAAAACAAAGACTGCGAACTCCAAACCTTCGAGGTAGACTCCTTATACCTGCTTCGCCCAGCTCAGGTCCCGAACAAGCGTGCGGCCCTGCAGAGACAGGTAACCACGGGGGGGGGTAAGTAATCGAGCAATCAGGACCTTTGCGGTACAAACGCAAGAGCTACCAACAAGGTCAAGGAAGCAATGACCACGAAGAAACCGCCATAGCTATTGGTAGGTAATGTCCCGGACGACAGGTCAACAAGAGCACACGGGGAGGGTGCACTAATTGGTTTAAAGCACGGGCTATTCCGATCTCCGCTCGACAAATGACACTTCCCAGGCATCGAAAGGCCAGGCAAGCAACGCCTCGCCAAGCGGGTATAAGGAAGAAGAACGGCGAGTTCAGGGTACAGCCCACGTACTTGTCATCAGGCTGAATTCTGGAACGGTTGATGTCTACGCGGGGGACCCTCCGCCTGAGCACACACAACAAACTCACAGCACTTGGTCGTGGAAAAAAAAACAGGAACAAGCATTGACAAGCGATCAGATGCGTCAGGATGAAGTCTGCCAAACTGGAGGGATCAGGCAATGGTGCGGGCCTAGAGTGAAATAGCAGAGGTCATGAGAGGCACCTAAATAGTTCGGAAGAGCAGTCTGAACTGAACTCAGAGATCTCCAAACAATCGTAGGTGGTGGTGGGGCCGTGGTGAGCCGAGATGAGGTGGTGAGCCACCTGCAGTAACCAGGCGAGCATCGCACACTCGCCAAGTGACTGTCGCCCAATCATAGAGCTGCATCGTTTATTCGCTGAGATAACATGTCTCGAGCAAGAGTCTGGTATTCGTGATAGGAACACCACTATTTGTTATGTCTATCTAGAAAGCTGCGGTCTACATTCGAAATGGTATTTTCTGGGGGTATTTCGGGTGCACACCCTAGGACGTAGTCTGATTTGCTCACGAAATGATCCTGTTCCAGAAATGAGGGCGCGAAGATTTCAAACACAACTGGCGAATCCCGCCAGTTTCGTGCAAGGTTCGGTTGGGGGGTACTTATTTCGTGAGGTTGGGGTTGTGTTGGAGATTTCGCCACAACCTGCAACCAATCGAGGTTGGGGTTGGGGAGGAGATTGGCGCGAAAACTGTAAGCCAATCCTGAGCAGACCAATTTTCAGAGGGGGGGTTGGGTTGTCACAAAGCAGTAACTACACCTCGCCACTCAAGGTTGGAGCAAAGCCCTGTGCTACCAGGTTTTCAAGTGATAAACCAAGTTCTCCCGCAGGAAGTATGTAGGCGACAGCTTTAACATCCTTCCAATGCATTTTCCATTGGAAGAAAACTTTCAAGACACTACAACCTAGCAATAACTCCTATACATCGAATTATGTTTGGAGATTCAACCCACAACTTGCTCTACCGTATTTATCCTAACCATATCCTCAGTGTGTTCCTGTTCATTCCCTATACAAACGGACAATCGGAACACTGGAGTGCTCGTCACAACTGCTGGCGGAAGCATCTGCCAGGATATTTCTCCTTGCGCTTCAATCCCTCCTCTCAATGGCAACGTAGGCTGCACAACCCCTGCCATGCGTGACATGGAGAATGGTTGACCCCCCTCAACTTGTCCATCCGTGTCCCTCGCCATCACAGCCTGAGAGCTGGCTTCACAGGCTGCACTACTCAAGCTGGGACTGAATCGCGAGGGCTCACCGGGGGTTGATTGGTCGTGGAGGAAAGGGGAGAAGTGCGGCCCTGACTCAATCACACTGGCAGGACTTTCCTGTAGAGCTGCACGCACGGTGCAAGAACCAGCAGCAGACAATTCAGCTGCAGACGTAGCACCAGCCACGGCTGGGGAGTGTGCCAATGGTGCTGCAGCCAGGACCCCATTCTGTGCACTGCTTGCAGGGTGCAGGTCACAGTCAGCCTCCAGCATGGCATGCGTTGGTGCTGATGTGGCAGTATCCTCCAAATCCGGATCAGATATCTCTGCTCTATCCAGCAAAGTGCCTGTGTCTCTCTGCTGTCTCCTCCCCAAGTCACAGTGACCTCGAGGCGGAAGCTGAGATCCAGCAGGGGGAGGAGGACATGCACCCGTTCCACTCTGTCTGCTGCTTCTGCTGCTCCTACTTCTGACAGCAGAGGCGTTGCCGTTGCTGCGTCTACTGTCGTCAGCAAATGGATCTCTTCTGCTGTCTCTGCTGTCTCTGCTGCTCCTGCTGCGAGTGGCCTGTGAAGTATCCATCAGAGAGGACCCTGGCGGGGTGCTGGAGCTGCCAGGTGGGTTGGTGGCGAGTCCAGGCAGGGCGGGTGCACTGGAGTCACACTGGGGAGTGCGGGGCGCCAGGGATGAATCAGGGTAGGAATCACAGGGCACGATTGACCCGCCCTGCTCTTGCACACAGGGCGACGCCATACACAGCGTGTCCAGAGACAGCAGCGATGCGAACGACGGTTGCTTCTGGTCGGCGCTGCTTGTCTGTTGTGCGCGGCGCAGCAGCTCAACAACAGTGCTCATGGAGGGACGGGCGGCGGGGTCGCTGTGGACGCAGGCGTTGGCGAGCGCTGCCACGGTGTGCAGAGCAGCAGGGGGGGGCGGCGAGGGGCAGGCGAGCAGGCGCGGGTCCAGCAGGTGGCGGTAGCGGGTGGGCTTGGCGAGCAGCGGACGGGCCTGCAGTGACCATGGGGCAGGTTCATGATGGGAAGAGGGATGGGTAGGGATAGCGGGAGGGTGAGGGGAAAACATACATGACACAAGGAGCAAGAGGAGCAAGAGCTTTTAGTGAACAGAGCGTTTCAAAACACTCCCATTGCCCTCACTCCACACTGACAGCACGCACTCACCCAGAGAACGAGGCTTTCCTGGCCGAGTGGCCTGGAGGTGTCGACAGCCTTGCGGCCCGACAGCAGCTCGAGCAGCACCACCCCGAAGCTGTACACGTCGCTGGGCACCATCAGATGCCCCGTCATTGCATACTCCGGCGCCACGTACCTGCACCGGGGGCACGGGCGGGTATAGGGGGAGGGCGGGGGGGGGGGGGGGTGGAGGAGGGGGGACAGAAAAGGGGGGAAGGAGGGGGAGGGTTAAAGGGGGGTGGGCACACACACGGCCTGGAGGTGTCGACAGCCTTGCGGCCCGACAGCAGCTCGAGCAGCACCACCCCGAAGCTGTACACGTCGCTGGGCACCATCAGATGCCCCTTCATCGCATACTCTGGCGCCACGTACCTGCACTGGGGGCAGGTGGGGGAGGGTTTGAGGGGGTTGGGTGCATGGCACAGGAGGGAGAAGGGGGTGGGTGCAGAGGGGGGGAGAAAAGGGAGGAGGGTGAAGAGGAGGGTTGGCATGGGAAATGGTGTCCATGCAAAGGCGACCATGGTCATGCTTCCATCGATCATGTGCATGTCTCATCCACGGCTACTCACCCAAAGGTGCTCCCGACTCACCCGAAGGTGCCCATGACACGAGTGGACACGTGCTCATCCGCCCCCTGCGGCGCCGCCTTAGCAAGTCCAAAGTCAGCGAGCTTCGCGCTCATACACGCATCCAACAAGATGTTGGACGGATTTAAGTCCCGGTGAATCAAAGGTGCCCCCTCCACTCACCCAAAGGTGCCCATGACGCGAGTGGACACGTGCTCATCCGCCCCCTGCGGCGCCGCCTTAGCAAGCCCAAAGTCAGCGAGCTTCGCGCTCATACACGCATCCAGCAGGATGTTGGACGGCTTCAAATCCCGGTGAATCAAAGGTGCCCCCTCCACTCACCCAAAGGTGCCCATGACGCGAGTGGACACGTGCTCATCCGCCCCCTGCGGCGCCGCCTTAGCAAGCCCAAAGTCAGCGAGCTTCGCGCTCATACACGCATCCAGCAGGATGTTGGACGGCTTCAAATCCCGGTGAATCACCGCCGGCTGCGACCCCTCGTGCAGATACGCCAACCCCCGCGCCGCCCCCGCTGCGATGTTGACCCGCGCCGGCCAGTCGAGGAAGGCGTGGTGCGAGTGCGTCCCGTGCAGCCAGGAATGCAGGCTGCCGTTGGGTACCAACTCGTAGCACAGCATGTGCTCGCCTGGTGCGACGCAGTAGCCGAGAAGTTTAACTAAGTGCCGGTGGTGCAGGCGAGACAGCACCTCTACTTCCACTAGGAACTCCCTGTCGCCCTGCCGCCCGCCGCGGTCCATCCTCTTTATTGCTACTTCGATAGGAGCAGCCGGGGAGGAGGGGGTGGAGTGCGGTGGAGGGGGGATGGTGCCTCGGTAGACTCGCCCGAAGCCGCCCTCCCCCAGGACTGATGACTCGTGGAAGCTGCAGAGGGGTCGTGGAGTGGCAGGAGAAGGGAGAGGTGAAAGGGAGGAAGAGGTAGAGTGGAGTGGAGAGGGTGGGGGTTTTGAGGACTGAATGATTAGAGGGAGAAGTTTGGTCAGGCCAGGATGAGAGGGTGAAGAGGAGAGAGAACGAGAGAGAGGAAGGATCATTCTTGCATGCTTGTGCCTGAATTTATAAACTGCACTGATGTATTGCATGCTACATCCAATGAAGGACCATTCGAGAGGAAGGAGAGGAGAAGCAAAGGAGTCGTACTTGTTGGTTGCAAGAGCCATTTCTTGGAGTGAAAATTCCCTCACCCCGGAGAGCCCACCCAAACCTCCCTTCCCGCTGCCCCCTGCAACCACCCCATCGTTGTTGCCCTCGCTGCCCCTCCTGTGACCCAGCCCTGCTGCAGGCAGTGCAGCAGTGGATACAGTAGCAGGCACACGCTCGTCTCCACGCTCTGCCCTTGTGTCTGCTCCGTCCTCGCTTGCACCCATCCTCCTGTACGGCCCTGCTGCCCCTGCTGCCCCTGCCGTGAAACCAGCTCTGCTTGACGCGAGGCAGCAATCCGCATAGGCATCTCCATCCGCATCCTCGTCCGAATGTGCAGAATGGATTGGTTGGTGCAGGTCGCTGCTTGACCCCTTGCCCTTGATCAGCACCTCTGGCTCAGCTGCGTGTGTGAGGATGGGGAGTGGGAAAAAGGGAGAGATGGGTGTGCGTGGCATGATGGACATTCGACCAGCATGGAAAGCACAGGCATGGCGCAAGGAGTAGACAAGAGCATGCAGGAGATAACAAGTGCAAGCAAGCACAATGCAAGCACCTCGCGTGCAAGCGGGCACCTCGCGTGCAAGCGCGCACCTCGCGTGCAAGCGCGCACCTCGCGTGCAAGCGCGCACCTCGCGTGCAAGCGCGCACCTCGCGTGCAAGCGCGCACCTCGCGTGCAAGCGCGCACCTCGCGTGCAAGCGCGCACCTCGCGTGCAAGCGAGCACCTCGCGTGCAAGCGAGCACCTCGCGTGCAAGCGAGCACCTCGTGTGCAAGCGAGCACCTCGCGTGCAAGCGCAGCACCTCGCGTGCAAGCGCAGCACCTCGCGTGCACGCGCGCACCTCGCGTGCAAGCGCGCACCTCGCGTGCAAGCGCGCACCTCGCGTGCAAGCGCGCACCTCGCGTGCAAGCGCGCACCTCGCGTGCAGGCGCGCACCTCGCGTGCAAGCGAGCACCTCGCGTGCACGAGAGCACCTCGCGTGCAAGCGAGCACCTCGCGTGCAAGCGAGCACCTCGCGTGCAAGCGCGCACCTCGCGTGCAAGCGCGCACCTCGCGTGCAAGCGTGCACCTCGCGTGCAAGCGCGCACCTCGCGTGCAAGCGCGCACCTCGCGTGCAAGCGCGCACCTCGCGTGCAAGCGAGCACCTCGCGTGCAAGCGCAGCACCTCGCGTGCAAGCGCAGCACCTCGCGTGCAAGCGAGCACCTCGCGTGCAAGCGCGCACCTCGCGTGCAAGCGCGCACCTCGCGTGCAAGCGCGCACCTCGCGTGCAAGCGCGCACCTCGCGTGCAAGCGAGCACCTCGCGTGCAAGCGAGCACCTCGCGTGCAAGCGAGCACCTCGCGTGCAAGCGAGCACCTCGCGTGCAAGCGCGCACCTCGCGTGCAAGCGCGCACCTCGCGTGCAAGCGCGCACCTCGCGTGCAAGCGAGCACCTCGCGTGCAAGCGAGCACCTCGCGTGCAAGCGCGCACCTCGCGTGCAAGCGCGCACCTCGCGTGCAAGCGCGCACCTCGCGTGCAAGCGCGCACCTCGCGTGCAAGCGAGCACCTCGCGTGCAAGCGCAGCACCTCGCGTGCAAGCGCAGCACCTCGCGTGCAAGCGAGCACCTCGCGTGCAAGCGCGCACCTCGCGTGCAAGCGCGCACCTCGCGTGCAAGCGAGCACCTCGCGTGCAAGCGCGCACCTCGCGTGCAAGCGAGCACCTCGCGTGCAAGCGAGCACCTCGCGTGCAAGAGAGCACCTCGCGTGCAAGCGAGCACCTCGCGTGCAAGCGAGCACCTCGCGTGCAAGCGAGCACCTCGCGTGCAAGCGGGCACCTCGCGTGCAAGCGCGCACCTCGCGTGCAAGCAAAGCACCTCGCGTGCAAGCGCGCACCTCGCGTGCAAGCGCGCACCTCGCGTGCAAGCAAAGCACCTTGCGTGCAAGCGCGCACCTCGCGTGCAAGCGCGCACCTCGCGTGCAAGCAAAGCACCTCGCGTGCAAGCGCGCACCTCGCGTGCAAGCGTGCACCTCGCGTGCAAGCAAAGCACCTCGTGTGCAAGCAAAGCACCTCGCGTGCAAGCGAGCACCTCGCGTGCAAGCGCGCACCTCGCGTGCAAGCGCGCACCTCGCGTGCAAGCGCGCACCTCGCGTGCAAGCGCGCACCTCGCACCTCGCGTGCAAGCGCGCACCTCGCGTGCAAGCGAGCACCTCGCGTGCAAGCGAGCACCTCGCGTGCAAGCGAGCACCTCGCGTGCAAGCGAGCACCTCGCGTGCAAGCGCGCACCTCGCGTGCAAGCGCGCACCTCGCGTGCAAGCGCGCACCTCGCGTGCAAGCGGGCACCTCGCGTGCAAGCGCGCACCTCGCGTGCAAGCGCGCACCTCGCGTGCAAGCGCGCACCTCGCGTGCAAGCGCGCACCTCGCGTGCAAGCGCGCACCTCGCGTGCAAGCGCGCACCTCGCGTGCAAGCGCGCACCTCGCGTGCAAGCGCGCACCTCGCGTGCAAGCGAGCACCTCGCGTGCAAGCGAGCACCTCGCGTGCAAGCGAGCACCTCGTGTGCAAGCGAGCACCTCGCGTGCAAGCGCAGCACCTCGCGTGCAAGCGCAGCACCTCGCGTGCACGCGCGCACCTCGCGTGCAAGCGCGCACCTCGCGTGCAAGCGCGCACCTCGCGTGCAAGCGCGCACCTCGCGTGCAAGCGCGCACCTCGCGTGCAGGCGCGCACCTCGCGTGCAAGCGAGCACCTCGCGTGCACGCGAGCACCTCGCGTGCAAGCGAGCACCTCGCGTGCAAGCGAGCACCTCGCGTGCAAGCGCGCACCTCGCGTGCAAGCGCGCACCTCGCGTGCAAGTGCGCACCTCGCGTGCAAGCGCGCACCTCGCGTGCAAGCGCGCACCTCGCGTGCAAGCGAGCACCTCGCGTGCAAGCGCAGCACCTCGCGTGCAAGCGCAGCACCTCGCGTGCAAGCGAGCACCTCGCGTGCAAGCGCGCACCTCGCGTGCAAGCGAGCACCTCGCGTGCAAGCGAGCACCTCGCGTGCAAGCGAGCACCTCGCGTGCAAGCGAGCACCTCGCGTGCAAGCGCGCACCTCGCGTGCAAGCGCGCACCTCGCGTGCAAGCGCGCACCTCGCGTGCAAGCGAGCACCTCGCGTGCAAGCGAGCACCTCGCGTGCAAGCGAGCACCTCGCGTGCAAGCGAGCACCTCGCGTGCAAGCGCAGCACCTCGCGTGCAAGCGAGCACCTCGCGTGCAAGCGCGCACCTCGCGTGCAAGCGGGCACCTCGCGTGCAAGCGCGCACCTCGCGTGCAAGCGCGCACCTCGCGTGCAAGCGCGCACCTCGCGTGCAAGCGCGCACCTCGCGTGCAAGCGCGCACCTCGCGTGCAAGCGCGCACCTCGCGTGCAAGCGAGCACCTCGCGTGCAAGCGAGCACCTCGCGTGCAAGCGAGCACCTCGCGTGCAAGCGAGCACCTCGCGTGCAAGCGCGCACCTCGCGTGCAAGCGCGCACCTCGCGTGCAAGCGCGCACCTCGCGTGCAAGCGAGCACCTCGCGTGCAAGCGAGCACCTCGCGTGCAAGCGAGCACCTCGCGTGCAAGCGAGCACCTCGCGTGCAAGCGAGCACCTCGCGTGCACGCGAGCACCTCGCGTGCAAGCGAGCACCTCGCGTGCAAGCGAGCACCTCGCGTGCAAGCGCGCACCTCGCGTGCAAGCGCGCACCTCGCGTGCAAGCGCGCACCTCGCGTGCAAGCGAGCACCTCGTGTGCAAGCGCGCACCTCGCGTGCAAGCGCGCACCTCGCGTGCAAGCGCGCACCTCGCGTGCAAGCGCGCACCTCGCGTGCAAGCGCGCACCTCGCGTGCAAGCGCGCACCTCGCGTGCAAGCGCGCACCTCGCGTGCAAGCGCGCACCTCGCGTGCAGGCGCGCACCTCGCGTGCAAGCGAGCACCTCGCGTGCACGCGAGCACCTCGCGTGCAAGCGAGCACCTCGCGTGCAAGCGAGCACCTCGCGTGCAAGCGCGCACCTCGCGTGCAAGCGTGCACCTCGCGTGCAAGCGCGCACCTCGCGTGCAAGCGCGCACCTCGCGTGCAAGCGCGCACCTCGCGTGCAAGCGAGCACCTCGCGTGCAAGCGCAGCACCTCGCGTGCAAGCGCAGCACCTCGCGTGCAAGCGAGCACCTCGCGTGCAAGCGCGCACCTCGCGTGCAAGCGGGCACCTCGCGTGCAAGCGCGCACCTCGCGTGCAAGCGCGCACCTCGCGTGCAAGCGCGCACCTCGCGTGCAAGCGCGCACCTCGCGTGCAAGCGCGCACCTCGCGTGCAAGCACGCACCTCGCGTGCAAGCGAGCACCTCGCGTGCAAGCGAGCACCTCGCGTGCAAGCGAGCACCTCGCGTGCAAGCGCGCACCTCGCGTGCAAGCGCGCACCTCGCGTGCAAGCGCGCACCTCGCGTGCAAGCGAGCACCTCGCGTGCAAGCGAGCACCTCGCGTGCAAGCGAGCACCTCGCGTGCACGCGAGCACCTCGCGTGCAAGCGAGCACCTCGCGTGCAAGCGAGCACCTCGCGTGCAAGCGCGCACCTCGCGTGCAAGCGCGCACCTCGCGTGCAAGCGCGCACCTCGCGTGCAAGCGCGCACCTCGCGTGCAAGCGCGCACCTCTCGTGCAAGCGCGCACCTCGCGTGCAAGCGAGCACCTCGCGTGCAAGCGCAGCACCTCGCGTGCAAGCGCAGCACCTCGCGTGCAAGCGAGCACCTCGCGTGCAAGCGCGCACCTCGCGTGCAAGCGCGCACCTCGCGTGCAAGCGCGCACCTCGCGTGCAAGCGCGCACCTCGCGTGCAAGCGAGCACCTCGCGTGCAAGCGAGCACCTCGCGTGCAAGCGAGCACCTCGCGTGCAAGCGAGCACCTCGCGTGCAAGCGCGCACCTCGCGTGCAAGCGCGCACCTCGCGTGCAAGCGCGCACCTCGCGTGCAAGCGAGCACCTCGCGTGCAAGCGAGCACCTCGCGTGCAAGCGAGCACCTCGCGTGCAAGCGAGCACCTCGCGTGCAAGCGAGCACCTCGCGTGCAAGCGCGCACCTCGCGTGCAAGCGCGCACCTCGCGTGCAAGCGCGCACCTCGCGTGCAAGCGAGCGCCTCGCGTGCAAGCGAGCGCCTCGCGTGCAAGCGAGCACCTCGCGTGCAAGCGAGCACCTCGCGTGCAAGCGAGCACCTCGCGTGCAAGCGAGCACCTCGCGTGCAAGCGAGCACCTCGCGTGCAAGCGAGCACCTCGCGTGCAAGCGAGCACCTCGCGTGCAAGCAAAGCACCTCGCGTGCAAGCGCGCACCTCGCGTGCAAGCGCGCACCTCGCGTGCAAGCAAAGCACCTCGCGTGCAAGCGCGCACCTCGCGTGCAAGCGTGCACCTCGCGGGCAAGCAAAGCACCTCGTGTGCAAGCAAAGCACCTCGCGTGCAAGCGAGCACCTCGCGTGCAAGCGCGCACCTCGCGTGCAAGTGCGCACCTCGCGTGCAAGCGCGCACCTCGCGTGCAAGCGCGCACCTCGCGTGCAAGCGAGCACCTCGCGTGCAAGCGCGCACCTCGCACCTCGCGTGCAAGCGCGCACCTCGCGTGCAAGCGAGCACCTCGCGTGCAAGCGAGCACCTCGCGTGCAAGCGAGCACCTCGCGTGCAAGCGAGCACCTCGCGTGCAAGCGCGCACCTCGCGTGCAAGCGCGCACCTCGCGTGCAAGCGCGCACCTCGCGTGCAAGCGGGCACCTCGCGTGCAAGCGCGCACCTCGCGTGCAAGCGCGCACCTCGCGTGCAAGCGCGCACCTCGCGTGCAAGCGCGCACCTCGCGTGCAAGCGCGCACCTCGCGTGCAAGCGCGCACCTCGCGTGCAAGCGCGCACCTCGCGTGCAAGCGCGCACCTCGCGTGCAAGCGCGCACCTCGCGTGCAAGCGCGCACCTCGCGTGCAAGCGCGCACCTCGCGTGCAAGCGAGCACCTCGCGTGCAAGCGAGCACCTGGCGTGCAAGCGCAGCACCTCGCGTGCAAGCGCAGCACCTCGCGTGCAAGCGCGCACCTCGCGTGCAAGCGCGCACCTCGCGTGCAAGCAAAGCACCTCGCGTGCAAGCAAAGCACCTCGCGTGCAAGCGCGCACCTCGCGTGCAAGCGCGCACCTCGCGTGCAAGCGCGCACCTCGCGTGCAAGCGAGCACCTCGCGTGCAAGCGAGCACCTCGCGTGCAAGCGCGCACCTCGCGTGCAAGCGCGCACCTCGCGTGCAAGCGCGCACCTCGCGTGCAAGCGCGCACCTCGCGTGCAAGCGGGCACCTCGCGTGCAAGCGGGCACCTCGCGTGCAAGCGCGCACCTCGCGTGCAAGCGAGCACCTCGCGTGCAAGCGCGCACCTCGCGTGCAAGCGCGCACCTCGCGTGCAAGCGCGCACCTCGCGTGCAAGCGAGCACCTCGCGTGCAAGCGAGCACCTCGCGTGCAAGCGAGCACCTCGCGTGCAAGCGAGCACCTCGCGTGCAAGCGAGCACCTCGCGTGCAAGCGCAGCACCTCGCGTGCAAGCGCAGCACCTCGCGTGCACGCGCGCACCTCGCGTGCAAGCGCGCACCTCGCGTGCAAGCGAGCACCTCGCGTGCAAGCGCGCACCTCGCGTGCAAGCGCGCACCTCGCGTGCAAGCGAGCACCTCGCGTGCAAGCGCGCACCTCGCGTGCAAGCGAGCACCTCGCGTGCAAGCGAGCACCTCGCGTGCAAGCGAGCACCTCGCGTGCAAGCGAGCACCTCGCGTGCAAGCGAGCACCTCGCGTGCAAGCGAGCACCTCGCGTGCAAGCGAGCACCTCGCGTGCAAGCGAGCACCTCGCGTGCAAGCGCGCACCTCGCGTGCAAGCGCGCACCTCGCGTGCAAGCGCGCACCTCGCGTGCAAGCGCGCACCTCGCGTGCAAGCAAAGCACCTCGCGCAAGCGCGCACCTCGCGTGCAAGCGTGCACCTCGCGTGCAAGCAAAGCACCTCGCGTGCAAGCAAAGCACCTCGCGTGCAAGCGAGCACCTCGCGTGCAAGCGCGCACCTCGCGTGCAAGCGCGCACCTCGCGTGCAAGCAAAGCACCTCACGTGCAAGCGCGCACCTCGCGTGCAAGCGTGCACCTCGCGTGCAAGCAAAGCACCTCGTGTGCAAGCAAAGCACCTCGCGTGCAAGCGAGCACCTCGCGTGCAAGCGCGCACCTCGCGTGCAAGCGCGCACCTCGCGTGCAAGCGCGCACCTCGCGTGCAAGCGCGCACCTCGCACCTCGCGTGCAAGCGCGCACCTCGCGTGCAAGCGAGCACCTCGCGTGCAAGCGAGCACCTCGCGTGCAAGCGAGCACCTCGCGTGCAAGCGAGCACCTCGCGTGCAAGCGCGCACCTCGCGTGCAAGCGCGCACCTCGCGTGCAAGCGCGCACCTCGCGTGCAAGCGGGCACCTCGCGTGCAAGCGCGCACCTCGCGTGCAAGCGCGCACCTCGCGTGCAAGCGCGCACCTCGCGTGCAAGCGCGCACCTCGCGTGCAAGCGCGCACCTCGCGTGCAAGCGCGCACCTCGCGTGCAAGCGCGCACCTCGCGTGCAAGCGAGCACCTCGCGTGCAAGCGAGCACCTCGCGTGCAAGCGAGCACCTCGTGTGCAAGCGAGCACCTCGCGTGCAAGCGCAGCACCTCGCGTGCAAGCGCAGCACCTCGCGTGCACGCGCGCACCTCGCGTGCAAGCGAGCACCTCGCGTGCAAGCGCGCACCTCGCGTGCAAGCGCGCACCTCGCGTGCAAGCGCGCACCTCGCATGCAAGCGCGCACCTCGCGTGCAAGCGCGCACCTCGCGTGCAAGCGAGCACCTCGCGTGCAAGCGAGCACCTCGCGTGCAAGCGAGCACCTCGCGTGCAAGCGAGCACCTCGCGTGCAAGCGGGCACCTCGCGTGCAAGCGCGCACCTCGCGTGCAAGCGCGCACCTCGCGTGCAAGCGCGCACCTCGCGTGCAAGCGCGCACCTCGCGTGCAAGCGAGCACCTCGCGTGCAAGCGAGCACCTCGCGTGCAAGCGAGCACCTCGCGTGCAAGCGAGCACCTCGCGTGCAAGCGAGCACCTCGCGTGCAAGCGCAGCACCTCGCGTGCAAGCGCAGCACCTCGCGTGCACGCGCGCACCTCGCGTGCAAGCGCGCACCTCGCGTGCAAGCGCGCACCTCGCGTGCAAGCGTGCACCTCGCGTGCAAGCGAGCACCTCGCGTGCAAGCGAACACCTCGCGTGCAAGCGAGCACCTCGCGTGCAAGCGAGCACCTCGCGTGCAAGCGAGCACCTCGCGTGCAAGCGCGCACCTCGCGTGCAAGCGCGCACCTCGCGTGCAAGCGAGCACCTCGCGTGCAAGCGAGCACCTCGCGTGCAAGCGAGCACCTCGCGTGCAAGCGAGCACCTCGCGTGCAAGCGAGCACCTCGCGTGCAAGCGCAGCACCTCGCGTGCAAGCGCAGCACCTCGCGTGCACGCGCGCACCTCGCGTGCAAGCGCGCACCTCGCGTGCAAGCGCGCACCTCGCGTGCAAGCGCGCACCTCGCGTGCAAGCGAGCACCTCGCGTGCAAGCGAGCACCTCGCGTGCAAGCGAGCACCTCGCGTGCAAGCGAGCACCTCGCGTGCAAGCGCGCACCTCGCGTGCAAGCGCGCACCTCGCGTGCAAGCGCGCACCTCGCGTGCAAGCGCGCACCTCGCGTGCAAGCGCGCACCTCGCGTGCAAGCGCGCACCTCGCGTGCAAGCGCGCACCTCGCGTGCAAGCGCGCACCTCGCGTGCAAGCGAGCACCTCGCGTGCAAGCGCAGCACCTCGCGTGCAAGCGCAGCACCTCGCGTGCAAGCGAGCACCTCGCGTGCAAGCGCGCACCTCGCGTGCAAGCGCGCACCTCGCGTGCAAGCGCGCACCTCGCGTGCAAGCGAGCACCTCTCGTGCAAGCGAGCACCTCGCGTGCAAGCGAGCACCTCGCGTGCAAGCGAGCACCTCGCGTGCAAGCGCAGCACCTCGCGTGCAAGCGCAGCACCTCGCGTGCACGCGCGCACCTCGCGTGCAAGCGCGCACCTCGCGTGCAAGCGCGCACCTCGCGTGCAAGCGCGCACCTCGCGTGCAAGGGAGCACCTCGCGTGCAAGCGAGCACCTCGCGTGCAAGCGAGCACCTCGCGTGCAAGCGAGCACCTCGCGTGCAAGCGCGCACCTCGCGTGCAAGCGCGCACCTCGCGTGCAAGCGCGCACCTCGCGTGCAAGCGCGCACCTCGCGTGCAAGCGCGCACCTCGCGTGCAAGCGCGCACCTCGCGTGCAAGCGCGCACCTCGCGTGCAAGCGCGCACCTCCCGTGCAAGCGAGCACCTCGCGTGCAAGCGCAGCACCTCGCGTGCAAGCGCAGCACCTCGCGTGCAAGCGAGCACCTCGCGTGCAAGCGCGCACCTCGCGTGCAAGCGCGCACCTCGCGTGCAAGCGCGCACCTCGCGTGCAAGCGCGCACCTCGCGTGCAAGCGAGCACCTCCCGTGCAAGCGCGCACCTCGCGTGCAAGCGAGCACCTCGCGTGCAAGCGCGCACCTCGCGTGCAAGCGCGCACCTCGCGTGCAAGCGCGCACCTCGCGTGCAAGCGCGCACCTCGCGTGCAAGCGCGCACCTCGCGTGCAAGCGAGCACCTCGCGTGCAAGCGAGCACCTCGCGTGCAAGCGAGCACCTCGCGTGCAAGCGAGCACCTCGCGTGCAAGCGAGCACCTCGCGTGCAAGCGTGCACCTCGCGTGCAAGCGAGCACCTCGCGTGCAAGCGAGCACCTCGCGTGCAAGCGCGCACCTCGCGTGCAAGCGCGCACCTCGCGTGCAAGCGCGCACCTCGCGTGCAAGCGAGCACCTCGCGTGCAAGCGAGCACCTCGCGTGCAAGCGCGCACCTCGCTTGCAAGCGCGCACCTCGCGTGCAAGCGAGCACCTCGCGTGCAAGCGCGCACCTCGCGTGCAAGCGAGCACCTCGCGTGCAAGCGAGCACCTCGCGTGCAAGCGAGCACCTCGCGTGCAAGCGAGCACCTCGCGTGCAAGCGAGCACCTCGCGTGCAAGCGAGCACCTCGCGTGCAAGCGGGCACCTCGCGTGCAAGCGCGCACCTCGCGTGCAAGCAAAGCACCTCGCGTGCAAGCAAAGCACCTCGCGTGCAAGCAAAGCACCTCGCGTGCAAGCAAAGCACCTCGCGTGCAAGCGCGCACCTCGCGTGCAAGCGCGCACCTCGCGTGCAAGCGCGCACCTCGCGTGCAAGCAAAGCACCTCGCGCAAGCGCGCACCTCGCGTGCAAGCGTGCACCTCGCGTGCAAGCAAAGCACCTCGTGTGCAAGCAAAGCACCTCGCGTGCAAGCGAGCACCTCGCGTGCAAGCGCGCACCTCGCGTGCAAGCGCGCACCTCGCGTGCAAGCGCGCACCTCGCGTGCAAGCGCGCACCTCGCGTGCAAGCGCGCACCTCGCGTGCAAGCGCGCACCTCGCGTGCAAGCGAACACCTCGCGTGCAAGCGCGCACCTCGCGTGCAAGCGAGCACCTCGCGTGCAAGCGAGCACCTCGCGTGCAAGCGAGCACCTCGCGTGCAAGCGAGCACCTCGCGTGCAAGCGAGCACCTCGCGTGCAAGCGAGCACCTCGCGTGCAAGCGAGCACCTCGCGTGCAAGCGGGCACCTCGCGTGCAAGCGCGAACCTCGCGTGCAAGCAAAGCACCTCGCGTGCAAGCGCGCACCTCGCGTGCAAGCGCGCACCTCGCGTGCAAGCAAAGCACCTCGCGTGCAAGCGCGTACCTCGCGTGCAAGCGCGCACCTCGCGTGCAAGCGCGCACCTCGCGTGCAAGCAAAGCACCTCGCGCAAGCGCGCACCTCGCGTGCAAGCGTGCACCTCGCGTGCAAGCAAAGCACCTCGTGTGCAAGCAAAGCACCTCGCGTGCAAGCGAGCACCTCGCGTGCAAGCGCGCACCTCGCGTGCAAGCGCGCACCTCGCGTGCAAGCGCGCACCTCGCGTGCAAGCGCGCACCTCGCGTGCAAGCGAGCACCTCGCGTGCAAGCGCGCACCTCGCACCTCGCGTGCAAGCGCGCACCTCGCGTGCAAGCGAGCACCTCGCGTGCAAGCGAGCACCTCGCGTCCAAGCGAGCACCTCGCGTGCAAGCGCGCACCTCGCGTGCAAGCGCGCACCTCGCGTGCAAGCGCGCACCTCGCGTGCAAGCGCGCACCTCGCGTGCAAGCGCGCACCTCGCGTGCAAGCGCGCACCTCGCGTGCAAGCGGGCACCTCGCGTGCAAGCGGGCACCTCGCGTGCAAGCGAGCACCTCGCGTGCAAGCGAGCACCTCGCGTGCAAGCGAGCACCTCGCGTGCAAGCGAGCACCTCGCGTGCAAGCGAGCACCTCGCGTGCAAGCGAGCACCTCGCGTGCAAGCGAGCACCTCGCGTGCAAGCGAGCACCTCGCGTGCAAGCGAGCACCTCGCGTGCAAGCGAGCACCTCGCGTGCAAGCGAGCACCTCGCGTGCAAGCGCGCACCTCGCGTGCAAGCGCGCACCTCGCGTGCAAGCGCGCACCTCGCGTGCAAGCGAGCACCTCGCGTGCAAGCGCGCACCTCGCGTGCAAGCGCGCACCTCGCGTGCAAGCGCGCACCTCGCGTGCAAGCGAGCACCTCGCGTGCAAGCGAGCACCTCGCGTGCAAGCGAGCACCTCGCGTGCAAGCGAGCACCACGCGTGCAAGCGAGCACCTCGCGTGCAAGCGAGCACCTCGCGTGCAAGCGAGCACCTCGCGTGCAAGCGAGCACCTCGCGTGCAAGCGCGCACCTCGCGTGCAAGCGCGCACCTCGCGTGCAAGCGCGCACCTCGCGTGCAAGCGCGCACCTCGCGTGCAAGCAAAGCACCTCGCGCAAGCGCGCACCTCGCGTGCAAGCGTGCACCTCGCGTGCAAGCAAAGCACCTCGTGTGCAAGCAAAGCACCTCGCGTGCAAGCGAGCACCTCGCGTGCAAGCGCGCACCTCGCGTGCAAGCGCGCACCTCGCGTGCAAGCGCGCACCTCGCGTGCAAGCGAGCACCTCGCGTGCAAGCGCGCACCTCGCACCTCGCGTGCAAGCGCGCACCTCGCGTGCAAGGGAGCACCTCGCGTGCAAGCGAGCACCTCGCGTGCAAGCGAGCACCTCGCGTGCAAGCGAGCACCTCGCGTGCAAGCGCGCACCTCGCGTGCAAGCGCGCACCTCGCGTGCAAGCGAGCACCTCGCGTGCAAGCGAGCACCTCGCGTGCAAGCGAGCACCTCGCGTGCAAGCGCGCACCTCGCGTGCAAGCGCGCACCTCGCGTGCAAGCGCGCACCTCGCGTGCAAGCGCGCACCTCGCGTGCAAGCGCGCACCTCGCGTGCAAGCGCGCACCTCGCGTGCAAGCGCGCACCTCGCGTGCAAGCGAGCACCTCGCGTGCAAGCGCAGCACCTCGCGTGCAAGCGCAGCACCTCGCGTGCAAGCGAGCACCTCGCGTGCAAGCGCGCACCTCGCGTGCAAGCGCGCACCTCGCGTGCAAGCGCGCACCTCGCGTGCAAGCGCGCACCTCGCGTGCAAGCGAGCACCTCGCGTGCAAGCGAGCACCTCGCGTGCAAGCGAGCACCTCGCGTGCAAGCGCGCACCTCGCGTGCAAGCGCGCACCTCGCGTGCAAGCGCGCACCTCGCGTGCAAGCGCGCACCTCGCGTGCAAGCGCGCACCTCGCGTGCAAGCGAGCACCTCGCGTGCAAGCGAGCACCTCGCGTGCAAGCGAGCACCTCGCGTGCAAGCGAGCACCTCGCGTGCAAGCGAGCACCTCGCGTGCAAGCGTGCACCTCGCGTGCAAGCGAGCACCTCGCGTGCAAGCGAGCACCTCGCGTGCAAGCGCGCACCTCGCGTGCAAGCGCGCACCTCGCGTGCAAGCGCGCACCTCGCGTGCAAGCGAGCACCTCGCGTGCAAGCGAGCACCTCGCGTGCAAGCGCGCACCTCGCTTGCAAGCGCGCACCTCGCGTGCAAGCGAGCACCTCGCGTGCAAGCGCGCACCTCGCGTGCAAGCGAGCACCTCGCGTGCAAGCGAGCACCTCGCGTGCAAGCGAGCACCTCGCGTGCAAGCGAGCACCTCGCGTGCAAGCGAGCACCTCGCGTGCAAGCGGGCACCTCGCGTGCAAGCGCGCACCTCGCGTGCAAGCAAAGCACCTCGCGTGCAAGCGCGCACCTCGCGTGCAAGCGCGCACCTCGCGTGCAAGCGCGCACCTCGCGTGCAAGCGCGCACCTCGCGTGCAAGCGCGCACCTCGCGTGCAAGCGCGCACCTCGCGTGCAAGCGCGCACCTCGCGTGCAAGCAAAGCACCTCGCGCAAGCGCGCACCTCGCGTGCAAGCGTGCACCTCGCGTGCAAGCAAAGCACCTCGTGTGCAAGCAAAGCACCTCGCGTGCAAGCGAGCACCTCGCGTGCAAGCGCGCACCTCGCGTGCAAGCGCGCACCTCGCGTGCAAGCGCGCACCTCGCGTGCAAGCGCGCACCTCGCGTGCAAGCAAGCACCTCGCGTGCAAGCGCGCACCTCGCACCTCGCGTGCAAGCGCGCACCTCGCGTGCAAGCGAGCACCTCGCGTGCAAGCGAGCACCTCGCGTGCAAGCGAGCACCTCGCGTGCAAGCGAGCACCTCGCGTGCAAGCGAGCACCTCGCGTGCAAGCGCGCACCTCGCGTGCAAGCGCGCACCTCGCGTGCAAGCGCGCACCTCGCGTGCAAGCGAGCACCTCGCGTGCAAGCGAGCACCTCGCGTGCAAGCGCGCACCTCGCTTGCAAGCGCGCACCTCGCGTGCAAGCGAGCACCTCGCGTGCAAGCGCGCACCTCGCGTGCAAGCGAGCACCTCGCGTGCAAGCGAGCACCTCGCGTGCAAGCGAGCACCTCGCGTGCAAGCGAGCACCTCGCGTGCAAGCGAGCACCTCGCGTGCAAGCGGGCACCTCGCGTGCAAGCGCGCACCTCGCGTGCAAGCAAAGCACCTCGCGTGCAAGCGCGCACCTCGCGTGCAAGCGCGCACCTCGCGTGCAAGCAAAGCACCTCGCGTGCAAGCGCGCACCTCGCGTGCAAGCGCGCACCTCGCGTGCAAGCGCGCACCTCGCGTGCAAGCAAAGCACCTCGCGCAAGCGCGCACCTCGCGTGCAAGCGTGCACCTCGCGTGCAAGCAAAGCACCTCGTGTGCAAGCAAAGCACCTCGCGTGCAAGCGAGCACCTCGCGTGCAAGCGCGCACCTCGCGTGCAAGCGCGCACCTCGCGTGCAAGCGCGCACCTCGCGTGCAAGCGCGCACCTCGCGTGCAAGCGAGCACCTCGCGTGCAAGCGCGCACCTCGCACCTCGCGTGCAAGCGCGCACCTCGCGTGCAAGCGAGCACCTCGCGTGCAAGCGAGCACCTCGCGTGCAAGCGAGCACCTCGCGTGCAAGCGAGCACCTCGCGTGCAAGCGAGCACCTCGCGTGCAAGCGAGCACCTCGCGTGCAAGCGGGCACCTCGCGTGCAAGCGCGCACCTCGCGTGCAAGCAAAGCACCTCGCGTGCAAGCGCGCACCTCGCGTGCAAGCGCGCACCTCGCGTGCAAGCAAAGCACCTCGCGTGCAAGCAAAGCACCTCGCGTGCAAGCAAAGCACCTCGCGTGCAAGCGCGCACCTCGCGTGCAAGCGCGCACCTCGCGTGCAAGCAAAGCACCTCGCGCAAGCGCGCACCTCGCGTGCAAGCGTGCACCTCGCGTGCAAGCAAAGCACCTCGTGTGCAAGCAAAGCACCTCGCGTGCAAGCGAGCACCTCGCGTGCAAGCGCGCACCTCGCGTGCAAGCGCGCACCTCGCGTGCAAGCGCGCACCTCGCGTGCAAGCACGCACCTCGCGTGCAAGCGAGCACCTCGCGTGCAAGCGCGCACCTCGCGTGCAAGCGAGCACCTCGCGTGCAAGCGAGCACCTCGCGTGCAAGCGAGCACCTCGCGTGCAAGCGAGCACCTCGCGTGCAAGCGCGCACCTCGCGTGCAAGCGCGCACCTCGCGTGCAAGCGCGCACCTCGCGTGCAAGCGCGCACCTCGCGTGCAAGCGCGCACCTCGCGTGCAAGCGCGCACCTCGCGTGCAAGCGCGCACCTCGCGTGCAAGCGCGCACCTCGCGTGCAAGCGAGCACCTCGCGTGCAAGCGCGCACCTCGCTTGCAAGCGCGCACCTCGCGTGCAAGCGAGCACCTCGCGTGCAAGCGCGCACCTCGCGTGCAAGCGAGCACCTCGCGTGCAAGCGAGCACCTCGCGTGCAAGCGAGCACCTCGCGTGCAAGCGAGCACCTCGCGTGCAAGCGCGCACCTCGCGTGCAAGCGCGCACCTCGCGTGCAAGCGCGCACCTCGCGTGCAAGCGGGCACCTCGCGTGCAAGCGCGCACCTCGCGTGCAAGCAAAGCACCTCGCGTGCAAGCGCGCACCTCGCGTGCAAGCGCGCACCTCGCGTGCAAGCAAAGCACCTCGCGTGCAAGCGCGCACCTCGCGTGCAAGCGCGCACCTCGCGTGCAAGCGCGCACCTCGCGTGCAAGCAAAGCACCTCGCGCAAGCGCGCACCTCGCGTGCAAGCGTGCACCTCGCGTGCAAGCAAAGCACCTCGTGTGCAAGCAAAGCACCTCGCGTGCAAGCGAGCACCTCGCGTGCAAGCGCGCACCTCGCGTGCAAGCGCGCACCTCGCGTGCAAGCGCGCACCTCGCGTGCAAGCGCGCACCTCGCGTGCAAGCGAGCACCTCGCGTGCAAGCGCGCACCTCGCACCTCGCGTGCAAGCGCGCACCTCGCGTGCAAGCGAGCACCTCGCGTGCAAGCGAGCACCTCGCGTGCAAGCGAGCACCTCGCGTGCAAGCGAGCACCTCGCGTGCAAGCGAGCACCTCGCGTGCAAGCGAGCACCTCGCGTGCAAGCGGGCACCTCGCGTGCAAGCGCGCACCTCGCGTGCAAGCAAAGCACCTCGCGTGCAAGCGCGCACCTCGCGTGCAAGCGCGCACCTCGCGTGCAAGCAAAGCACCTCGCGTGCAAGCAAAGCACCTCGCGTGCAAGCAAAGCACCTCGCGTGCAAGCGCGCACCTCGCGTGCAAGCGCGCACCTCGCGTGCAAGCAAAGCACCTCGCGCAAGCGCGCACCTCGCGTGCAAGCGTGCACCTCGCGTGCAAGCAAAGCACCTCGTGTGCAAGCAAAGCACCTCGCGTGCAAGCGAGCACCTCGCGTGCAAGCGCGCACCTCGCGTGCAAGCGCGCACCTCGCGTGCAAGCGCGCACCTCGCGTGCAAGCACGCACCTCGCGTGCAAGCGAGCACCTCGCGTGCAAGCGCGCACCTCGCGTGCAAGCGAGCACCTCGCGTGCAAGCGAGCACCTCGCGTGCAAGCGAGCACCTCGCGTGCAAGCGAGCACCTCGCGTGCAAGCGCGCACCTCGCGTGCAAGCGCGCACCTCGCGTGCAAGCGCGCACCTCGCGTGCAAGCGCGCACCTCGCGTGCAAGCGCGCACCTCGCGTGCAAGCGCGCACCTCGCGTGCAAGCGCGCACCTCGCGTGCAAGCGCGCACCTCGCGTGCAAGCGAGCACCTCGCGTGCAAGCGCGCACCTCGCTTGCAAGCGCGCACCTCGCGTGCAAGCGAGCACCTCGCGTGCAAGCGCGCACCTCGCGTGCAAGCGAGCACCTCGCGTGCAAGCGAGCACCTCGCGTGCAAGCGAGCACCTCGCGTGCAAGCGAGCACCTCGCGTGCAAGCGAGCACCTCGCGTGCAAGCGGGCACCTCGCGTGCAAGCGCGCACCTCGCGTGCAAGCAAAGCACCTCGCGTGCAAGCGCGCACCTCGCGTGCAAGCGCGCACCTCGCGTGCAAGCAAAGCACCTCGCGTGCAAGCGCGCACCTCGCGTGCAAGCGCGCACCTCGCGTGCAAGCGCGCACCTCGCGTGCAAGCAAAGCACCTCGCGCAAGCGCGCACCTCGCGTGCAAGCGTGCACCTCGCGTGCAAGCAAAGCACCTCGTGTGCAAGCAAAGCACCTCGCGTGCAAGCGAGCACCTCGCGTGCAAGCGCGCACCTCGCGTGCAAGCGCGCACCTCGCGTGCAAGCGCGCACCTCGCGTGCAAGCGCGCACCTCGCGTGCAAGCGAGCACCTCGCGTGCAAGCGCGCACCTCGCACCTCGCGTGCAAGCGAGCACCTCGCATGCAAGCGAGCACCTCGCGTGCAAGCGAGCACCTCGCGTGCAAGCGAGCACCTCGCGTGCAAGCGAGCACCTCGCGTGCAAGCGAGCACCTCGCGTGCAAGCGAGCACCTCGCGTGCAAGCGGGCACCTCGCGTGCAAGCGCGCACCTCGCGTGCAAGCAAAGCACCTCGCGTGCAAGCGCGCACCTCGCGTGCAAGCGCGCACCTCGCGTGCAAGCAAAGCACCTCGCGTGCAAGCAAAGCACCTCGCGTGCAAGCAAAGCACCTCGCGTGCAAGCGCGCACCTCGCGTGCAAGCGCGCACCTCGCGTGCAAGCAAAGCACCTCGCGCAAGCGCGCACCTCGCGTGCAAGCGTGCACCTCGCGTGCAAGCAAAGCACCTCGTGTGCAAGCAAAGCACCTCGCGTGCAAGCGAGCACCTCGCGTGCAAGCGCGCACCTCGCGTGCAAGCGCGCACCTCGCGTGCAAGCGCGCACCTCGCGTGCAAGCACGCACCTCGCGTGCAAGCGAGCACCTCGCGTGCAAGCGCGCACCTCGCGTGCAAGCGAGCACCTCGCGTGCAAGCGAGCACCTCGCGTGCAAGCGAGCACCTCGCGTGCAAGCGAGCACCTCGCGTGCAAGCGCGCACCTCGCGTGCAAGCGCGCACCTCGCGTGCAAGCGCGCACCTCGCGTGCAAGCGCGCACCTCGCGTGCAAGCGCGCACCTCGCGTGCAAGCGCGCACCTCGCGTGCAAGCGCGCACCTCGCGTGCAAGCGCGCACCTCGCGTGCAAGCGAGCACCTCGCGTGCAAGCGCGCACCTCGCTTGCAAGCGCGCACCTCGCGTGCAAGCGAGCACCTCGCGTGCAAGCGCGCACCTCGCGTGCAAGCGAGCACCTCGCGTGCAAGCGAGCACCTCGCGTGCAAGCGAGCACCTCGCGTGCAAGCGAGCACCTCGCGTGCAAGCGAGCACCTCGCGTGCAAGCGGGCACCTCGCGTGCAAGCGCGCACCTCGCGTGCAAGCAAAGCACCTCGCGTGCAAGCGCGCACCTCGCGTGCAAGCGCGCACCTCGCGTGCAAGCAAAGCACCTCGCGTGCAAGCGCGCACCTCGCGTGCAAGCGCGCACCTCGCGTGCAAGCGCGCACCTCGCGTGCAAGCAAAGCACCTCGCGCAAGCGCGCACCTCGCGTGCAAGCGTGCACCTCGCGTGCAAGCAAAGCACCTCGTGTGCAAGCAAAGCACCTCGCGTGCAAGCGAGCACCTCGCGTGCAAGCGCGCACCTCGCGTGCAAGCGCGCACCTCGCGTGCAAGCGCGCACCTCGCGTGCAAGCGCGCACCTCGCGTGCAAGCGCGCACCTCGCGTGCAAGCGCGCACCTCGCACCTCGCGTGCCAGCGCGCACCTCGCGTGCAAGCGCGCACCTCGCGTGCAAGCGCGCACCTCGCGTGCAAGCGAGCACCTCGCGTGCAAGCGAGCACCTCGCGTGCAAGCGAGCACCTCGCGTGCAAGCGCGCACCTCGCGTGCAAGCGCGCACCTCGCGTGCAAGCGCGCACCTCGCGTGCAAGCGCGCACCTCGCGTGCAAGCGCGCACCTCGCGTGCAAGCGAGCACCTCGCGTGCAAGCGAGCACCTCGCATGCAAGCGAGCACCTCGCGTGCAAGCGAGCACCTCGCGTGCAAGCGAGCACCTCGCGTGCAAGCGTGCACCTCGCGTGCAAGCGAGCACCTCGCGTGCAAGCGAGCACCTCGCGTGCAAGCGCGCACCTCGCGTGCAAGCGCGCACCTCGCGTGCAAGCGCGCACCTCGCGTGCAAGCGAGCACCTCGCGTGCAAGCGAGCACCTCGCGTGCAAGCGCGCACCTCGCTTGCAAGCGCGCACCTCGCGTGCAAGCGAGCACCTCGCGTGCAAGCGCGCACCTCGCGTGCAAGCGAGCACCTCGCGTGCAAGCGAGCACCTCGCGTGCAAGCGAGCACCTCGCGTGCAAGCGAGCACCTCGCGTGCAAGCGAGCACCTCGCGTGCAAGCGGGCACCTCGCGTGCATGCGCGCACCTCGCGTGCAAGCAAAGCACCTCGCGTGCAAGCGCGCACCTCGCGTGCAAGCGCGCACCTCGCGTGCAAGCAAAGGACCTCGCGTGCAAGCGCGCACCTCGCGTGCAAGCGCGCACCTCGCGTGCAAGCGCGCACCTCGCGTGCAAGCAAAGCACCTCGCGCAAGCGCGCACCTCGCGTGCAAGCGTGCACCTCGCGTGCAAGCAAAGCACCTCGTGTGCAAGCAAAGCACCTCGCGTGCAAGCGAGCACCTCGCGTGCAAGCGCGCACCTCGCGTGCAAGCGCGCACCTCGCGTGCAAGCGCGCACCTCGCGTGCAAGCGCGCACCTCGCGTGCAAGCGAGCACCTCGTGTGCAAGCGAGCACCTCGCGTGCAAGCGAGCACCTCGCGTGCAAGCGAGCACCTCGCGTGCAAGCGAGCACCACGCGTGCAAGCGAGCACCTCGCGTGCAAGCGAGCACCTCGCGTGCAAGCGAGCACCTCGCGTGCAAGCGAGCACCTCGCGTGCAAGCGAGCACCTCGCGTGCAAGCGCGCACCTCGCGTGCAAGCGCGCACCTCGCGTGCAAGCGCGCACCTCGCGTGCAAGCGCGCACCTCGCGTGCAAGCAAAGCACCTCGCGCAAGCGCGCACCTCGCGTGCAAGCGTGCACCTCGCGTGCAAGCAAAGCACCTCGTGTGCAAGCAAAGCACCTCGCGTGCAAGCGAGCACCTCGCGTGCAAGCGCGCACCTCGCGTGCAAGCGCGCACCTCGCGTGCAAGCGCGCACCTCGCGTGCAAGCGAGCACCTCGCGTGCAAGCGCGCACCTCGCACCTCGCGTGCAAGCGCGCACCTCGCGTGCAAGGGAGCACCTCGCGTGCAAGCGAGCACCTCGCGTGCAAGCGAGCACCTCGCGTGCAAGCGAGCACCTCGCGTGCAAGCGCGCACCTCGCGTGCAAGCGCGCACCTCGCGTGCAAGCGAGCACCTCGCGTGCAAGCGAGCACCTCGCGTGCAAGCGAGCACCTCGCGTGCAAGCGCGCACCTCGCGTGCAAGCGCGCACCTCGCGTGCAAGCGCGCACCTCGCGTGCAAGCGCGCACCTCGCGTGCAAGCGCGCACCTCGCGTGCAAGCGCGCACCTCGCGTGCAAGCGCGCACCTCGCGTGCAAGCGAGCACCTCGCGTGCAAGCGCAGCACCTCGCGTGCAAGCGCAGCACCTCGCGTGCAAGCGAGCACCTCGCGTGCAAGCGCGCACCTCGCGTGCAAGCGCGCACCTCGCGTGCAAGCGCGCACCTCGCGTGCAAGCGAGCACCTCGCGTGCAAGCGAGCACCTCGCGTGCAAGCGAGCACCACGCGTGCAAGCGAGCACCTCGCGTGCAAGCGAGCACCTCGCGTGCAAGCGAGCACCTCGCGTGCAAGCGAGCACCTCGCGTGCAAGCGCGCACCTCGCGTGCAAGCGCGCACCTCGCGTGCAAGCGCGCACCTCGCGTGCAAGCACGCACCTCGCGTGCAAGCAAAGCACCTCGCGCAAGCGCGCACCTCGCGTGCAAGCGTGCACCTCGCGTGCAAGCAAAGCACCTCGTGTGCAAGCAAAGCACCTCGCGTGCAAGCGAGCACCTCGCGTGCAAGCGCGCACCTCGCGTGCAAGCGCGCACCTCGCGTGCAAGCGCGCACCTCGCGTGCAAGCGAGCACCTCGCGTGCAAGCGCGCACCTCGCACCTCGCGTGCAAGCGCGCACCTCGCGTGCAAGGGAGCACCTCGCGTGCAAGCGAGCACCTCGCGTGCAAGCGAGCACCTCGCGTGCAAGCGAGCACCTCGCGTGCAAGCGCGCACCTCGCGTGCAAGCGCGCACCTCGCGTGCAAGCGAGCACCTCGCGTGCAAGCGAGCACCTCGCGTGCAAGCGAGCACCTCGCGTGCAAGCGCGCACCTCGCGTGCAAGCGCGCACCTCGCGTGCAAGCGCGCACCTCGCGTGCAAGCGCGCACCTCGCGTGCAAGCGCGCACCTCGCGTGCAAGCGCGCACCTCGCGTGCAAGCGCGCACCTCGCGTGCAAGCGAGCACCTCGCGTGCAAGCGCAGCACCTCGCGTGCAAGCGCAGCACCTCACGTGCAAGCGAGCACCTCGCGTGCAAGCGCGCACCTCGCGTGCAAGCGCGCACCTCGCGTGCAAGCGCGCACCTCGCGTGCAAGCGCGCACCTCGCGTGCAAGCGAGCACCTCGCGTGCAAGCGAGCACCTCGCGTGCAAGCGAGCACCTCGCGTGCAAGCGCGCACCTCGCGTGCAAGCGCACACCTCGCGTGCAAGCGCGCACCTCGCGTGCAAGCGCGCACCTCGCGTGCAAGCGCGCACCTCGCGTGCAAGCGAGCACCTCGCGTGCAAGCGAGCACCTCGCGTGCAAGCGAGCACCTCGCGTGCAAGCGAGCACCTCGCGTGCAAGCGAGCACCTCGCGTGCAAGCGTGCACCTCGCGTGCAAGCGAGCACCTCGCGTGCAAGCGAGCACCTCGCGTGCAAGCGCGCACCTCGCGTGCAAGCGCGCACCTCGCGTGCAAGCGCGCACCTCGCGTGCAAGCGAGCACCTCGCGTGCAAGCGAGCACCTCGCGTGCAAGCGCGCACCTCGCTTGCAAGCGCGCACCTCGCGTGCAAGCGAGCACCTCGCGTGCAAGCGCGCACCTCGCGTGCAAGCGAGCACCTCGCGTGCAAGCGAGCACCTCGCGTGCAAGCGAGCACCTCGCGTGCAAGCGAGCACCTCGCGTGCAAGCGAGCACCTCGCGTGCAAGCGGGCACCTCGCGTGCAAGCGCGCACCTCGCGTGCAAGCAAAGCACCTCGCGTGCAAGCGCGCACCTCGCGTGCAAGCGCGCACCTCGCGTGCAAGCGCGCACCTCGCGTGCAAGCGCGCACCTCGCGTGCAAGCGCGCACCTCGCGTGCAAGCGCGCACCTCGCGTGCAAGCAAAGCACCTCGCGCAAGCGCGCACCTCGCGTGCAAGCGTGCACCTCGCGTGCAAGCAAAGCACCTCGTGTGCAAGCAAAGCACCTCGCGTGCAAGCGAGCACCTCGCGTGCAAGCGCGCACCTCGCGTGCAAGCGCGCACCTCGCGTGCAAGCGCGCACCTCGCGTGCAAGCGCGCACCTCGCGTGCAAGCAAGCACCTCGCGTGCAAGCGCGCACCTCGCACCTCGCGTGCAAGCGCGCACCTCGCGTGCAAGCGAGCACCTCGCGTGCAAGCGAGCACCTCGCGTGCAAGCGAGCACCTCGCGTGCAAGCGAGCACCTCGCGTGCAAGCGAGCACCTCGCGTGCAAGCGCGCACCTCGCGTGCAAGCGCGCACCTCGCGTGCAAGCGCGCACCTCGCGTGCAAGCGAGCACCTCGCGTGCAAGCGAGCACCTCGCGTGCAAGCGCGCACCTCGCTTGCAAGCGCGCACCTCGCGTGCAAGCGAGCACCTCGCGTGCAAGCGCGCACCTCGCGTGCAAGCGAGCACCTCGCGTGCAAGCGAGCACCTCGCGTGCAAGCGAGCACCTCGCGTGCAAGCGAGCACCTCGCGTGCAAGCGAGCACCTCGCGTGCAAGCGGGCACCTCGCGTGCAAGCGCGCACCTCGCGTGCAAGCAAAGCACCTCGCGTGCAAGCGCGCACCTCGCGTGCAAGCGCGCACCTCGCGTGCAAGCGCGCACCTCGCGTGCAAGCAAAGCACCTCGCGTGCAAGCGCGCACCTCGCGTGCAAGCGCGCACCTCGCGTGCAAGCGCGCACCTCGCGTGCAAGCAAAGCACCTCGCGCAAGCGCGCACCTCGCGTGCAAGCGTGCACCTCGCGTGCAAGCAAAGCACCTCGTGTGCAAGCAAAGCACCTCGCGTGCAAGCGAGCACCTCGCGTGCAAGCGCGCACCTCGCGTGCAAGCGCGCACCTCGCGTGCAAGCGCGCACCTCGCGTGCAAGCGCGCACCTCGCGTGCAAGCGAGCACCTCGCGTGCAAGCGCGCACCTCGCACCTCGCGTGCAAGCGCGCACCTCGCGTGCAAGCGAGCACCTCGCGTGCAAGCGAGCACCTCGCGTGCAAGCGAGCACCTCGCGTGCAAGCGAGCACCTCGCGTGCAAGCGAGCACCTCGCGTGCAAGCGAGCACCTCGCGTGCAAGCGGGCACCTCGCGTGCAAGCGCGCACCTCGCGTGCAAGCAAAGCACCTCGCGTGCAAGCGCGCACCTCGCGTGCAAGCGCGCACCTCGCGTGCAAGCAAAGCACCTCGCGTGCAAGCAAAGCACCTCGCGTGCAAGCAAAGCACCTCGCGTGCAAGCGCGCACCTCGCGTGCAAGCGCGCACCTCGCGTGCAAGCAAAGCACCTCGCGCAAGCGCGCACCTCGCGTGCAAGCGTGCACCTCGCGTGCAAGCAAAGCACCTCGTGTGCAAGCAAAGCACCTCGCGTGCAAGCGAGCACCTCGCGTGCAAGCGCGCACCTCGCGTGCAAGCGCGCACCTCGCGTGCAAGCGCGCACCTCGCGTGCAAGCACGCACCTCGCGTGCAAGCGAGCACCTCGCGTGCAAGCGCGCACCTCGCGTGCAAGCGAGCACCTCGCGTGCAAGCGAGCACCTCGCGTGCAAGCGAGCACCTCGCGTGCAAGCGAGCACCTCGCGTGCAAGCGCGCACCTCGCGTGCAAGCGCGCACCTCGCGTGCAAGCGCGCACCTCGCGTGCAAGCGCGCACCTCGCGTGCAAGCGCGCACCTCGCGTGCAAGCGCGCACCTCGCGTGCAAGCGCGCACCTCGCGTGCAAGCGCGCACCTCGCGTGCAAGCGAGCACCTCGCGTGCAAGCGCGCACCTCGCTTGCAAGCGCGCACCTCGCGTGCAAGCGAGCACCTCGCGTGCAAGCGCGCACCTCGCGTGCAAGCGAGCACCTCGCGTGCAAGCGAGCACCTCGCGTGCAAGCGAGCACCTCGCGTGCAAGCGAGCACCTCGCGTGCAAGCGAGCACCTCGCGTGCAAGCGGGCACCTCGCGTGCAAGCGCGCACCTCGCGTGCAAGCAAAGCACCTCGCGTGCAAGCGCGCACCTCGCGTGCAAGCGCGCACCTCGCGTGCAAGCAAAGCACCTCGCGTGCAAGCGCGCACCTCGCGTGCAAGCGCGCACCTCGCGTGCAAGCGCGCACCTCGCGTGCAAGCAAAGCACCTCGCGCAAGCGCGCACCTCGCGTGCAAGCGTGCACCTCGCGTGCAAGCAAAGCACCTCGTGTGCAAGCAAAGCACCTCGCGTGCAAGCGAGCACCTCGCGTGCAAGCGCGCACCTCGCGTGCAAGCGCGCACCTCGCGTGCAAGCGCGCACCTCGCGTGCAAGCGCGCACCTCGCGTGCAAGCGAGCACCTCGCGTGCAAGCGCGCACCTCGCACCTCGCGTGCAAGCGAGCACCTCGCATGCAAGCGAGCACCTCGCGTGCAAGCGAGCACCTCGCGTGCAAGCGAGCACCTCGCGTGCAAGCGAGCACCTCGCGTGCAAGCGAGCACCTCGCGTGCAAGCGAGCACCTCGCGTGCAAGCGGGCACCTCGCGTGCAAGCGCGCACCTCGCGTGCAAGCAAAGCACCTCGCGTGCAAGCGCGCACCTCGCGTGCAAGCGCGCACCTCGCGTGCAAGCAAAGCACCTCGCGTGCAAGCAAAGCACCTCGCGTGCAAGCAAAGCACCTCGCGTGCAAGCGCGCACCTCGCGTGCAAGCGCGCACCTCGCGTGCAAGCAAAGCACCTCGCGCAAGCGCGCACCTCGCGTGCAAGCGTGCACCTCGCGTGCAAGCAAAGCACCTCGTGTGCAAGCAAAGCACCTCGCGTGCAAGCGAGCACCTCGCGTGCAAGCGCGCACCTCGCGTGCAAGCGCGCACCTCGCGTGCAAGCGCGCACCTCGCGTGCAAGCACGCACCTCGCGTGCAAGCGAGCACCTCGCGTGCAAGCGCGCACCTCGCGTGCAAGCGAGCACCTCGCGTGCAAGCGAGCACCTCGCGTGCAAGCGAGCACCTCGCGTGCAAGCGAGCACCTCGCGTGCAAGCGCGCACCTCGCGTGCAAGCGCGCACCTCGCGTGCAAGCGCGCACCTCGCGTGCAAGCGCGCACCTCGCGTGCAAGCGCGCACCTCGCGTGCAAGCGCGCACCTCGCGTGCAAGCGCGCACCTCGCGTGCAAGCGCGCACCTCGCGTGCAAGCGAGCACCTCGCGTGCAAGCGCGCACCTCGCTTGCAAGCGCGCACCTCGCGTGCAAGCGAGCACCTCGCGTGCAAGCGCGCACCTCGCGTGCAAGCGAGCACCTCGCGTGCAAGCGAGCACCTCGCGTGCAAGCGAGCACCTCGCGTGCAAGCGAGCACCTCGCGTGCAAGCGAGCACCTCGCGTGCAAGCGGGCACCTCGCGTGCAAGCGCGCACCTCGCGTGCAAGCAAAGCACCTCGCGTGCAAGCGCGCACCTCGCGTGCAAGCGCGCACCTCGCGTGCAAGCAAAGCACCTCGCGTGCAAGCGCGCACCTCGCGTGCAAGCGCGCACCTCGCGTGCAAGCGCGCACCTCGCGTGCAAGCAAAGCACCTCGCGCAAGCGCGCACCTCGCGTGCAAGCGTGCACCTCGCGTGCAAGCAAAGCACCTCGTGTGCAAGCAAAGCACCTCGCGTGCAAGCGAGCACCTCGCGTGCAAGCGCGCACCTCGCGTGCAAGCGCGCACCTCGCGTGCAAGCGCGCACCTCGCGTGCAAGCGCGCACCTCGCGTGCAAGCGCGCACCTCGCGTGCAAGCGCGCACCTCGCACCTCGCGTGCAAGCGCGCACCTCGCGTGCAAGCGCGCACCTCGCGTGCAAGCGCGCACCTCGCGTGCAAGCGAGCACCTCGCGTGCAAGCGAGCACCTCGCGTGCAAGCGAGCACCTCGCGTGCAAGCGCGCACCTCGCGTGCAAGCGCGCACCTCGCGTGCAAGCGCGCACCTCGCGTGCAAGCGCGCACCTCGCGTGCAAGCGCGCACCTCGCGTGCAAGCGAGCACCTCGCGTGCAAGCGAGCACCTCGCATGCAAGCGAGCACCTCGCGTGCAAGCGAGCACCTCGCGTGCAAGCGAGCACCTCGCGTGCAAGCGTGCACCTCGCGTGCAAGCGAGCACCTCGCGTGCAAGCGAGCACCTCGCGTGCAAGCGCGCACCTCGCGTGCAAGCGCGCACCTCGCGTGCAAGCGCGCACCTCGCGTGCAAGCGAGCACCTCGCGTGCAAGCGAGCACCTCGCGTGCAAGCGCGCACCTCGCTTGCAAGCGCGCACCTCGCGTGCAAGCGAGCACCTCGCGTGCAAGCGCGCACCTCGCGTGCAAGCGAGCACCTCGCGTGCAAGCGAGCACCTCGCGTGCAAGCGAGCACCTCGCGTGCAAGCGAGCACCTCGCGTGCAAGCGAGCACCTCGCGTGCAAGCGGGCACCTCGCGTGCATGCGCGCACCTCGCGTGCAAGCAAAGCACCTCGCGTGCAAGCGCGCACCTCGCGTGCAAGCGCGCACCTCGCGTGCAAGCAAAGCACCTCGCGTGCAAGCGCGCACCTCGCGTGCAAGCGCGCACCTCGCGTGCAAGCGCGCACCTCGCGTGCAAGCAAAGCACCTCGCGCAAGCGCGCACCTCGCGTGCAAGCGTGCACCTCGCGTGCAAGCAAAGCACCTCGTGTGCAAGCAAAGCACCTCGCGTGCAAGCGAGCACCTCGCGTGCAAGCGCGCACCTCGCGTGCAAGCGCGCACCTCGCGTGCAAGCGCGCACCTCGCGTGCAAGCGCGCACCTCGCGTGCAAGCGAGCACCTCGCGTGCAAGCGCGCACCTCGCACCTCGCGTGCAAGCGCGCACCTCGCGTGCAAGCGAGCACCTCGCGTGCAAGCGAGCACCTCGCGTGCAAGCGAGCACCTCGCGTGCAAGCGAGCACCTCGCGTGCAAGCGCGCACCTCGCGTGCAAGCGCGCACCTCGCGTGCAAGCGAGCACCTCGCGTGCAAGCGAGCACCTCGCGTGCAAGCGCGCACCTCGCGTGCAAGCGCGCACCTCGCGTGCAAGCGAGCACCTCGCGTGCAAGCGCAGCACCTCGCGTGTAAGCGCAGCACCTCGCGTGCAAGCGAGCACCTCGCGTGCAAGCGCGCACCTCGCGTGCAAGCGCGCACCTCGCGTGCAAGCGCGCACCTCGCGTGCAAGCGCGCACCTCGCGTGCAAGCGAGCACCTCGCGTGCAAGCGAGCACCTCGCGTGCAAGCGAGCACCTCGCGTGCAAGCGCGCACCTCGCGTGCAAGCGCGCACCTCGCGTGCAAGCGCGCACCTCGCGTGCAAGCGCGCACCTCGCGTGCAAGCGCGCACCTCGCGTGCAAGCGAGCACCTCGCGTGCAAGCGAGCACCTCGCATGCAAGCGAGCACCTCGCGTGCAAGCGAGCACCTCGCGTGCAAGCGAGCACCTCGCGTGCAAGCGTGCACCTCGCGTGCAAGCGAGCACCTCGCGTGCAAGCGAGCACCTCGCGTGCAAGCGCGCACCTCGCGTGCAAGCGCGCACCTCGCGTGCAAGCGCGCACCTCGCGTGCAAGCGAGCACCTCGCGTGCAAGCGAGCACCTCGCGTGCAAGCGCGCACCTCGCTTGCAAGCGCGCACCTCGCGTGCAAGCGAGCACCTCGCGTGCAAGCGCGCACCTCGCGTGCAAGCGAGCACCTCGCATGCAAGCGAGCACCTCGCGTGCAAGCGAGCACCTCGCGTGCAAGCGAGCACCTCGCGTGCAAGCGTGCACCTCGCGTGCAAGCGAGCACCTCGCGTGCAAGCGAGCACCTCGCGTGCAAGCGCGCACCTCGCGTGCAAGCGCGCACCTCGCGTGCAAGCGCACACCTCGCGTGCAAGCGAGCACCTCGCGTGCAAGCGAGCACCTCGCGTGCAAGCGCGCACCTCGCTTGCAAGCGCGCACCTCGCGTGCAAGCGAGCACCTCGCGTGCAAGCGCGCACCTCGCGTGCAAGCGAGCACCTCGCGTGCAAGCGAGCACCTCGCGTGCAAGCGAGCACCTCGCGTGCAAGCGCGCACCTCGCGTGCAAGCGAGCACCTCGCGTGCAAGCGAGCACCTCGCGTGCAAGCGAGCACCTCGCGTGCAAGCGCGCACCTCGCGTGCAAGCGCGCACCTCGCGTGCAAGCGCGCACCTCGCGTGCAAGCGAGCACCTCGCGTGCAAGCGAGCACCTCGCGTGCAAGCGCGCACCTCGCTTGCAAGCGCGCACCTCGCGTGCAAGCGAGCACCTCGCGTGCAAGCGCGCACCTCGCGTGCAAGCGAGCACCTCGCGTGCAAGCGAGCACCTCGCGTGCAAGCGAGCACCTCGCGTGCAAGCGAGCACCTCGCGTGCAAGCGAGCACCTCGCGTGCAAGCGGGCACCTCGCGTGCAAGCGCGCACCTCGCGTGCAAGCAAAGCACCTCGCGTGCAAGCGCGCACCTCGCGTGCAAGCGCGCACCTCGCGTGCAAGCAAAGCACCTCGCGTGCAAGCGCGCACCTCGCGTGCAAGCGCGCACCTCGCGTGCAAGCGCGCACCTCGCGTGCAAGCAAAGCACCTCGCGCAAGCGCGCACCTCGCGTGCAAGCGTGCACCTCGCGTGCAAGCAAAGCACCTCGTGTGCAAGCAAAGCACCTCGCGTGCAAGCGAGCACCTCGCGTGCAAGCGCGCACCTCGCGTGCAAGCGCGCACCTCGCGTGCAAGCGCGCACCTCGCGTGCAAGCGCGCACCTCGCGTGCAAGCGAGCACCTCGCGTGCAAGCGCGCACCTCGCACCTCGCGTGCAAGCGCGCACCTCGCGTGCAAGCGAGCACCTCGCGTGCAAGCGAGCACCTCGCGTGCAAGCGAGCACCTCGCGTGCAAGCGAGCACCTCGCGTGCAAGCGAGCACCTCGCGTGCAAGCGAGCACCTCGCGTGCAAGCGGGCACCTCGCGTGCAAGCGCGCACCTCGCGTGCAAGCAAAGCACCTCGCGTGCAAGCGCGCACCTCGCGTGCAAGCGCGCACCTCGCGTGCAAGCAAAGCACCTCGCGTGCAAGCAAAGCACCTCGCGTGCAAGCAAAGCACCTCGCGTGCAAGCGCGCACCTCGCGTGCAAGCGCGCACCTCGCGTGCAAGCAAAGCACCTCGCGCAAGCGCGCACCTCGCGTGCAAGCGTGCACCTCGCGTGCAAGCAAAGCACCTCGTGTGCAAGCAAAGCACCTCGCGTGCAAGCGAGCACCTCGCGTGCAAGCGCGCACCTCGCGTGCAAGCGCGCACCTCGCGTGCAAGCGCGCACCTCGCGTGCAAGCACGCACCTCGCGTGCAAGCGAGCACCTCGCGTGCAAGCGCGCACCTCGCGTGCAAGCGAGCACCTCGCGTGCAAGCGAGCACCTCGCGTGCAAGCGAGCACCTCGCGTGCAAGCGAGCACCTCGCGTGCAAGCGCGCACCTCGCGTGCAAGCGCGCACCTCGCGTGCAAGCGCGCACCTCGCGTGCAAGCGCGCACCTCGCGTGCAAGCGCGCACCTCGCGTGCAAGCGCGCACCTCGCGTGCAAGCGCGCACCTCGCGTGCAAGCGCGCACCTCGCGTGCAAGCGCGCACCTCGCGTGCAAGCGCGCACCTCGCGTGCAAGCGCGCACCTCGCGTGCAAGCGCGCACCTCGCGTGCAAGCGAGCACCTCGCGTGCAAGCGCGCACCTCGCGTGCAAGCGAGCACCTCGCGTGCAAGCGAGCACCTCGCGTGCAAGCGAGCACCTCGCGTGCAAGCGCGCACCTCGCGTGCAAGCGAGCACCTCGCGTGCAAGCGAGCACCTCGCGTGCAAGCGAGCACCTCGCGTGCAAGCGCGCACCTCGCGTGCAAGCGCGCACCTCGCGTGCAAGCGCGCACCTCGCGTGCAAGCGAGCACCTCGCGTGCAAGCGAGCACCTCGCGTGCAAGCGCGCACCTCGCTTGCAAGCGCGCACCTCGCGTGCAAGCGAGCACCTCGCGTGCAAGCGCGCACCTCGCGTGCAAGCGAGCACCTCGCGTGCAAGCGAGCACCTCGCGTGCAAGCGAGCACCTCGCGTGCAAGCGAGCACCTCGCGTGCAAGCGAGCACCTCGCGTGCAAGCGGGCACCTCGCGTGCAAGCGCGCACCTCGCGTGCAAGCAAAGCACCTCGCGTGCAAGCGCGCACCTCGCGTGCAAGCGCGCACCTCGCGTGCAAGCAAAGCACCTCGCGTGCAAGCGCGCACCTCGCGTGCAAGCAAAGCACCTCGCGTGCAAGCAAAGCACCTCGCGCAAGCGCGCACCTCGCGTGCAAGCGTGCACCTCGCGTGCAAGCAAAGCACCTCGTGTGCAAGCAAAGCACCTCGCGTGCAAGCGAGCACCTCGCGTGCAAGCGCGCACCTCGCGTGCAAGCGCGCACCTCGCGTGCAAGCGCGCACCTCGCGTGCAAGCGCGCACCTCGCGTGCAAGCGAGCACCTCGCGTGCAAGCGCGCACCTCGCACCTCGCGTGCAAGCGCGCACCTCGCGTGCAAGCGAGCACCTCGCGTGCAAGCGAGCACCTCGCGTGCAAGCGAGCACCTCGCGTGCAAGCGAGCACCTCGCGTGCAAGCGAGCACCTCGCGTGCAAGCGAGCACCTCGCGTGCAAGCGGGCACCTCGCGTGCAAGCGCGCACCTCGCGTGCAAGCAAAGCACCTCGCGTGCAAGCGCGCACCTCGCGTGCAAGCGCGCACCTCGCGTGCAAGCAAAGCACCTCGCGTGCAAGCAAAGCACCTCGCGTGCAAGCAAAGCACCTCGCGTGCAAGCGCGCACCTCGCGTGCAAGCGCGCACCTCGCGTGCAAGCAAAGCACCTCGCGCAAGCGCGCACCTCGCGTGCAAGCGTGCACCTCGCGTGCAAGCAAAGCACCTCGTGTGCAAGCAAAGCACCTCGCGTGCAAGCGAGCACCTCGCGTGCAAGCGCGCACCTCGCGTGCAAGCGCGCACCTCGCGTGCAAGCGCGCACCTCGCGTGCAAGCACGCACCTCGCGTGCAAGCGAGCACCTCGCGTGCAAGCGCGCACCTCGCGTGCAAGCGAGCACCTCGCGTGCAAGCGGGCACCTCGCGTGCAAGCGCGCACCTCGCGTGCAAGCAAAGCACCTCGCGTGCAAGCGCGCACCTCGCGTGCAAGCGCGCACCTCGCGTGCAAGCAAAGCACCTCGCGTGCAAGCGCGCACCTCGCGTGCAAGCGCGCACCTCGCGTGCAAGCGCGCACCTCGCGTGCAAGCAAAGCACCTCGCGCAAGCGCGCACCTCGCGTGCAAGCGTGCACCTCGCGTGCAAGCAAAGCACCTCGTGTGCAAGCAAAGCACCTCGCGTGCAAGCGAGCACCTCGCGTGCAAGCGCGCACCTCGCGTGCAAGCGCGCACCTCGCGTGCAAGCGCGCACCTCGCGTGCAAGCGCGCACCTCGCGTGCAAGCGAGCACCTCGCGTGCAAGCGCGCACCTCGCACCTCGCGTGCAAGCGCGCACCTCGCGTGCAAGCGAGCACCTCGCGTGCAAGCGAGCACCTCGCGTGCAAGCGAGCACCTCGCGTGCAAGCGAGCACCTCGCGTGCAAGCGAGCACCTCGCGTGCAAGCGAGCACCTCGCGTGCAAGCGGGCACCTCGCGTGCAAGCGCGCACCTCGCGTGCAAGCAAAGCACCTCGCGTGCAAGCGCGCACCTCGCGTGCAAGCAAAGCACCTCGCGCAAGCGCGCACCTCGCGTGCAAGCGTGCACCTCGCGTGCAAGCAAAGCACCTCGTGTGCAAGCAAAGCACCTCGCGTGCAAGCGAGCACCTCGCGTGCAAGCGCGCACCTCGCGTGCAAGCGCGCACCTCGCGTGCAAGCGCGCACCTCGCGTGCAAGCGCGCACCTCGCGTGCAAGCGAGCACCTCGCGTGCAAGCGCGCACCTCGCACCTCACGTGCAAGCGCGCACCTCGCGTGCAAGCGAGCACCTCGCGTGCAAGCGAGCACCTCGCGTGCAAGCGAGCACCTCGCGTGCAAGCGAGCACCTCGCGTGCAAGCGAGCACCTCGCGTGCAAGCGAGCACCTCGCGTGCAAGCGGGCACCTCGCGTGCAAGCGCGCACCTCGCGTGCAAGCAAAGCACCTCGCGTGCAAGCGCGCACCTCGCGTGCAAGCGCGCACCTCGCGTGCAAGCAAAGCACCTCGCGTGCAAGCAAAGCACCTCGCGTGCAAGCAAAGCACCTCGCGTGCAAGCGCGCACCTCGCGTGCAAGCGCGCACCTCGCGTGCAAGCAAAGCACCTCGCGCAAGCGCGCACCTCGCGTGCAAGCGTGCACCTCGCGTGCAAGCAAAGCACCTCGTGTGCAAGCAAAGCACCTCGCGTGCAAGCGAGCACCTCGCGTGCAAGCGCGCGCCTCGCGTGCAAGCGCGCACCTCGCGTGCAAGCGCGCACCTCGCATGCAAGCGAGCACCTCGCGTGCAAGCGCGCACCTCGCGTGCAAGCGAGCACCTCGCGTGCAAGCGAGCACCTCGCGTGCAAGCGAGCACCTCGCGTGCAAGCGAGCACCTCGCGTGCAAGCGCGCACCTCGCGTGCAAGCGCGCACCTCGCGTGCAAGCGCGCACCTCGCGTGCAAGCGCGCACCTCGCGTGCAAGCGCGCACCTCGCGTGCAAGCGCGCACCTCGCGTGCAAGCGCGCACCTCGCGTGCAAGCGCGCACCTCGCGTGCAAGCGCGCACCTCGCGTGCAAGCGCGCACCTCGCGTGCAAGCGCGCACCTCGCGTGCAAGCGCGCACCTCGCGTGCAAGCGCGCACCTCGCGTGCAAGCGAGCACCTCGCGTGCAAGCGCAGCACCTCGCGTGCAAGCGCAGCACCTCGCGTGCAAGCGCGCACCTCGCGTGCAAGCGCGCACCTCGCGTGCAAGCGCGCACCTCGCGTGCAAGCGCGCACCTCGCGTGCAAGCAAAGCACCTCGCGTGCAAGCGCGCACCTCGTGTGCAAGCGCGCACCTCGCGTGCAAGCGCGCACCTCGCGTGCAAGCGAGCACCTCGCGTGCAAGCGCGCACCTCGCGTGCAAGCGCGCACCTCGCGTGCAAGCGCGCACCTCGCGTGCAAGCGCGCACCTCGCGTGCAAGCGGGCACCTCGCGTGCAAGCGGGCACCTCTCGTGCAAGCGCGCACCTCTCGTGCAAGCGCGCACCTCGCGTGCAAGCGCGCACCTCGCGTGCAAGCGCGCACCTCGCGTGCAAGCGCGCACCTCGCGTGCAAGCGCGCACCTCGCGTGCAAGCGCGCACCTCGCGTGCAAGCGCGCACCTCGCGTGCAAGCGAGCACCTCGCGTGCAAGCGAGCACCTCGCGTGCAAGCGAGCACCTCGCGTGCAAGCGAGCACCTCGCGTGCAAGCGAGCACCTCGCGTGCAAGCGAGCACCTCGCGTGCAAGCGAGCACCTCGCGTGCAAGCGAGCACCTCGCGTGCAAGCGAGCACCTCGCGTGCAAGCGAGCACCTCGCGTGCAAGCGAGCACCTCGCGTGCAAGCGAGCACCTCGCGTGCAAGCGAGCACCTCGCGTGCAAGCGAGCACCTCGCGTGCAAGCAAAGCACCTCGCGTGCAAGCAAAGCACCTCGCGTGCAAGCAAAGCACCTCGCGTGCAAGCGCGCACCTCGCGTGCAAGCAAAGCACCTCGCGCAAGCGCGCACCTCGCGTGCAAGCGTGCACCTCGCGTGCAAGCAAAGCACCTCGTGTGCAAGCAAAGCACCTCGCGTGCAAGCGAGCACCTCGCGTGCAAGCGCGCACCTCGCGTGCAAGCGCGCACCTCGCGTGCAAGCGCGCACCTCGCGTGCAAGCGCGCACCTCGCGTGCAAGCGCGCACCTCGCGTGCAAGCGCGCACCTCGCGTGCAAGCGCGCACCTCGCGTGCAAGCGAGCACCTCCCGTGCAAGCGAGCACCTCGTGTGCAAGCGAGCACCTCGCGTGCAAGCGCGCACCTCGCGTGCAAGCGCGCACCTCGCGTGCAAGCGCGCACCTCGCGTGCAAGCGCGCACCTCGCGTGCAAGCGCGCACCTCGCGTGCAAGCGAGCACCTCGCGTGCAAGCGAGCACCTCGCGTGCAAGCGAGCACCTCGCGTGCAAGCGCGCACCTCGCGTGCAAGCGCGCACCTCGCGTGCAAGCGCGCACCTCGCGTGCAAGCGCGCACCTCGCGTGCAAGCGCGCACCTCGCGTGCAAGCGCGCACCTCGCGTGCAAGCGCGCACCTCGCGTGCAAGCGCGCACCTCGCGTGCAAGCGCGCACCTCGCGTGCAAGCGCGCACCTCGCGTGCAAGCGCGCACCTCGCGTGCAAGCGCGCACCTCGCGTGCAAGCGCGCACCTCGCGTGCAAGCGCGCACCTCGCGTGCAAGCGCGCACCTCGCGTGCAAGCGCGCACCTCGCGTGCAAGCGCGCACCTCGCGTGCAAGCGCACACCTCGCGTGCAAGCGAGCACCTCGCGTGCAAGCGAGCACCTCGCGTGCAAGCGCGCACCTCGCGTGCAAGCGCGCACCTCGCGTGCAAGCGCGCACCTCGCGTGCAAGCGCGCACCTCGTGTGCAGGCACATTGGATGTGACGTACTTGGATCAACAGTGCGGCGTGGCATCCAAGTGCAGTACAGCAGGGCACCCACGGCCACTGCTGCCACCGCCACCGCCCCCACCACCAGCAGCACCACCATGCTCACGCTCATGCCCTGCTGCTCGGCCCCTCCCTCCCCTGCACCATTCCCCCCTGCCTGTGCCTGTGCGCCCACCCCTCCCACCGCGGTGCCTGAGCCAAGGCTGCTGCTACTGGAGCCGCTGTAATTGGCTACTCCTCCCGGACTGGGGCTGCTGCCTCCTTGGCTGCTCGTGCTGTTGCTGCTGCTGCCGTTGCCACTGGTACCACTGCTGCCACTCCCACTGCCACCGTCATTGCTGTTATTGCTGGCATCGCTGGTGGTGTAGCCACCACCTTTACCGCTGCTACTGCCACCGCTGCTGCCACCGCTGCTGCTGTTGCCTGAGGCTGATGGGGACGGAACAGGCGGTGGCGACGGCGCTGGCAGGGAGGGAGGAGAGGGGGGCGGCAGCAGCTGCGTGACGGCCACGAGCGAGTACTCCCCGTACAGCCTGGCATCCAGGTGTATCTGGTGCCGCCTCATCCGCGAGTCTACCTGCGCCAGGAAGCTTCTGGGGAAGGTGGTCTGATAGCGCGGGAGGAGCAGCAGCGTGACGACGGCGGCGGTGTGGTCGGTGCGGGAGAGCGAGCGGCGCAGGATGCACGAGTCGGGCAGGCGCAGCTGCTCCGCTAGGTCCTGACAGACGGGTAAGGGTGGGGTTTGGGGAAGCGTGCATATTTTTGAGCCGCCACAATGCACGAGTCGGGCAGGCGCAGCTGCTCCGCCAGGTCCTGATGGGCGCGCGAGGGGGGGTGGGGGGGGAGGCGTGCGTGTTTTTCAAGGCGCCATAAAAACAGGATGCACGAGTCAGGCAGGCGCAGCTGCTCCGCTAGGTCCTGATGGGCGGGCGAAGGGGGGGTTGCGGGGAGGCGGGCGCGCATGGAGAGGAGGCATGAGAACGCAGGCGGGTGAGCGGATGAGTGTTACATGCGTGAGCTATTCGGCAACGGACGCACAGACGACCGTCGAACGACGGCCGTCACACGGCAAGCGCCATGCGTGCAACGTACGTGGACGAAGGATGCAAAGTGCATCTCCACGGCCGTCGCGTTGGACAGCCGCACCGCCAGCTCCGCGGGGTGCACGCACGCGCACCGCCCCTCCGTCGCGCTCGGACTCAGCGCCTCCCACTCCCGCTGCGAGCACGCCCCCGCGCACACCACTGGCGGAGGCGGAGGCGAAGGCGCGGACGGAGGCGATGGGGAATCTCCGCTTTCCCCATCCTCTGACCCGTCGTCCCCGTCGTGTCCGGTGTCGGCGCTGGTGTGGTTAACGGGCGCAGCGCCCTCCAAGTGCTCCGATTCCCCTGAATCATGCAACTCGTCCACACTGTCGATCTTGCTTTCATCGGCTTCCGGAAGAGGAGATTCCTTACTCGGGTGCTCTGCTCCGTCGCTGTCAATGACAATGTCTGCGTCATCGTTAACGTCAACGTCAACGTCAACGTCAACGTCACCGTGAGCGTCTACGTCACCGCTCGAATGCGGGCTGCGATTTGCCGGTCGATGAGTCGCGGGGAGACGAATAGCAGCTGGAGTGCGGAGGGGCGTGAGTGAAGAGGGAATAACAAATAAGAAACAGACACGGATGCGATGAGGGTGAAGGGATTGAAAAGTGTCGCGAAGAACACTAAGAGATGAAGGCAAGGCCAGTAGCCTGGAAATCTGGTATAGACGAGTGTATGCTTGGCCGGGCTTGACCAGCGCTCTGAGAGCGTGGACACAGTCTCTAGAAACGAGGGGCTCACCTGTTGGGATAGTGGTGATTATAGCCGTTACGATCCCAGTCAGTATGATTAGCTGAACAAAGACTGCGGGTGCCATGCGAAATAGTGAAGGTCGCGACCTCCGAGACGGGTAGCATTGGATTAACACCATGGATTATGTAGGACATGCGAGTGACTCGATGAAGATTACGAATAGCCTTACTACAAGCCGACAGAACTACAAGCAGACTCAGACTTTGGCATTCGCCGAACGCTTCTACATTATGGCATTTGATTGGCGGTCTTTGCTCCTCCTACTGGAATCCACGCTAAGGATTTGAATGTGAACCATCTGAGACGAAGGGTTAAAACGCTCGTCATTCTTCGTCTCAACGAGCCATTGATAACTGGAAGCAGTTGCTGCTCGCGAGTGACTCGGGACGGAAACGAGCGGCATTTGGCACGAGTCACTAAATCGCCTGATATAACATTCCGGATTTCCCGTAAGTCGCTTGAATCGTTACCCATTCACAAACACATAACGCGACTAACGGAAAACAGTCTTTCGCCGCAACGCGAGACGCGTCAGGCAACTGACGTGCAGAACTCAAGAGGCGAGCTGTTAGAGCAAGCAGCCAGAGAATGCTGGCAGCGGGAGAGTGCTGCAGTGGGTGAGGAGGGTCCCTCGGGAATGGCTCGCCTTGAGAATTCGGTGGGCAACGATGCTGTGGTGTGATGAGCATCCCCACTTTATCATGAATATCCCGAAGAACCTGCCAAATTTGCATTTGGACTTCAGAGCGCTAAACACTACCCCGACCACCAGGAACATGGGGCAGGAACACACGTGGTTGGAGCTATCTGCAATATCCCGTCCCGTCAAACTCCAGCCTGGTCACCCTAAGTTGAGACGGGCAGGGGAATCAACGGGCCATCTAGTTTCATTCCTTCGATGCTGCGATGGCTGGTGGAAAGTAGGAAAAAGTCTGCAGCCACACTCACTCCACTTCCCAAACCCCGCAGGATAACCCTGGGCCGGGAGGAGCTACCCTCCCCCCGTCTTGCTTGTTTGCGTTGCGTCGCATCGCATGCTCGGCATGCGCTGGAGCATGGAAACGATCACCTTGTTTGTCGCATAGATCGAGCACCGAGGCGCGTAGGCGCTTGCGACTGAAGATTTGACCACTAAGGATGCGTGAAGGGTTCGGTTGGCCAATAGGAAGCAACGAAAGAGGGGCTGAGCCTCGCAGCTGGCGAACGAGGAAACACCAAAGAAACATCCCACCCCAAATAGCGACCTTACAAGCAGACTTCGTTTAGTTCACAACACCCGACTGCCAACTTTGATGAGAAACACTGTAACGTTCTTACACACAAGAAGAGACCACAGGCAATGCTGCACTGCTATATACGTGCTCCAAGTCCAAGACCCTTGGGGCGTAGCTCAGCTTGCACAGGCTCGGAAATGCCCTGCTTGTCCTTCCCAAGGCCAGAGCCAATGCGGAAACCCATTTGTGCCATCATGCGCGAACCAAACCCCCTCGTGTGCGCCTCAAAACTTGCAAAATCCGCTGCCACGCCACAGCCGCCCACACTGCGCCTGGCATCCCTACCTTCTACTCCACTCCCTCCACTACCCCTGCCACCTCGCCCTCCTCTTGCCCTTCCGCCATCCTCCCTGCCACCCTTAGCCCCACCACTGCTCTGAGGAATCTTCCTGTCCTGACCCCTGGCCTCCGCAGCCGTTTGTCCCTGCACCTGCATGGCAACAGAGCCCCCTACACTCGCTACAGCAGCAGCATCCGTTGCCCTTGTTGTAACACCCGCCACACGGCCTGTAGGGCTCGCACCAGAGGATACAACCACATCCGGTTCTGCACCTTTTTCACTCATCATATCCCCCAAAACCTCCTTTGCTTCTGAGCCCGGCTGCTGCACGCTCTGTACAGTCACATTCACCTCCTGGTCGCCCTCGTCTGTTACAAGCACATCGGTCGCCATGATGCCCCGCGACACAAACACCACAGGGTTCCCCGCATACCCCTGCCTCCTTGACCTGCTACCCACCCGCCCTTCCCACACGCCCCGCCTCCCACTACCTCCCCCAGCTCGCACCAGCCCTCCTCCCTTCCTCCTCCACAGAGTCTCCTCCTCTCCGCTAACCGCTCTCTCCCTTCTCCCCCGCCCATTCCCGTCCCGTGCCTTCTCCTGCAGCACCTTCTTCCGTGCTGCCTTGTCCCTCTGCATGCGCTCCCCCAGTGCCTGCATCAGCCGTGCCTGGGCCTGCGCCTTCCGCTGCTTGCGTGACACACGACTCGCTTCCCCTGGTACAAGCCACTCCTCCTCCTCCAACTCAAGAAACGCATCTTCTGCCTCACTGCTTCCCTCACTCTCCCCGTCCTCACTCTCAGCACTCCCATCAACCTCCCCATCCTCCTCACTCCCATCACTCTCATCACTCTCTTTGCTATCCTCCTCCCCACTTTCATCATCTTCATCCTCCTCCTCCTCCTCCTCCTCCTCCTCATCCTCATCATCCTCGTCCTCATCACTGTCATCATCATCACCCATCATCATCATCATCTCCTCCATCTCAGCGATTCCTCGCTCCACATCCATGTCTTCCATGTACTGTGCCAGCCGCCGCTCTCTGTAGTCCCCGCCCTTCCTCCTCACCCCCCGCTGCCCCTGCCCGCTGCTCGCACCACCGCACTCAGCGGCAGCGGCTCTGGCAAGGTTGAAGCGGCCAAGAATCTGACAGGTGGGGGCAAAAGGGAGGCGCAGAGGTGGCAGTTGTGGCTCCAGAAGGAGTTGTGGAAACATGCAAGGGATGTTGAACACAAAATGGATAGGAAAGTAGCATTGCCCGGTATTGCCCAACAAACTGCCCGACAAAACGCCCCCCTGAAAAAGCAGCAGACCTCTTCCAGTCGAGCCATGTCTTCGCCCTGTGGCACTGCTGTGTGCCGCCCCGATCGAAATAGCAGCATCCTGAATGGCGGCACAAATACGAACAAGATTGGAGAAGAAGAATGTGTGCAAGGCGCCACGGGGAGGGGCGCAAAGAGAGAGAAAAAGGGTCGTGAGAAGAGGTGCGGGGAGAGAGGTGGATGGGAGCAAGCAGGCATGAGACACAAGCATGCAAGGCGAGGCGAAGGAGGCGAATAGCACGTGGTGAAGTGGGAGTGAGAGAGAAAGGCAGGCACACGTACTTCCTCTTGCCGCTCTGCTGCACCGTGGTGGCCAGGCGGTATGAGCGTGCCATGCCTTGCACCTGCGGGATGGGAGCGGGAAATGGTGCATTGACATTCCTGAGATGCCTGTCTGCATGCAAGCAGCCATGCGTGCGTTACAACATCAGCGGAAAGCCACCCGTACAGTGCTGCATGACCATACACATGCACATGTGCACACATGATCACATAAGCATTGCTGAGAGGTGGAGCAGGTGCGATGAGCAACACACCATGGAAAACTGGTGCTGAGTCAGTGGTGGCGAGGCAAAAACGTCCACGCGGCCCACCGCCACCTGCTGCATGCCCTGCTCACGCACAGGGCAAGGCCACGCCCAGGGCGCAGGTGGGAAGAGTTGGAAACTAGATGCCTGGAGACAGGGTACGACCCGACACACTGTGCGCGGCACCGTCAGGTTGATTCTGGGCGGGCGCACTACCCATGGTGGCTCACCTGGTTGAGGTGCATGAGGTCCACGTCAGCAGCGTCGGGGTTGAATCCCATGGCTCGCTGCATGCGCTTCAGCTGCATCGCCTGCTTCCTGCGCCCCTTCTTGCTGCCCGCCGCTGCCAGGCGGGGGGAGGGCGGGGGAAGGGGATTGGGAGAGAGAGATGGATTTTTGAGGCGCCTCAAAAGTCGTCGGGGTTGAAACCCATGGCTTCAGCTGCATTGCCTGCTTCCTGCTCCCCTTCTTGCTGCCCGCCGCTGGCAGGCGAGCAGGGTGAGGGGAAGGATGGAGAGGAAGGGAGAAATTGAAGGGGAGAACAGGGAGAATACAGGAAAAAGAGTGGGCTTTCAGGGCATGCAACCCAACTACTTTGCCAATCAGAGAGACCCATCTTCCATTACTTCCCCTTTCCCCCAGTCTCAGAATTTCGTTCCTCTCTCTTAACCTTCCCCCACGCCAACACTCTGACCCATCCCCCACATAGTGATGCACCCCGCACCTTTGGCCGCCTTCTTTGCTTGCTTCGCCAGGGCCCTCTTTGCCTTCCTCCCAGCCTTCTTTGACCCGCGCCCCATCCCCTCCCTGCCGCCACTGCCCTCCGCACCCCCTGCTCCTGCTCCTTCTCCTGCCCCCGCTCCCCCCCTTCCTGCTCCTGCTTGCCCTGCCCTCCCCCTCCCTGCCCCCCCTCCTCTCCCTGTCCCCCCTCCTCTCGCCGCACCCCCTCCTCCCGCTGCCCGCCCTCTGCCTCGGCCCAGGGCCGCAGTGCCCCGTGCAACAGGAGCAGCAGAGGCCGGGCAGGGGGGAGCAGGAGCAGCAGAGGAAGCAGCAGCGCCCTTGCCCTTGCCTGTCTGGCGGCGAGCCAGCTCGCGCTGGTAGGCCGCTTCAAGCTCCCTCTCCCACTCCTCGCCCAACTCCTCCTCCATGCCCTCCTCGCTCTCCCCTTCCTCCTCATCCTCGCTCTCTTCCTCCTCCTCATCCTCCTCAGTCTCTTCCTCCTCCTCATCCTCCTCATTCTCTTCTTCCTCCTTCCCTTCGCCCTTCCGCTCCCCCTTATCTGCATCCCCCTCCTCCCCTTCACCTCCCTCCTCCTCCCTATCCACACCACCATCCAGCTCTCCTGCTTCACTGCCCTTCCTCGTTTCACCCTGCCCTGCCACCCCGCCTGCCCTCGCTCCTCCTCTGTCGCCCGCCTGCCCCCCCTGCTTCGAGCCCCTGACGCGTTTGAGGTGGTTCCAGAACTCCTCAGGAGAGGGCACGGAGCCACCAGAGGGCACGGAGGCAGCAGAGGGCACGGAGGCACCAGCGCAGTACCCCAGCCCAGTGTGCCGCTCCTCCTCGTAGCACACTCCGCCCTCGCCCTCGCCCTCGCTCTCGCCCTCCACTGCATCTGCTTCTTCCCGGTTCCCCTCGTCCACCTCCTCATCCTCGCCCTCCTTGCCCTCGTCCTCCTCATTGAATACCTCCTCTGCCTCTTCCTCCCCCGCTTCTTCCTCTGCCGCCTCCTCCTCCTCCTCCACTTGTTCCTCCTCCACCACCTTTTCCGCCTCTGCCACCCTTCCCTCCGTCACCACCACCACCTCATCCGCCTCCTCCTCGCCCTCTTCATCCTTGTCTTCCTCTGCCTCGCCCGCCTCCATGCTCGCATCATCGCTGTCATCCATCAGGTTGTCCATAAAGTCCTGTGCCACGTCAGCATCGATGCTACTGTCGCTCCCCTCCTCACTCTCTTCCGCACTCTCATCTTCCTCCTCACTCCCTCCCTCTCTTTCCATCCCACCTCTCCTTCCCCCACCCCTTTCCCCACCCCTCCCCCTCCCCCGGCTCCTCCCCGCATCTCCAACCCTTCCACGCCCCTGCCTCCCCCCACCCCCATACCCCTGTCCTTCATACCCCCCACGCCAACCCGCACCTCCACCTGTCGATACAGTCACACCGCCAACAGTCACATACCCCACGTCCTCCACCCCCCCCAGCAGCATCCCCCCCTGCCCCCGCCCCCACGCCCACTGCCCGCTCCCCACCTCCACCCCCTGCTCGTCTCCCCCGCCCCTCCTCCCCATTCCACCCCTGCCTCTTCCTCTGCCCCCACGCCCCCTTCCCCTGCCTCGCTGCCAACCCCCCTGACTCCACTGCTGTCCTTGACTCCTTTGACCCCCTTGTTGACTCCCTTGACCCGCTTCACCCCCTTGACTCCCTTGACCCTGTTGACGGTGACCCGCTTGACCCCCTAGACCTCCCTGGTCTGGTGAGCCCCCTTGGCCTCTTCTTCCTTGCTGCATTCCTCTGCTGTCTCGCTGCTCCTTCTCCTCGCCCTCCGCCCCTCCCTCCGCCTCCCCACCCAGCCCGCCTGCCCCTATGGCCTCCACGCCCACGTGGAGCCTCTCAAACCGCACTGCCACGTCAGCAGGACACGTCACTTCCCCTGCTCCTGCTGCCCCCACTGCTCCTGCGGAATGAGGCAAGCGCTTTTGCCTGTCATCCAAAACCGGTAGGAGCCCCACCCTCTCCTCCACCACAGGCAGCACCTCGCACACTCCTACAGCAGCACCTGAGCCAGCACCTGATGCAGCATCTGAAGTAGCACCTGATGCAGCACCTGATGCAGCACCTGATGCAGCACCTGACCCAGCATTTCCAGACAAGCTGAAGGCACCAGCAGCAGTAGGAGCAGCAGAAGCAGCAGCAGGAGCAGCAGGAGCAGGAGCAGCAGCAGCCGCCCGTGCAGTCGAGCCGAGCTGAGCTGGTGCGTGGGCGCCAGAGGAAGAGCCCCCTCTGTCGAAGAACACAGGCAGCACCGCCACCACCCTGCCCTGCTCTGCTTCCACCGCCGCCCCAGGCACAGCTGTCTCCCCCAACTCACTCAGGGCACGCCCGTGTTCCTCCTCACTCGATACACCCCTTGGCCCATCGCCTCCCCTCTCGCCGCCCTCCACTTTCTCCTCCTCCGCCATTGCCTCGTCTTCCTCCTCCCCTCCCACCTCCCTTTCCTTCGCATCCGCTCCGCCCGTTCCTTCTTCCCCAATCCCTGCGTGCGCCTTTTTCTCCTCCTGCACCTCACCCTCGCCGTCCCCTCGCAGCACTCCGCCCGGCCTGAACGTCCTCGCTGCGCCCTCGCTCGTTCCGGCACCACTCGACACCTCCACCCTGTGAGACCCGTACCCCAGGCCTCTGTGGCCGCCTGCTCCTGCATGCACACCAGCAGCACCGCCACCAGTAGCACCTTTCCCGTCCCCCCGACCTTGAGTTCGCGCGGATCCGCAGGCCAGCCTCAACCACACGCCGCGCCCCTTCCTCCCATGCCACTCCGCACCGCCGCGTGCTCCCTGCGCTGCTCGTCCTTCTGTCGCTCCTCCAATCTTCTCCTTACCCCCGTGCTCCGCGTCACCCCTCCCCGTCACATCCCTCTGCTCGGACTCCCTCGCCTCGTCAAGGTCGCCCGTGTTGTATCCGCCCCCGCGAACAGTTTCGTACTCGTACACAAATTTCACCGCCGAGTAAATGCCCCTTCCGCTTGCCGCAGAACCGCCGCCGCTAGCACCCGGCTGCCGGGGCTCGTTCCTCCGCGGATTCCGGCTTTCATTCGACGGCTGTGCGCCGATGCCACGGCCACGGCCACGGCCGGCCCCCATGGCGCGTCCTCGGCCTCGAAAGCCCCCCCCTGAGGCCTCGCCATCCCCAGTCTCGTTCGCACCACCTCGCCCGACCGAACTTCCGTGGGCGTTCGGTCGTCCTCCGACGTCGTTCGCAGCGCCGTGAGGAGCATCGCCGCGTCCTCTTCCCGCCGATCCACCATTCCGCCCGCCCCCGCCTCCCCGGCTTCCTCCGCCACTGCCTCCACGTCGCTTGCCTCCCCCGCTGTTCCTCCTTCCCATGATCGTTGCGTTCACGATTATAAGAAGAGGAATTGAAAGCACTGCCTGCAACAGATCCACGAAGATCGCACACACCCGCGAGCCTACAAACAGAAAAGCGTCAAGAACCACTCGGTGTCGCGCAGACGGAAAATCGACGGAACGGAAAAGCGTTTACGAGCAGCAGCGTCAACTGCGCGCCTTGCTCAAGGTACTAGGGAGAGTGCGACTGCTCTGGAGCTGAGATGCTGAAATACGGTCTAGCGGGGCGGATGAGATGAGAGCACATGCTGTGCCCAAGAGGCTAGATGCCAACAAGAATATGCTGACATTCAGGAGTGAACTGCGTTCGAGGTGCGGCTGCGAGGTGACGCGTTTCGGGCATGCACATCACCATGATGTGCCTGACACGCCACATCCAACACCGCTCGGGGGTTCGGGTTTTCATGAGTCACATTATGCCTCGATTTGAACGGCACCTTTAGCAAGAAAATCCACAATCAAGTGGCCAGATTTGAAATACCTTCAACAGGAGAATCCACAAAGAATATGATGGTTAAAGAGTCTGTACAGGAACAAAACTGTAAAGTTGGGGTATTTTTTGCGTTAATCACAACATGGTAGCCCTGGCTACTGTGTTGCTTGAGCAATGATGGAGGACAAGCTACCGCCCTGCTCCTTGGCTGTCTCCACCAACGTGTCCTGTAGGGAGAAACAGACCAGAGCGTCAAGGTTGTTGCAACAAGCGAACATAAAAATACAAAAACTGGGTGGAGCTTACCTGAGCCGCTATCACTCTTGCAACCGACTTCTTGCTCGACTCTTGTAGCTCTCCTGCTATGAGGATTTCATCTAGTATATAGTATGCCTGGAAGGTCAGCGCAAACGAATTGGGTGGAAAGTTGGTTGGAAAACAACAGGATCATGCCTCTTCCTGACCTAAACTGCAAAATCACTGAATCACAGTGCCAATGGTTCCATCCAGGCATACCTTGTGGAAGTTGAAGATGAGATCAAGCTCGCAGACCTGCAGAGCAGAACGACAACAGCAGGAGGAGAGCCGCCATAAGAGGCTAGTGCATGGTAAACGGCAGCACCAGAAAGCACAGGCATGGAAGCGAATGGGGAAAGGGGGGGGAACGCCGTCTTACGTTGGTGAAGTAGCGGTCGAGCACCTCGACGTAGTGGTGGATGATCTCGAGGGTTTCCAGCTCGTTGTCGTTGATGTCCACGCACATGCAGAAGTACAGGCTCGCGTACCTGCAATGCACACCCACACCACACCAGCGTCGCGAGCGTCAGTCGGCTGAAGCACAGGACAAGCAGACAAGCGTAAGTTTCCCTTGCAGTGGGAAGCGAGCACACGATGTCGACGCGTCTTACCGCTTGTAAACAACCTTGTAACCCCGCCAATCGACGAAATTGCATAGCTTAGCCGGCCTGCTGAGTATTGTTCCTGACAGCTCCCGCGTGATCTGGCCCATGGACATCGACTTGATACATTAGCTTCACAAATAACTACTCGGGACGAACGAATTCAGTCGGAAACCACCACGACAGCAAGTCGACAGATGCTTCGCGACGGGATGCGCATACCTTCGTCCGTTCCTTCTGAGAGTACGCGGAATACCATTTTGCCAGCCTGACTTTCCCTTGCCGGCTAATGAGGAGCACGAAGTGAATCTGCCAGAACGACATCCACGAAAAGTAAGCGATCCTACAGATATCAGAAATCTACCACCTCGACTTTTCCGCAGAAAAAACTCACCATACTGTATCCACGTCCCTAATCGACGGCTCGGGATAGTCGTTCTCAAGAGCCTAAGCAGGTGAGCTAAAACAGGCGGATCAACTAACGGGATCGGATGACTGCCGAGAGGCACGCAGATTGACTGGTGGTACTGATGAAACCTAGCGTGAAAAGCAGCGTGAGCAACAAAATTGGCTAACGGCTAGCGATGAGTTTCGATATTGACGATGAACCATTTTGCGTAGAAAACATTTTCATTCTCGGTATGGATATTAGTGTTGCCTGCTGCTTTTATCGGCTCACTCTAAAACAGCACTTTCCCACGGCGAACCCGCCGACATTTTTTGCGAGGCACGGCACGCCATTGGTTCAGAAGCTGCTGGTGATTCGCATTGCGACCTGACAGCAACGTGCGAAGCGCGTGCGCAGATGGCGGTCTGCGAGCGTGAGTGGAGTGGCACAGAAAAACCCAGCCGGCTGAGATGTGCTGGCCATGAGTAGCATAGCCGAAACTGTACTATCATAGTTGTATATGACAGGAGCCCAGGCATTTGGCAGACTACAGCTCGAAATTCCACTGCTGTCCCCAACTAACGCACACATACGCGCTGGCCGAAAGACCTGTTAGTTTAGTAGGTCCTGGGACACTGTAAACCTCACGCAGTAGCGTATGCAAGTAGTAGCGTCTGTAATAACACGTAAAAGGTGTCAACTTCGGTGCAGCGTGATGCTTAGAATACGATACGAAGAGCGAAGCTAGCCAGATGATACTCCGGCGATTGATCCTGGCGCTGCAAGCCCTAACGATGCGAACAGCCAAGTCACGAGACTTTTCTTTCACCTCACTGCTCCGCAGCAAGCGCTGCTCGTTCTATGTCGCCCTCTCCCTCGTTAGCGGCTTCCTCGTCCTTTCGTTCCTCGTCTCTTCACCCACATACGGTCGCTTTCGCTTCCAATGTGATTCGTTCATCTCGCCGCCGGCGGTTACCAGCAGCAACCCAGCAGACATGGCGGCTCGGACGATACCGATCGGAGAGCTCACGAAAGACGGATACTTCCCGCCATGTCCGTCCAACTGGACCCACCATATCCCCTGCTACGATCCAAACATCGCCGTCCACTTTCCCTTCGCAGACAATGTTTTCCGCGAGCGACACTGTCCGCCTCCTTCCGCCCGCCCGCGCTGCCTGATTCCCCCTCCCCCCGGCTACCAGCGCGCGCCCCCGTGGCCGGATAGCCTATGGAGCGTGTGGCGGAACAACGTACCGCACTCTAAGATGCTCAAGGACCCGCGGAACGTCCTATGGATGGAATTACGTGGCAACACGTGGCACTTCCCGCACGCCCTGACGGCCATGCCCGAAACGGACGGCGCGGAGCGGTACGTGGCGCAGCTGCGCAACTTCATTCCGTTCGGGTCGCGCCTGCACACGGCGCTCGACATCGGCGCGGGGATGGGGGGATTCGCGGTGGAGCTGCTGCGCCAGGGCATGATCACCGTGTCGCTGGGCCCGCGCGACGGCTTCCGCGGGCAGGCGCAGTTTGCGCTCGAGCGCGGGCTGCCCGCGCTGGTGGGCATTCTGGCGACGATGCGCCTGCCGTTCCCGCCGCTCGCGTTCGACCTCGTGCACTGCTCGCACTGCCAAGTCCCCTTCGGCCTCCCCAGTACGTGCGCCGTTACTCCGCCACGCTCTCTCGTGCCCCCTCGCGCATCCCGCGCGCACCCATCACGTGCTCTCGTACGCGCGGAGATCCAAGCGGACGGATGCTCCTTGTGCATTTACGTAACATGATCCCTGTTTCCCCTTCCCGTTTCCCCCACTTACAGCCCTTTCCCCCACTCTTCCCCCCTTCCCCCAGACGGCACGCACCTGGCGGAGGTGGACCGCGTGCTGCGCCCGGGGGGATTTTTCGTGCTGGCGGGGCCGCCCGTGCGCTGGGCGGGCAGGGCGGCGGAGTGGCGCGCGCTGCGCGATAAGGCGCGCGCGCTGTGCTGGCGGCTGGTGCTGGTGGTGCCGCACGTGGCCATCTGGCGGAAGAGTAGGGGGGTCGAGGTGGCGGGGGGAAGCGGGGGAAGCGGGGGAAGCGGAGGGGAAAGAAGATGGTGTCCTGGAGCTAAGGAATATAGAGAGGCGGAACAAGAGGGGGGTGGAACGGGGGAGAGGGAGGAGGAGGGAGGCAGTGAGAGGGAGGAGGTAGAAGATTCGCAGGAGGAAGGGGCAGAGAGAGAGGAGGGAGGGGTGGAGAGAGAGGAGGGAGAGGCAGAGAGTGAGGAGGGAGGGGGGAATAGAGAGGAGGGAGGGGCGGAGAGAGATGTGGGAGGGGCGGAGAGAGAGGAGGGAGGGGCGGAGAGAGATGAGTTAGGGGGTGATGTAATGGGCGAGGAGGAGGGAGAGGAGAAGCGGGAGGAGGAGGCGGGCGGAGGGGAGGGCGAGATGGGCGCGGAGGTGTGTGCGGCGGACGACCAGCCCGACGCCGTGTGGTGCGTGCCCCTGCTGCCACTGCCTGCCATGCTGCCACCCCCCCCACGGCGCTCATGCACGCTGCACCTCCACCCTCGCCCCGCACCCACCCTACTAACCCCCCATCCTCACCCACTCCTCTCCGCTTTCTGCTTTTCCCCTGCCCCCCTGCCCAACCCACCCCCTTCAGGTACTCCCCCTTGCAGTCTTGCGCCATCCGCCCTCCCCCCTCCGCGTGGAGCCTCCCACCCTGGCCGCATCGCCTGTGGTTCGCTTCCCCCCGCATCTACGCCTCCCCCCTCATGCACCCGCCCCCTGCTCCGCCGCCCAACGCCGTGGAGGGGGGCGCTGGGGGGAGGGGGGAAGAGAAGGGAAAGGGGAAGGGGGGAAGGAGGGGGAAAGGCAAGGGGAGGAAAGGCAGGGGTAAGGGAGGGAAGCGGAGGAGTGAAAACGGTGGGAATGAGGTGAGGGCCGAGGGCTCTACAGAGGAGGATAGGGGGACGAAGGATGTGGAGGACAAGGGGGCGAAGGAGGGGGAGGAGAGGACAGAGCAGCAGGTAAGGGAGAGCAGCAGCGAGGCAGTCCCAGCTGCTGCAGGTGCTGGTGGTGGTGGTGGTGGTGCTGCTGCTGCTGCTGCTGCTGCTGCGGGTGGTGGTGGTAGGCGAAGACTGCTCAGCTCTGATGTGCATGGCGATGGTGGTGCTGCTCATGGTGAGCGTGATGGCAACAGCGAGGGTGGTGGAGAGGGGAGTGGTGCAGATGGCACTGGCAGCAGCAGCAGTGAGGATGGGCGGGGGGGCAGCAGGGCATCCGCAGCAGTAGATGCATCCGCAGCAGCAGCCGGGGGTGGTGACGCAGAAGGGAGGCAGAGAGCGGAGGGAGAGCAGCAGGAGGAGGAGGGCGACATGCGCAAGGCGCTGAAGGCAGAGCAGCAGAAGTCAGTAATGAACACGGCCTCATCGCAGTACAGCAAGCGGCAGGGCACGGCCCTGGCAGCCCTGTCACCGGAGCAGAAGCGCATGAACATGGAGACCCGGCGCTGGGGCACGCGCCTGGCACACTACGAGTCGCTCTTCCTGGGGGACCTGCTGGGCTACCAGGGCCGGCGGAAGCGGCACGAGGGCGCGGAGGGGGACGGTGGGGAGGCCAAGGCGGAGGAGAGCGAGGAGAGCAAGGAGAAAGGGAGGAGCAAGGAGGAGAGCGGTGAAGGGAGGGGGAGGAGCAAGGAGGAGAGCGGGCCTGGGAAGGTGCGGAACGTATTGGACATGAATGCGGGGGTGGGGTCGTTTGCAGCGGCGCTGCAGGGGAGGGAGGAGGACGGGGAGGAGCGAGTGTGGGTGATGAATGTGGTGCCTGTGAGCAGTAGACTCAACACCCTGTCAGCGGTGTTTGACCGTGGGCTGGTGGGCACGGTGCATGACTGGTGTGAGGCGTTCGCGTCGTACCCACGAGCCTACGACCTTGTCCATTCGCAAGGCGTCTCCTCCTCGTTTGACCCGTGAGTGTCCCTGCCCGGTGAGGCACTGTTCACGCGGAAGAGACAACGATATAGGTGCTTACATGTATAGTGTGTAGCTTTCTCCAGTTGAAGCAGGAAGACATGAAGTCAGCTGCTTGACAAGGCATAAGTGAGACAACTTTCATTTTTTTTTGTTTTCCCGCACACCCCCCCCTGCACCTTACAGGGACAGGTGTGACATAGACGACGTGATTATAGAGGTGGATCGCCTGTTGAGGCCGGGCGGCACAGTGATTGTGAGAGACCTGCCGGCTGTGCTGGAGGGCGTGCAGAGGGCTGCGAGGGCAGCGCACTGGAACGTGACGGCTCACCCGCCAGAGAAGGGCAGCAGCAGAGAGCACCTGCTGGTGGCTCGTAAGCCGCTGTGGAAGGTGGACTACTATAAGGGGGTGATTGAGATTGTAGACGCTGATTTGTAATCAAATAAGAGATGAAAAGGTCACTTCCAACTGCAATTGCACTGCAGAGCAAGGCGTGAAGTGACGCTGCGGCTGGAACCAGGGTCGCGTAGACACGGGGACACGCGAACACGAGAACACGCGAACACAGGAACACAGGGCCACGAGAGCACGGGAATATGAGAGGAAGAGGAGGAAGAGGACGACCTAAGTTGCCTGGCATACCCCGGAGTGAATATGTTCTTCGATGGCCACCCCACCCCATCAATCTCTCCACCTATATGCACGGAAGGCAAGCGTCGACTCTTGTGGCCCGTGCAGCCTCAATGTCCCAACAGTCTACCATGTGGTGATGCTGGTGGAGTGATGGGCCGCCTGCTCCAGTACATTCAGGGCCGCTTTTGTACTGATGCAATCATGCAAGTAAATGTGTGTGTGCAGTTGCCCGTCTACAGCACAAGCGCACTCATTCCATGGCACGTTGGCCCTATTTCCATGTCAGATAGACCAACACTAGCTCTTGTGTGGGTGTGCAATGTGAGGTCTCTTCCATGCTCCTGCGATTGCGCTCCCGTGTGTGGGTAAGGCAGGCTGACTCACGGCCTGTGGTGTGCCGTCCCCCACATCCCAATCCAGCTTGTTGCACCTTCACAGGCTGATTGCAATCTTGCTCCACGATTGGTGCGTAACAAAGAGCAACTAAGAGAGCATCTGGCAGCAACTGGGATAGCATCTTCTGCAAAAGCAGCTCAGCATTTGGGCGAGGCGCCCCTGCTCTGGGGGGCTGTGAGGGCGAGGCGCCGCTGCTCTGGAGGGGTGTGAGGGCGAGGCGCCGCTGCTCTTGGGGGGGTGTGAGGGCGAGGCGCCGCTGCTCTGGGGGGCTGTGAGGGCGAGGCGCCGCTGCTCTGGAGGGGTGTGAGGGAGAGGCGCCGCTGCTCTGGGGGGGTGTGAGGGAGAGGCGCCGCTGCTCTGGGGGGTTGTGAGGGTGAGGCGCCGCTGCTCTGGGGGGCTGTGAGGGAGAGGCGCCGTTGCTGTGAGGGGATGTGAGGGCGCCGCTGCTCTGGAGGGGTGTGAGGGAGAGGCGCCGCTGCTCTGGGGGGGTGTGAGGGCGAGGCGCCGCTGCTCGGGAGGGGTGTGAGGGAGAGGCGCCGCTGCTCGGGGGGGCTGTAAGGGCGAGGCGCCGCTGCTCTGGAGGGGTGTGAGGGAGAGGCGCCGCTGCTCTGGGGGGGTGTGAGGGAGAGGCGCCGCTGCTCTGGGTGGCTGTGAGGGCGAGGCGCCGCTGCTCTGGAGGGGTGTGAGGGCGAGGCGCCGCTGCTCTTGGGGGGGTGTGAGGGCGAGGCGCCGCTGCTCTGGGGGGCTGTGAGGGAGAGGCGCCGCTGCTCTGGGGGGCTGTGAGGGCGAGGCGCCGCTGCTCTGGAGGGGTGTGAGGGCGAGGCGCCGCTGCTCTTGGGGGGGTGTGAGGGCGAGGCGCCGCTGCTCTGGAGGGGTGTGAGGGAGAGGCGCCGCTGCTCTGGAGGGGTGTGAGGGCGGGGCGCCGCTGCTCTTGGGGGGGTGTGAGGGCGAGGCGCCGCTGCTCTGGGGGGCTGTGAGGGAGAGGCGCCGCTGCTCTGGGGGGCTGTGAGGGCGAGGCGCCGCTGCTCTGGAGGGGTGTGAGGGCGAGGCGCCGCTGCTCTGGGGGGCTGTGAGGGCGAGGCGCCGCTGCTCTGGAGGGGTGTGAGGGAGAGGCGCCGCTGCTCTGGAGGGGTGTGAGGGAGAGGCGCAACTGCTCTGGGGGGGTGTGAGGGCGAGGCGCCGCTGCTCGGGAGGGGTGTGAGGGAGAGGCGCCGCTGCTCTGAGGGGCTGTGAGGGCGAGGCGCCACTGCTCTGGGGGGGTGTGAGGGCGAGGCGCCGCTGCTCTGGGGGGGTGTGAGGGAGAGGCGCCGCTGCTCTGAGGGGCTGTGAGGGAGAGGCGCCGCTGCTCTGGGTGGCTGTGAGGGCGAGGCGCCGCTGCTCTGGGGGGGTGTGAGGGCGAGGCGCCGCTGCTCTGGGGGGGTGTGAGGGAGAGGCGCCGCTGCTCTGGGGGGCTGTGAGGGAGAGGCGCCGCTGCTCTGAGGAGCTGTGAGGGAGAGGCGCCGCTGCTCTGGGTGGCTGTGAGGGAGAGGCGCCGCTGCTCTGGGGGGCTGTGAGGGCGAGGCGCCGCTGCTCTGGGTGGCTGTGAGGGTGAGGCGCCGCTGCTCTGGGGGGGTGTGAGGGCGAGGCGCCGCTGCTCTGGGGGGGTGTGAGGGAGAGGCGCCGCTGCTCTGGGGGGCTGTGAGGGAGAGGCGCCGCTGCTCTGGGGGGTTGTGAGGAGGAGGCGCCGCTGCTCTGGGGGGCTGTGAGGAGGAGGCGCCGCTGCTCTGGGGGGCAGTGAGGAGGAGGCGCCCCTGCTTTGGGGGGTTGTGAGGAGGAGGCGCCGCTGCTCTGGGGGGCTGTGAGGAGGAGGCGCCGCTGCTCTGGGGGGCTGTGAGGGAGAGGCGCCGCTGCTCTGGGGGGTTGTGAGGAGGAGGCGCCGCTGCTCTGGGGGGCTGTGAGGAGGAGGCGCCGCTGCTCTGGGGGGCAGTGAGGAGGAGGCGCCCCTGCTTTGGGGGGGTGTGAGGAGGAGGCACTGCTGCTCTGGGGGGTTGTGAGGAGGAGGCGCCGCTGCTCTGGGGGGCTGTGAGGAGGAGGCGCCGCTGCTCTGGGGGGCAGTGAGGAGGAGGCGCCCCTGCTTTGGGGGGGTGTGAGGAGGCGCCGCTGCTCTGGGGGGCTGTGAGGAGGAGGGGCCGCTGCTCTGGGGGGTTGTGAGGAGGAGGCGCCCCTGCTCTGGGGGGCTGTGAGGAGGCGCCCCTGCTCTGGGGGGTTGTGAGGAGAAGGCGCCGCTGCTCTGGGGGGCTGTGAGGGAGAGGCGCCGCTGCTCTGGGGGGTGGTGAGGAGGAGGCGCCGCTGCTCTGGGGGGTTGTGAGGAGGAGGCGCCCCTGATCTGGGGGGTTGTGAGGAGGAGGCACTGCTGCTTTGGGGGGCTGTGAGGAGGAGGCGCCGCTGCTCTGGGGGGTTGTGAGGAGGAGGCGCCCCTGCTCTGGGGGGCTGTGAGGAGGCGCCGCTGCTCTTGGGGGTTGTGAGGAGAAGGCGCCGCTGCTCTGGGGGGCTGTGAGGGAGAGGTGCCGCTGTCTGGGGGGTTGTGAGGAGGAGGCGCCGCTGCTCTGGGGGATTGTGAGGAGGAGGCGCCGCTGCTCTGGGGGGTTGTGAGGAGGAGGCGCCCCTGATCTGGGGGGTTGTGAGGAGGAGGCGCCGCTGCTCTGGGGGGTTGTGAGGAGGAGGCGCCGCTGCTCTGGGGGGTTGTGAGGAGGAGGCGCCCCTGCTCTGGGGGGTTGTGAGGGAGCGGCGCCGCTGCTCAGGGGGGTTGTGAGGGCGAGGCGCCGCTGCTCTGGGGGGTTGAGAGGGAGAGGAGACAAGGAGAAGACATAAGGACTAGGAAAAAGGGACGAGACTTTGCTAGAGGATGCAGAAAGTGAAATAACATGAAAGAAAAGGCGAGGAGACTTTTCAAGAGGATGCAGAAAGTGAAATAACATGAAAGAAAAGGAGAGGAGACTTTGCTAGAGGACAAGAAAAGGAAAGGAGAATCTGCTAGAGGATGCAGAAAGCGAAATAACATGAAAGGAGAGTGTGGGTACAGTTAATTGCATACCGTATCATAATGCCGAGGACTGGAGTTGACTGGCATTGACTGATAGTAACTGTCGTGCCGCTGTGCCGCTCTGCCGTGCTGCCTCTCTGCCTGCACCCATTCGCCCTGAGGATGGAGGAGGGTGGAGGGTGGAGGGTGGAGGGTGGAGGGTGGAGTGGAGAAGGGAGGAGTATGGTGGTAGGAGGGTGGAGGGTGGAGGGTGGAGGGAGGGTGGAGGGTGGAGGTAGGAGTATGGAGGGAGGAGTGTGGAGGGTGGAGGGAGGAGGGTTGAGGGTGGAGGGTGGAGGGTGGAGGGTGGAGGGTGGAGGGTGGAGGGAGGAGAGGGGAGGGTGGAGGGTGGAGGGTGGAGGGTGGAGGGTGGTGGGTGGAGGGTGGAGGGTGGAGGGTGGATAGAGGAGGGTGGAGGGAGGAGGGTGGAGGGTGGAGGGTGGAGGGAGGTGCGGAGAATAGTATTCTACGGGAGAGCTGAATTGCGTGGGACGCACGGTCAGAGTTGTGGCAGTGATTCTTGACAGAGTGTTGGAATGCCTTAGTAGAATTCAAGCATAGTTTCACTAAGGAAAGTTGATAGAACAAGATTAGAATACAAGCAAAGAGAACCAAATAGCAGAAGACAGAACCCTGAAGAGAACGTTCCTCGGCATACACTTGACTCTGTCGAGTCAGCAACGGCAGGTGAAACGACAAGCACATGCACCTTTCACCTGAGTTGGCAGTTGCTCAGGTTTTACAACATTCATAGTTGTATACATTTTTGTAGTTAGCAAATACGTGTTTCAGGTTCTGTTCCTTAGCAGATTCGAATTCTCCTGGGGAGTACAATTTCCGAGATTACCTGATTGGTCGAAATTTGCTGTTTCGCGATTGGTCGAAATTCGCGTACATTGCGAATTTCGGAGCCAAGTAATTCTGGTCGACCAGAATCGCTCTGCTCGACGAAACACTCGTCGAACTCAATTCTGTCGACCAGCAATCCGTCGAAACACCAATTCTGCCAATTCCGTCTATCAGAAAGGCTCGTCTTTGACGCCGTTTTACTCCCGTCGACGAGCTCCTCCTAGACGAGGACTTTGATCGAGCAGAGGAAACACTTCTACCTCGACCAATAAATCTCGTCGACAAACGACCAGTCGCACACAGATAAAAGTCCCCGAAGTCTCCGATGACCACGAAACGAACACCGTCTTGTTCCGAAATGCCTGGTCGTGTTCTCCCAAGCGAGGGCGGGGCCTTTTCTCTTCGACACTCCCCTGCCCAACTCACGCTTGGGCACCTACACAGAAGGTCCACCCAGAACCCAGAGGGATAGAATACAAGGAGAAAATTCCTTCTACGTGCACCGAACTCATAGCACGTATATCACCGCACCAGCCGTGCAGAAAGGGCACGGCACCTACTGCTGCACCTCGTCATCCCCGTCGCCCACGTCGGCCAGACGCACTTGGCCGATTGCGACGGAGCACCGGTTGAAAGCCGGAAAATGCAGCGCCTTCGTCAGAAAATCTTCTGGCTGCTCGGAGGTCGGGATGTACTGCAGAGCAATCTTCCCGCGCTTCACCATCTGCTGCAGCCAGGCGTAGCGTCGCTCCATGTGCTTGAGGTTGCCCTTGAGCCCCAAGCCCTCTGCGACAGTGATCGCCGACTGGTTGTCCACGTGCAGAACAGTCGGCTTCCTTGGGTCGAGCAGTCGGAACTCTGCAAGGAGGAAGCGTAGACGGCGAGCCTCCTTGCCGGCTTCAGTGGCCGCGACGTACTCTGACTCGGTCGACGAGAGCGTCGCGCACTTGATGCGCTGGCTCGACCAAGAGACTGCGGCTCCTCCGAAGACGAAAACGTAGCCGCCCGTGCTCGTCCGATTCTGCTTGTCGCCAGCGTCGTCGGCATCTGCATAGCCGACCAGACACAGCGACTCTGGTCCTCCACCGAACTCCAGAGCGGCGTCACGAGTTTCAGCGAGGTAGTGTAGACAGCGGTCGACCTCGCGCCAGTGGTTATCGCTCCGCACTGTCAGGCCGGATCCAAGCTTGCTGCAAGCAAAAGCAATGTCGGGCCTAGTCGTGGTGGCCGCGAACTGCAGCGAGCCGACCTTCTGCCGGTACTCTGCTTCCTCGCGCGACTGAAACTCCTCGTCGTCGAACACCAGCTCTGCGTAGGCGTCGATGGAGACCGGCGTCTTCGGCACTCGACCGGTCTGCTCCTCGTCGATGAAGCGCCGACGTAGCTTGTCGACGTAGGCTTGCTGGTGAAGCCACAGCTTCCTCGCAGGTCGGTCGCGCACGATCTCCAGCCCGAGATACTTCTCGACCGGGTTGATTTCGCGCAGCTCAAAGGCGGCCTCCAGCAGCTCCTTCAGCTCCTTCAGCATCGCAGTGCTGCTGCTGGCGGCGAGCAGATCGTCGACGTAGACGAGCACCCAGCACGCCACTCCGTCGTCGCCGACCTTGAAGTAGAGCGCTTCGTCTACCTGGCTCTTGCTCCAGCCAGCGCCGATCAGCACCGCGTCGAGCGCTGAGTACCACAACAGCGGACTCTGCTTCAGCCCGTAGAGGCTCTTCAGCAACTTGCATACACGGCCGGTGCCGTCGTTGTAGTAGCTGGGCTGGTCCATGTAGAGTACGCGATCGAGCTTGCTCTGCAGGAAAGCGTTCTTCATGTCGAGTTGCATCAGGTGCAGGTCGAGGACGGCTACGATGCTGAGGAAGATCCGCAGAGTTACGTAGCTCCCCACCGACGCATACGTTTTGTCGTAGTCTGCGCCGTAGATCTGTGTGAAGCCCTTCACCACCAGACGCGCCTTCTCGCGGGCGACCGTGTCATCGACGTGGTACTTCGTCGTGAGTACCCAACGATTCTTCATCACGTTGACACCACGCGGACGCTCGACCAGCTCCCATGTCCCATTAGAGATGAGACTCTTGATCTCCTCATCCATGGCGACCTTCACCGCCTTGCCTTTCCAGCTCGCCAATGCCTCCTTCACCGTCATGTTGGCGATGTCCCAGCGATGCTCTGGGTCGGCGTGCATGTCGGGGTCGAGCTCGGGAAGATCGACGTCGTCCTCTGCGTCGTCGTGCAGAGTACTGTAGGCCGTCGGCGGCAGACAAGCGTGGTAGCTCAACTTCTCCGGAGGCTTGCCGAAGTTGGAGCGGGTAGAATGCCGCTGCTTCACCTCTTCGACCGGAACCTCCACCACGTCACTGTCCTCGGACTGCTCCCCTGTCGACAGCTCCCCTTCACCGCCGGCCACACCGATGACTTCCACAACGTCGTCGCTCGACGAGTCGTCGTTGAACTGCTCCCCTGAGGCCGGCGCCTCTGCCGACGGCTTCTCTACGGTCGGCGCCTCTGCCGACGGCTTCTCTGCGGCCGGCGCCTCTGCCGACTGCTTCTCTGCGGTCTTCTTCGACGTCGACGACTCCCCTATCGTCTGCCGCTTCCCGTCGATGACCTTCTCGGCGTCACGTTGGCCACCGGCGATGCAATCGGTCGGCGCCGCAGGCGACGTACCAAGTCTCCCCTCATCGCCGACGGCCGACGAGGATTCCTGAACAGGGGGAGGGGGGGGAGGGGGTGACATCGTCTGCGTCGTCCTCATCAAGCTCGTCGTCCGCGGCGAGCAGTGGAGGGTGCACCGAGGAGGAATCCGTCGGCGGGGTAGAGGGCGTCCTCGTCGACGCCGGCCCGTACTCCACCTTCCACATCTCCATCGACAGGGTCTCGTAGAAGATCGCTTCGACCGTCGTGACGACCTTGTTGTCCGTCAAGTCGAGAACCTCCCAGCCCTTGCTCTCTGCCGACACTCCGAGGTGAAGACCCCAACGGGCCTTCGGCGCCAACTTCCCGCCGCGCCGCTGCTCGGGGACCATGAACTGCACCATGCAGCCCCACACGCGCGCCAGCGTCAAGTCCGACTTCTTCTCGAACAGCAGCTCGTGCGGCATCGTCCCCGAAGGCAGAGAAGCCCGTTCGAGGCAATTGCGCACCCAGACAGCCTGTCGCAGAGCAAGATGCCACCAGTGGTGCTTCACGCCCATGTGCAGAAGCATCGTCCGCATAGCCTCGACGACCGTGCGCATCTCCCGCTCCGCCATGCCGTTCTGCTGCGGAGTGTAGGGGCACGTCAGATTGTGGAGAATTCCTTTATCTTCGACGAGGTCGGTGAAGGCGCGACCGAGGAATTCCCCTCCGCGGTTAGAACGCAACATCTTCACCGTCTTCGAAGTCTGCCGCTCCACTACCTTCAGCCATTTGTCGAAGACGACCAGCACGTCGCTCTTCTTCGCGATTGGCCTCACCCACACGTAGCGAGTCATCCTGTCTTTCAGCAGAAGAAAGTAGAGTCTGCCATCGTTGGCGGCCACTCGAAACGGCTCGCAGAGGTCGATGTGCACCACGTCGAGCGCATTCTCTGCGTCTGATCCTTGGTCAGGGAAGGTGTGCCGCGCAATCTTGCCGCCGACGCAGGAGGCACACGGCAGATCATCTGCGGTCGACTGCTTGATGTCCAGACCGGCAGCGACCTCATGCTTCGCCGAGCTCTTGATCGTGTCGACGCCGACGTGCGCAAGTCGAGCGTGCCACATGTCAGGGGTCGACTTCGTCGCAGACGTGATCGTCCGCAGAGCCACCACCTCCGTCGAAGTCATCGTCGTCTTCGTCGAGCAGGGGCACAGGTCGGTGCAGAGAATTCTGCCGGAGTAGCGTGCTCGACCAAGGACATCGCCGGCAGAAGACACCAGCAGCATCTCTCCGCCATCGTCCTGGAGCTTTACGCCGTTCTCCTTGAGTTGGCCAGCAGACAGCAGATTCGCGTGCACACCCAGAACGTAGAGTACGTCGGGGACGAGGACCTGCTTCCCGGCCTCCCCTTGCAGAAAAACGGTGCCTCTGCCTTCGACGCTCTGAAGTGCCCCGTTGAAGCCGCGGACGTGTCGAACGTCGCCGCTCGGCTGCATGTCGACGAAGGCCTCCTTCGTCCCCATCAAATGGTGGGAGCAGCCGCTGTCGA